TATCTTCTACTGCATCAAATTTATTTGCAATTTAGTATTTTAAAGAATAAGTGCAAGAAGCAAGTGTGAGAAGAGTGACTGTGGAACTCCGAATTATAGAATCACTTTGTAGATGAGTTTGTCATTATATGAAACACAGTGGAACATTAAGCAAAGGCAGCTAGACTTTTGAAGGTATCACGACAATATCCAACACTCAATTGACATATTCAAGACAGAAGTCAGTGTTAGTACTTTTAGAGGTCAGAGTTTCTTTACCAATGCAAATTTACAACATTCTAGAATGCATTTTAAATGTGAATCTTTTGAATCAAAAGGAAATTTTGTAACACCATGGTATTATATTTTAAGAAAGAACTATTGGTATCTTGGTTTATGGATCATAAACATCTCCACCTTAACATCCTTTCAAGTCTAGAAAAATTAAAAATAATGATGTACACATGTATGATAAGAAAGTAGCAAGGAGCTGAGGTATATACATAAGATGGTTTAATAAAGGATTGCTAAAACTGATAAGCAGGTAGATTAAATCTAGGAAAGAGAGAACAAATTTATTGCAACTACAATTTTACTACATAACTTACAGGTTGGATCATAAGATATATGACCTCCAATCATTACTGTAAGAAAAACTTAGCATAATATTTGATGTATACAAAGCCTTCTACAGGACAGAAATGATAAATAGATGCCAATAATGTATATTATCAGAGAATGTTGGACAATATTGTAAGTATCTATAAGAGGAAGGTCATGCTTCATGTAATTTAAATTCTGGAAAGAATAAGTACAGTAACAGTAAATAACTTACGTAAAGTAACTGGTATCGAACAATGTCTTTATCACATCTGGTTGCTTATCCAATACATCTCCTAAAAGAAGAGTTTCGTACATTACAGGTTAGTGGAGGAAACCATCACAAATTTCTATTTAAATGTAAATTAGCAAATGCACAGGAGATTTGATCACAAAATGGGATGTGTCCTACTTCAGGTGAGTGTGATGAGCATCTGAAAACAACTAATTTATTCAACAATTAACGTCTGAAAATTCCAAGATTTAATTATTTCTAACAGAATAAAAATTGAGCATATAAATGAAAATAACAAAGGTTGTGAGTGCATCACTTAAAGCATTTTTATTAGTTGTTTACTGATTATAAGACAAGTGTTAGGTAATGGTGGTGAAGAAGGATAATTATGGTTGAATATTATCCAAAATTAATGAACCATAGCAGCAGGAATCTCATAAATCTTATTAGCATAAAATTTTCATTCAAAAGTTTAACCATTTTTTGATTATATACAAGTTTATGTAACTGAGGCTACACATTGTGCATTATATGACTACTCAAAATTGTTTTAATTCACATTGGCCATAATTACACACCTTCAATTCTGTAACTCATTAATTGCAAGAGTCTCTGCTAAAAATGAATTGAGGCGTGCATCGCAATCAAGTGCTGCAGCAGTTCAACTTGCACACATATCAGATTTTTAATAGTACTATTAGCATTAATTTTATCTAGCATAAGATAGTGATCCTCATCATGAATATGTAGCGCTGGATAGGTAAACTTAGAGTAACCAAGGATGTATTACACGTGGTAAAAAAATAAAGAGTTGACTACATTTAAAATCACATAAAAAAGGAACCTAGAATAGATGTGAGACTTGATTAATAAGCTAAGCCCATTTTATCAATGATCAGCATTAAAAAAATAATCACCATTGTACTTAGCACTTATTTAACTCATATGAAACAATGTGAAGAATAAAAAAATCTTCTTGTCCAATGTTTGTTAGAGGATTTATAGAGACAAATAGCAAAACACACGAATAATAATAATCAAATAAAGAAATGCATTCCTTAGAAAATATATATAAGGAAGTAATACATTTAATTGAGAAAAAAGTATGCTTGCAAGGATGAAAATACTTACTGTTGTGAAAAATTATTCTGTTAAAAAATTCGAATAATTAATATGGGCGTATTCTTAAATCTTTCTTTAATATTCCATAATTATTGTTTACAATTGGAATATATGCAGTTTTGTAGCAGTTAAATATTGTTTCTAATTGAATCTGAATAAATAAAATCTGTATGATTCTAGTGAGCTATCAGTTGATTCCATCAAAATTTTTTGAAATTGATTGAAAATTTTACTTTAATTAGTAGCTAGAGTTTTCAGGATTTAGAAAATATTAGAACTTTATTAATAATTGGTACTTCCTGTTCTCGGTATCAATTATCTAATGCTAAATAATCATACTACTAAATGAATCTGATAATATATACAACCAGTATAATTGGTTATCAAAATTTAAATCTAATTCCTTTCTTTTGAGAGTCAATTATTAGTCCTTTTGGTTAGTCTCTTATTTCTAGTGTCGCTGTAGAAGTCAACAATTTATAAACTAAATTCATAGAAAAGGCATGCGTTTTTGGACGGATGAAATTATTTACTGATTCATTGAATGTGAACCTTTTTAGATGTAGAGTTTTTAAAGATATCAAATTATTTTATAACTTGCAGAAATGCTGCCGCATTTTCATTATGTGCTGGTGTATTTGTTAGAGCAGATGTATCATAATTTAATCATTCTTCAAAATATTCATGTGTATTTTTATGCTATATAGGTATCTCTGATATAAATAACAAAATCTATTTAACCTCCAATCTAACTAGAATTCTTTAGGGTTCACCACTATAAGCTTCATAAAATACTGTAAATTATAGAGCTTAGATGTATGTTTGACTAATGATAATTGGGATGCATGTAGTCTTTTGTAATATTAGTTATTATGCTATTTATAACAAATTTTTCTTGAACACAACTCTTTTAGAGGATAGTTGATCTTAATTCAGTAGTTCTAAAATTTGCACCCCTGTAAATATCATGGAAATGAATTGACACATTAATTGTTTTAAGCTTGAATCGCTACAGAAAATCTATAATTTTTATTCTTTGTTAGGACAATATACCAATGAATAGCATTTTCATCTTCTAGCCATTCTTTCTGTCAACATTTGATAAAAAATGAGTTGCTAAATCATGGACAACTTGTGCAGTTGAGGTGAATGTATGACACCAATAATGATGACGGTTTGATTTCTTGTAAATTTATGAAGCATTATTCATCTCATAAGAAACTTCAGAAATGATATCAGTTAAACATTATGTGATTGGTGTTTATGCTGGCGTACGTTAATTATCAACATATATTCCATGTAGCAAAGTTGTTTCATAAGGTGTACAATTCTGATTCATCTTTTTTTTTTATGATGTTATGTACATACCATATTTTAACTTAACTTATGAAATATTTGAACATAATGTGCTTATCAGAATTATCAGATTGTTCAATCAGAATATACAAGGAAGGGTTTATAACAATAAAAAGGGTCCTAATGTCTCGAACTTATCACTAGTAAAAGGATGATTTTCTTCACCATGTGAGGATACCTTGAATTAAATTAAACTACTGCTTTTACTACTTTGAAGAATAAGTGGATAGGATCCAGTTTTAAACATAAGACTAGTCGAAGTACAATGAAGGATTTAGAGGCAAGAGAAAAATAGTGGTGGCTAGAAATGGACCCTAAAGGAGTCGAATGGATGACACCTTAAAGAAACTTGAGGAGGAAAATTATTAAGAAGATTCCAAATGCTGGCTGATTAGGATAAGAGCGCAGTTATTTTCTTTTTTGATTCAAACACTTGTACTTATTATTATCTTCTAGTGGTTAATATAATTGATGAATTAAAACTTGCTCTAAGTTCTAAACTAAAGCCATTAATTATCAACAGGAATTGCATATGTGATCATTAAGAATGGGTGTATTTGTTTATTTGGCACAAACGTTGCCAAACGTTGCCAAAAGTTCATTTTCTTCATTTATTTCCTTATAAACTGAAACGCCTGACATCAATTGAAATGAATGATTTGCAAGTAGAACAGGGTAAAGGAAATTGACAACCTTAGATTCATTATTTAGGTGAAAATTTAAGTTAACTTGTTACCACAAACAAATAAGCATCACACCATTACATGCAATCAATGATTTAATTAAATAGAAATTGCAATTATAAATAATTGACTAGTATTAGTTTACAATCTTCACATGATGTAGTAATAAATAGGAATCTCTAATATTATAGAAGTAAGCTATGCTTAAGAATATGTTGAGGAATTATTTGAATGAAAAGAAAGGGTGTATTTATGGAAATTCACTCCAAGAAAAAAGCTTAACATGTATGTCCATTATTTGTGCATGCATAACAGGATGAATAGCAAAACAGTGGACCTTCGGTATTAACCTGAACAGAAGTAGTTGAGTATACAGTTAAGAGACTGGAGAGAATGGTAGTTTTACTGAGAAGTTAGAGTTTTGATATATCAATATATTTTGGATTTTAAGTTGTATGGGATGAGTGTTATATAGCCTAAGCCAATCCTTTATCTGATATTAAGAGCTATGTAATATTGCTAGTCTTAAGTTTTAATGGAAAGAGTAGAATTGAACTCTAAAGATTAGAAAAATTTCATGAGTTCATCTGCAAGCGTTGCTATAATTTTACACTGATTAATAAGAGCTTGAAGTTGCTCTAGTTAATATTATAAGATCATACATGAAAAGATGCTTAAAGTCAGCTGAAATGCAATATAAATATGAGCTGTCTGAAGATCTTACGAATAGTTTAACAAGGTGAAATTGATGCCCGTGTACATCATATACATGAAAAAGGACAAGCAATTATCCTACGCAGTATGATTGCTTTACTAGCAGGATCGATTTCTAAATCTAAACATAATATTATTACTTGCTTGATATTATTAGAACTCTATTTCAGTAGAAATAGACAGATAGCTTGCTGTACAAGTATTAGTGCATATTGTCTAACGCAAGATATCTTCTCTTCATACAAAGTAATTATATTATAAAAAAGATCAGCACAATGGTAAGATGAACGGCGCTTGGTTGAATTCAACGATTTGCAGGTTTTAAGCACAGATATAACAAATCTAGCAACACTTTTCTTTATTGTCAGGATATTATTGTAAGTAGATTGGCAGTGAACTGCAAGATCTAAAATACTAATTATAAAAATTGCATCCAGCGACGCACTTACATCTAGAGGAGGTCAAGAAATAACATTATAAAATCTTAAAATACAACATAGGCCATAATTTGCTTTTCCTCATTAAATCTGGCATTCCTGTTAGGAGAAGCTCGAGAAGCTGAACATTTTTTGATTGAGAGATCTAGTAACACAACTACATGAAGTGCCAAAGTAAAACTTTAAGCGCAAGCAGCAGAATTTTTATTGTAAAATAACCAGCAGCATTAAACAAATATTTATAACTTAAGAATGGAGTTGGATTTAAATTAATTTAGAAAGTTTGGAGCAAAATATTGCACCTATAATTGATTAAAATCGGAAATTTTTTGGATAGATTTTATTCTATTAGATTAAAACTAAACAATCTGCACTAACTTATCAGAGAGAGACTGAATATTTTTAATAAAAGTTAACAGCCATATAGATGAGTTATATTGGCATAAGCAGTTAATAGATTTCAACATCATCTACCGTAATTCAAAAAGATCCTTTGTTGAGGATCTTGAGTATGATTCGCTACTATTTGAGTAAAGTATTGCTGGCTGTATTGCATATAATTAGCATGCAAGTTAATTACCCAGATAATATTCTGGTAGAGATTACATATATTTTAACAAATTATCCTCGAAAGATAAGCTCATTTAGTTTAATCATTAGCTTCTTATGGATACTAAGTATTAATAATTAATGTGAAATAAAGATTAGCATTAGCAAGTTCCAAAATCATAAGTTAAAGTAAATAAGAATTTCACAAATTACAGCTTTTTAGGAAATAATTTTGCTGCTAAAGTGAACCAAAAAACAATCTTTTGTTGCTTCAGATTTTGCAACAAATTTTGCACTGGATTACCTATGCAAATAGCCTCAAATGTGAGATAAGCAACGATGTAGAGTAATGTTATTTTCGTTTTCTTTCTGAATGTTAAGGTTATTTGAGGCTAAAAAGAACAACCGCAATTCAATCAGCAAATATAAATACAAAGTATGATTTCTAATTTAAGAGTTTAAAACCTCACTCATAATAATTACACACAATCGTGGACTCTATTATACTTAGTATAATTTGTTGAATACTAGCAGATATTCTCCAGCTTTAAGGAGTTCGAGAACTCATTTTAATTTTTAAGATAGAATTGAAACCCTTCCTTCTATTTTAAATCAACTAAAGTCAATTTTAATTATTCAAACTTCTTAATAAATTCTTCAATAATAGATGAAAATAGTTAATAGATTTTGGTTTATAATCCCTATTTTAATTGATCAAACTTATTAATAAAAGCAAATTTTCTTAATGTTTTCAGACCCCTCCACTTATTAAAGTTTTAATTAATTTATTCTTATAAGCTTCATCATAAATAAGAAAGTTCTGTAATTTTCTTTGTTAATAACTTAAAATCAACATTTTTGAATTTTTCTTCATTATATTATCCAAATTATTCTTTATTAAAGCCTTTCTTAGCTTTAGCCTCTTATTTTCCCAAGTTTGTTAAATTTATTGACACTCGTTACTAGCATTCGAAATTTCTATATCTAACTTACAAATGTTTCAAATTTCTTTTAAAGTAAAATAATATAATACCTAATGACTTCATAAATGGAACATCCAGAGGATTGAATTTTATTAAAACACATACGAAGCTATCGCGGGACCTTGTGCCATGGAGTTGGAAATCCCTCTTCTTCAGAATATCCAACCGAACTAAGGTTCTAGTTTGTCGGCACTTTTTCCCTGACATCTTGAAAATATATCTTAACACATCTCTTAAGACCTGAATATCCTCTCTTGGAACCTCTCAGGATATCCCCATGACAAATATGAGGTTCTATCGAACTTTCATATTATCATGGCTTAGGAAGCCCAATATCCAAAGAATAAAGATGTTCAACTTTATTAAATACCAGAGTTAAAGAAAGAGAGGGAAGGAAATCCACTTATGACTCTAGTACCTTCCTAAATTCCTTCAGTTAGAATGCAAGAACTGGAAACATAAAATACCTTAGTTGTTAAGGTTATTTTTAAGAAGTTTCAACTCCTGTTAGTGAACATACAACTGAATTCTACAATAAAAACTAGAATACATGGGAGACTTTCCAATACTCTTTAGAACGAATAAGTTGAGATATTATAAATAATTTACTTTAGTTTATTCTTATTTTTAAACTATATTAAATATGATTCAATTAAGAGGTGAGCTAAGTCAAACTTATTGAAATCAAACAAATTGATATTTGAACATAAAATTTATACATTTCAATTAAATTTAAATTAAACTTAAAATGCAAATTAGATAAAAAGAGATCAACTTAAGGCAATTATTGTTATTTTCTTTTATGATTTTATAATTTAAAATAATTCAAGATTAACAAATATTATCTCGAAGATTTCAACTTTTTCAAAGTAATTGATAAGAATAAACTATTATCCGCTGTTCAACTTATTAATTAATAAATTTAACCATTTATAAAAAAATAGAATCCATTTTGGAAAACTTGTACTCCTTCCCTTGAGAATAATCTTTTGCAGTACATTTTGAAAGAAAGACAAACATTAGTAAACTAGAAGCATTTTGTAGAAGTAAATTATTGATTTCTTTTAATTGAATAAAGAGTTAACTTGGTTTATGATCTAGCAAAAGAATAATGGGAAATAAATTTTTTTAGGATCCTTGATACTAGAGAATTAGAGATTTGCATTCTTATTTACGTTATTGGGCCACTCTTTTTTAGCTAATTGTAAGATATCTAGATTAAAGCAAATTTATATTCTGATGGTTAATTAAAAAAATGTATCATTCTTTGGAATTTTTGTATGATTACCTTACAAAAATAATTAAGAATCAAGACAGCAGTACAATCTTAATTCTGATTCTATATCAGCATAACTAAATAATACTTCTATGAATTTCAAAATAGTATATTATCTCTGTCATGCTCTTCTGATTTCAGATTGAATGAACAAAACAATTGATGATAGCTGATTATATTAAAGCTCTGGTTGAATTATAATCGAGAAGAATTATCATTTATTGCTTTAATTTGCTGAATCAATCCCTTCAAGCAGAAAATCACTTTATAAAAATGAATAATTTATCTTGAAACGGTATTTGGGTAGATTGAGATTCACACTTGAGCTGCATGATTGTTCATATCTGCTCTCCACTTAAAGTTAAGGAATTAAATCCAAATACACCTGTATAGAAGGAGTTATTCAATTTAATTGATTTCTATCTTAAGTTGATTCTAATAATAAATGTTAAAAATAGATTGTTCTCCTTTAGTATTGCTACCATCTTCTACTTGATTGAATATCTATGTAAACATTATTACTTATGCCTAAAGAAAGTTAAACTACTTGTTTTTCAAGTTTAATTTTGTAAGATTAATTAACTTAAAGAACAGAATAATTAATAACAACATAATGAATGCAATAATGATTAATAAAAATAGTAATTTTTGGTTTAATTACTTCATTCACTTTCTTTTAAAAGCTCCTTTAACTCATCAAAAGATAACTTATTATTTTATTCTTCTTTCGAATCACCTAACTTCATTAATTCCAACCATTCAGCATCAGTAAGTTTAGTTTTTACAAAATATACTTTAAGTTCATTGGCTGAAATTTGACGATTACTATCTTTGTCTAATTTATTAAAAAATATCCTCAGATTTTCTTCACTTAATAATATCTTTTTATCACAAGTCGCAATCAAAAATTCATTGAATCCTAAGAATGAGTCTTCATTTAAATCTAATCTTTTAAATATCCCCTCAACTTCTTTTTTACCTATGCTTTCATCGCCTAAATTTTCTTAGTATAATTTAATTAATTCTTTTTTAGAAATCCTTCCATCAAAATCAGTGTCCATTTTGTTAAAAGAATTTGCAATTCTATCTCTATCTTCCTTAGGTAATAAATATTCAATCATTAAGCTGAGTAAGATCATCTTTAATTCATTTTTTCTTTGAAAATTTTTTGCCCTTAGTAAAGCACCCGTTACCTTCAATGAAGATTATTGTATAGATTTAAAATAACTATGTTGAAGGCATTCTTTGGCAGATGGTCTAGCATTTTCATCCTAATTCAACATTAAAATCAGTAATGATTTCGCTTCTTATTCTAATTATTTATATTCTGCAGGATTTTTCAATTTATTCTCCTTGATATTTTAGAAAGTTAAATTCTTGTGCTTTTCTTTAAATGGATGTACTCCAAGTAGTAATTCATATAAAACAACTCCAACTGACCAAATATCTGCTGAAGCTTTCCATTTGTATTGTTCCGAGAATGTTTCAGGCGCTCTATAGCTAATTTCAGTGTTTAAATCCTGATGATTATAAAAAATTTCTTCATGGCCACTTATTTTGGATAAGTATGTCTATTTTTCGGCTATGAAAATATTTTTAGTTTATATATTTTTGTGGACTTAATTTTGTGCATGGATGAAATGTACTGCTGACAACATTTACTGAATAGTAAATGCAATATGTGTATTATTTAAATTTGATTCTTCATTCTGTAATCTTTAAATCAAATTACCACCTTCACAGTATTCTTTGACCAAATATATATGATGTTCATCATTATAGACATCGAATAACTTTATAATATTTGGGTGATCCTTTTATAATCATGTTAAATACTAATTTTTTTATCGATTAAATATATTGAATATATTCTAAGAGTTGATTATCTGTCAACACATTCTTTATTATTTTTGCAATTCTTTTCTACCCAGTTACTTTATGTTCAACAATGAAAAGTTTCCCCTCATTGTTTTATATGGATACTTTCTCTTCGACAATAACATAATCTGATTGAAACTTTTTATTTCTGTAAATCTACTAATTTTCCAAATCGAATAATTCTGCCACCTTTTGTTATGCTTAAGGCTATGAATTGAAATTCTATTTTTCTTTCAGGTTATCCTTTGAGATTTCCTTAGGCTTTGCTGAAGTCACTTTTTGAATTCTAGGCAAGTTTTATTATTGATTGCTTTTTGCTTAATGCTTTTCAGATTAGCTCTACTTTTAGGAATTACAACCCATGTATAATTTGTTAAAATTAGAGATAAACAATTAAATATTTTTTAATTTGAATTTGTTTATGAAAAAAAATGAATAGTTATGATTTTCAGTAAGTGAGAAAGCATGAAATGCATTCAATTTTTTCTATTGTTGCACTTTATTTCGTTAAGGCTTCATACAAACGATTATCGAAAAGCTGCTTTTAATTTATTTATACCCAATAAATCCTCTATTTTTTTCTATAGTTAAATTACTTTTGTTATAGATTTTCATAAATCCCATCATGAACAATTGCCAGATCATTAGACTTCCGATTCAAATACATGACAATTTCTATGGATGTCTTTTAATTGCAATACTAAACGCTTCCTTATTATGAGAAGATTTTGCTACTCTTTTTTCTGGCTAGGTGTGGTGAATTTTCTTATTAGGGAGAGTTTTCTTTAACTTGTTTACTTCTGTAATTGCTAATAGAAAAGAAACTAAAAGAGTATTTTCAATTATTGAAAATCATATATCTTATGAAAACACAAAATTAGTAATTTTGAAAAATAATATATATATAATATATATTAAAGAAACAAAATATATAGCTTATATAGATTCTATATCAGCTACAATTCATTGTAATTTCTTTACTTTTCATTCTTTAACTGTATTTAAAATGATGAATTAATATTCAGATAAATTCAAGAATTATTTATTTATTCCAACCATTTGATATTGCAGTTAACGTTGGACCTAGTCCTTCAATACAAGTAATTTGAATTAAATTTTATCATCTATTGTTAGTTTTTATCTAAATAATAAAATATCATCATAGACTTGTAATGAAGATACCATTGGAAAACAGATTAATTAATAGAATTTTCAATTTCTTGTTTAGTAATCAAAGTAATAATTATGTAAATCTATAATTCCTTCAAAAAAGAATCTAATCATAATTTCTTACGTTTCAAATTTGCAATACTTCATTTAAGTATACTTTGATTTATTTCAAGTCTTTTATTTATTACGAAAACTTAATAATTATTAAATGTTATATCTTTGAAATTAGAGGAACCAATATGAACTTAAGGATATATAGCAATATTTGTGTTTAATTCCTCGAAAGTAAATCAATTGACAAGGGCAAAATGACTTCACAAAAAAAGAATATTTTCAATACAAATTTTATAGTCTTTTATTAAAATCATTCTGCTATTGAATAAATTCCTCATGGATTTTCTTCTGACTTGCTCATGATACTTTTTATTAAATAATCATCAAAACTTTTTTGGTTATGTAGGGCTTCTTATAAGGATTAAAATTGTTACCAGCTTATAAATTATATCTTTATTTAGATTTCAAAAAATCAATTACAAATTTTCTTATCAAATACTAATCCAGAATGCAAAGTATTATATTAACCAACAAAAAGATTATTTATAAAATTATTGGAAGGATAAACTACTCAACTTCTAAATACATCAAAACCAATGGAGCAATCATCAAACAATATAAAAGAACAATCCTATAAATAATAAGTATACTTTTTACATATTAGAACTTTTGGATATTATGTATTCTTTGAAAAAAATTAATGAGTGAACGGAGAAATAAATTGAAAGAATTTAGAAGAAAACCTTAATTAAAATAAAGGATCAATACAAGTCCTATCTATATGATTAAAAATAGCAGCTTAAATTTATCCTAAATTGAGTAAGCAATAAGAAAAATCAAATAAGTAATTAATATTCCACATTCAATTACTAATATATATATAGCTCTTTTTTGTTTATTTTTGTTAATTACCTTTTTCTAGCCAATTCCCTTACTTCTTCTGAATATTTCCCATTTTTTTTGATTAAAATGGAGTCTTTGGTTTTTTTTAATTTAGCATTTTCTTAGTTCATTATAATAATTAATTTATAATGATATTTCTGTTTTCCTAAATGTTATGATAAACATAAGAAATTTTGGGGTTTGTCAATTTTCAATATCTATACATTATTTCATATGATCGCTCTTTCTTTAGAGTAAAACTAAAGAAAAACGAATATCCAAATTGTCTAATACCAAGAATTGTTATATTTAATAAATTTTACCAATAAAATTACTTAACAACAATGTCAGAAATTTCAAAATTTTGTCTTAAGAATAACAGAAATCTTTAAGAGATAAGGACGAACCAAGGATTTACAATTAAATGTTGGAGAATATTTAAGCGAATAATTGGAAGAACTTCAAAATATTTTTATACATTCGTAAACTCAAGGAACCAAAGAGGGATAATCTTAGGAAGAAAACTTTGTTTCTAAATTAGATATTAGAGTTGAAGGACATATCAATATTGACCATTCGAATATGAATCATTGATTAGAAAAAATCTTAATAGAGAAGGAAATAAAAACATGGAAAGGGACTGAGTCATAAAATATTCTTAGCTTATTAATGTAATTTATTCAAGGAATTATAAGAGTAGGAAGAGTCACTTTTACAATATATTTGAACTTAATTAAAAATTAAAAAAATCATCCACTTGTATATTTGGTGACTGCTTTGGTTCCTTCTGAGATGGCATGTCTGGCCAATTCTCCTGGGAGTAACAATTTGACAGCAGTTTAGATTTCCCTTGAACTAAGAGTTCTTCTTTTGTTAAATCTGACTAATTTGCTGGCTTCAAGAGCAATTCTGTCGAAAATATCGTTGATGAATGAATTCATGATGTTCATCGCTTTTCTAGACACACCAATTTCTGGGTGAACTTATCTCAAGACTTTGTAGATATATAAAGCAAAAGTTTCTTGTCTTCTTCTTGCCTTCTTCTTGTCATCAGTGGTTTTTTTGGTTTTAACAGTCTTAACTGTTTTTTTTGCTTCAGCTTTTGGTGATTTTGTTGGACCCATTTTAATTAATATTTTAAACTGAAAACCCAAGCGCTATTTTTAAAGAAAATTCTTAAATCTGATTGGCTGATTAAGGATAATTGTGTATCTAATTTTTCATTGGTTGTTCTACATAAAAAATGGCTAAAATGCTTCCAAAATAGTGCAGCACAATGGAATACACTTCATTTTTCATCAATTTTAGTACTTTCATCTCTCTATTAGCCTTTATTAATAAAATAAAGAACTTAATTAATATATTTTTTATAATAATACACCCCCTCTATCTCTACTCATTTAATATAAAATGAATAATAATTTATATGTCTAACGAATATGAATCAAAAATCTTGTTTGCTATTTACCGTCTATATAAGTCTGAATAAATTAATGAAGAACAAAGAGGAGAACTAAAAGGTAATTTATGAATAACCCCTTTAAGATCTACTAATAACCAAGAATAATCAAATTATGAACCTTGTTGAACCCTACGAAGAAACCTTATTAACAGTATTCGATAACCATTCCGATGCTACGTCGTTATGCAGTTAAAAATCATACAAAAATTTGAGACCATCTAAACTAGATATCAGACCTGCGTATAGAAAGTCTTTGCAAGATATCTCTTAGAGTATCAATCATTAGAGTCTGTCAACTATGTTCAAAAAGAAAAAGTTCGTTAATTGATTTACTTATATAGACACTTATTATATAATTGTATTAAGCAAAATTGAAAAATTTTAAGTTTCTATGAGATTCATAATTAATGTTGATTGCAAAAAGAGTAAGAAATAACCTAGAATTTGAATTCTCTCCTTAATTGAAATTATACTTTTGGGGAATTATTGAATCAAATAACTAATGAGCATTCAACTATTTGAAGTTATCGACATCTAGAACAAACATAATAAATTTAATACATCAATATTAAATACTATTTTATTACTTTTCCTATTCTTCAAAACTTGATTGAGTTAGTCAGAATGTGTTAAGTCTATTTATAATTAATAATCGAACAAATTTTATAATATGCAATAACATTGTTATTTCATTATTCTTCCCAAGAATTAAATGCATTCTAAATATGAGTTGACATAGAATAAAAGAAAGATTTATCAAAAACTATTTGAAAATATTTATAGAATTAAATTAGAACATAATCTATTCAATACTTAAAGAGGATGGCTATGAGTGATATCAATTTTGAATGCTAGATTATTTTTAGTTCACTTATTTATGGTTTTAAGCCAATTTAAATGCATTATTTTCATTAACTATTCAAAATTAATTAAATTTATGTGGAACCTTATTTCAATAAATCCTATCTGTTAAAGAAAGAAAATGGTAAATGATTAAGAAAAATTGCTATCTAAAATAACAAGTACTAAAAGCAGAATAGATACATCTGCACCATGGAGACCGTCTCATTCACTTTCAAAATGGAATAATAAATATGCGCATGGTATAAGTTTCATTTAATAGAAATCTAGCTGAGGAGAACAAGATAGTTTATGAAAATAACATACTTCTAAATAAGATGGTTAATATTTAAAAATAAGGAAATAAAAGTATTACATCCATGCCTCAAATACCAAAATCTTAATAAATGACCAAAAGAATCTAAATAGAAAAACTACAATAAGAAAATTTGGTACTCAATGATTATATTAAAGCAACTACTGGATAGATTGTAGACTGCTTAAGCTACATACAATAAATAATTTTGGGTACCAGATGACTAGAGAAATCAAGCATATAAATAATTGCATCGACCAAGTGATTTATAAATTTACTTTTAGAAATTCAACAGCATGATTACAACGAGCTAGCAAGAAAACAATTAGGATCTAGGTCAGCTGCGAGATTTAATGAAATTCCAGATTCATGATAATGGATTTCAAAATTGAATTTTCCAATTCCTCATATAATTATTATTGCTTATTATCGGTTTCTTTTTCTTAATCTTCTATTGAATTAATGATAATTAATTCTTAAATAAAATATTCTCCTATTAATAGCAAGAAAATAAATTCAGTTCTCAATTCATAATTGGATAATTCAATAACCAATAAATTAACTTTGACTAATATCTAAAGGCTAAGAATATTGCAAATCAATTCGATAAAGCTGTAAGGAGATTTTTTAAAAATGAATCACCTCCTATAAAGACCATCAACATGAAAATTTATGATATATCCTAATCATCAGACTTTGAATAGGCAATAAAATTGGAAGGTTAGCCACTTTGAAAATATGCATAGTTGTTAAAATTATAAAAATCTGTGCTGATATATATATACTAAAAACTGAACTACTTCAACTACTAATCATTAATTTGAAATGCCATAAAAGATTTAACTAGCTATTATTTTTTCAGAATAGCATTTTATTTTCATTATTAATATCATAGCAACTTTCAATGAAGATTTTCTATATTTGTAAAATAATGATGGCTAGTTTTATAGTTTGAAGAAACCATGCATATTTTGTGATAATAAAGAAAAAAGAGGAGATTAATCTATAAAATTTAATTTATTCATTTCATTTTTCAAGTTACTAAATTTATAATAGTTTAAACTCATAATAATGATGTTTCCATCATGTTAGAAGCATTGGTTGCTCATAGATTTTAATTATAAATCCTCAACGAATATTAAATCTTGGGAATATGTTGGATTCAATATCTAAATCACTATTTGAACTAAGATCATATTTTTAAAAATTGATGTTTTGAATAATCCTCATAATCATATATTATTTTTCTCATTTTAAATAATATCATCCAATCTCAAGTAAATCAAAATATCTAGATTATTTTTAGTTATTGATTGTATTGCTCAATATTCTAGAAACACATTGATATCGTTTTTGAACTTCATTATTATTATTGTACTCAAAAAATATCAATAAAATGTCAGAAGAATCTGCCTCCTTAACTAATAGCTAAGTTCAAAGGAACTAATAGATAAGTTTAAATTATGCAGGAGAATCTTCTTCACTTTTCTGCAACAAGTGTTCAAAAGTTTTAGAATCAATGGTTGATCTGATGTATACTGACATTCATTGGAGGATTGATTCCATTTTGTTGAGAACCTTGCAAAAATATTGTTCAATATTGCCCAGAGTGTAATCAAAAAGTAGGAGAAACCCCGTTTACTCCTTGTAGAAAAATATTCAATTAACAATAATAATATTAATTTATTATAATCATAGAGTTGACGAATCATCTACTTTCAATATTTCAGCTTTCTTACTAACGCCAAACATTTTTGATAATGAAGAAATAGTTAAAATATATCCTAAAATACAATAAAATATAAATGTAGTCTTTTGGGAACATTCATCCTATTATGCTGCTATTATATTCATTGAAATAGTTTCCCCACTAATTAACAAAGTCATAAATAACGCCCATTTTTAAAATTAAGCGTGTTGAAGCAATTACCTCAATAAAACAATGACAATCCAAATACACATTTAAATGTTTCCGTATCTACCACAGTTATATTAATTCCAATGAATAATCAAATGACCTGTTAGTTAAATAATTAGAAGGAAGATTACTAAGTCCGTTGTCTTAAAACAATAATTCATTAATTATAATAAATATTTAATACACCTTATTCTCTATATGGAAAATATTGAAAATCCACAAGAACCATATTTCCCTCAATCATAATTAAAGGAAAATAATAGCTTGTATCTTGTATTTTATTCAAATAGATATTAAATAATAATAATAAGTCGAGATATATTGTAAATATTGTAAAATTAGGTTTAATAATATTAATTTTATTTTTGACCAATATTATTTTCATACTTTCTAAATTATTTATTAGATTCTCTTAAAAGCATCTGAATTCTACTTATCATTTTCCTCTTTTATTATGCTAAAAATCAAAATATATTTATAAACATGTTTAATTTCATTTTACTTTTTACAGAAATAAAAGAAGGATTCATCTAATATTAAGTCGGCAATTAAATGGTAATTAAATTATTTGAATAAAATAAACATGTTTGATAAAATACATTATTTATGTAACATTCTTTTGGAAGATTAAAACTAATCAATGGCAATGAAATGATTCTATTTATAATTAGTAAATCAGAATTCATTTTCCATAATGTCATTAATCATGAATAAAAAGATTTATCTCAAAAACTAATCAATCATCATATAAATCACTATCAAGAGAATAAAGTGCTAATTAAATGTTTTTGATTGGAAACGAGAAATGATGTATGTAAATGTATTTAATTATATTTATAAATATTTTTAAGAGTGGTAGAGAATTTATAAAGTCTTTTTTATTATTCGAATTTAGGGTTATTATGTGATATTTGGCGTGAAATATAATTTTAATAATAAAAATAATTCGTTAAATTAAAAATGTATTTGGCTTAGAAATAGATGTACTCATAACATCCATCTTACACTAATGGATCATCACAGAACGTTAAAAAGATGATTGAGAACTTTTCATATGGACTTCATTAATAAATTGGAAAAGGATTCAGCAGTAAGGTTTATAAAGGACAAAATGAAGTAACAGGTGAAACAGTAGCTATTAAGGTAATATGAAATCTATTTAGGTAATCGACAAAGCCTTATTGAAGACACCTTTGCACCATGCCTTATTGCAAAGTGAAATTGAGGCACTTAGCACTTTAGATAGTCAATATATAATGAAATTATACAAAGTATGATATAGTCTTATGTCTTTAGGTATTTTAAACATAAAATAATACTTACTTGATTACAGAGTATTGCGAAAGTGGTGATTTGGGAAGCAAATTGACAAAGATTGGAAAATTTCCAGAGCAGCAAGCCCAAAACGTTATATTTGGATTGGTGAAAGCCTATAAATTACTGAAATAGAATGGTATAATACATAGGGACATCAAACCTGCAAATGTGTTATTGTCAGCATGTGGAACTCCAAAATTAGCAGACTTTGGATTTGCAACTACTCCTAATTCTCCTCCATTGTTACCTAATGTTAATGTTGGTAGTCCACTTTATATGAGTCCATAAGCCTTAAAAAACAATAAATATTCTGATAAATCTGACATTTGGGCTATTGGAGTTTCAGCCTTTGAAATAATATTTGGATAAGTTCCTTGGTAAGCAACAAGTGAAAAGGAATTAGGATAAAAAATGGTGAGTGTGCCTTTAACTTTCCCCTCATCAACTAAAGTTAGTTAAGAATGCAAGGAATTCATAAAACGTTGTTTAGTTGTAAATGAATAAGAAAGAGCGTCAATAGATGAACTAGAAAAACATCCTTGGATAAGAGGACCTGAATTAGCCTTCTAAGTTAATAAATAACCAGCCTTAATGAAATAAAAAACTTTAGAACAACCAAAGGAAGGCAAAGAAAATAGTGCCAAAAAATTACCTGGAGATTCTATACATAGAAGCGGAAAGAAACACACTACTCAAATTACCAAACCTTTAGGATAATAATCAAAATAAAGTATTTTAATATGTTAATCTATTAGCTGAAACCAGTTCTTTTGAAATCAAAAGTACAACCTCTAATATTGAATACACAATCATGTCTCAAATCAATTTTTGCAAGTATTTATTTAGAGTTGCTAATTTGATTGAAAGTACTAATCTTTTTAGAACTGAATTAATAAGGGACAAGTTATTATTCTTTGCAATTAAAAATATCATGATCAAAATGTATAAACTCAAAGATATTGTAAATAATTTTATTCTATTTTAGGATTCAAATTCTCTTGATATTTAAGGATTCGATGCGTACAAGACTTCAAACTAGTTTCAATAAACATAAATTACTATTTAGTAACATTTTACTAAATACTAATCTTACTTTAAAAATATTTGGTCCTTGTTATAATCCAATAAAAATGAGTTGTCAATTGACAAAAAGTTTGATGCTGTTTTTGATGAAAATTTCACCGAATTTGAATCATTTTATATCATCTTTAATTCTGTATTGCGTCAAGCAATCAAGGAATTACAAAAGGAAATTGATAAAAAATTAGGCTCAGATGATTTATCCAAAAGTCTACCCGTCGATATGGAAAAAGATGTGGTGCTATTGGATTACTTAGTCACATACTTTTAATTATCTTAATTGACATTGGAAACCTTTAATAAACCTTATGAATTCGCATAGAAATCAAAAATAGAACATATTGCAGAAGGCAGTCCTGTCAGATTGACATATGGACACTTTATTGAAATCAAAAATAAAATGAGTGACTTAGAAGTTTGATTTTTAATTTTACTTTATGGAATAATAAATTTATTATGTATATTTATTAAAATTTTCTGAAATCTTAACTCGAGGAATTATAATATGTAAGAACTGAATACAATGGAGAAAACACAGAACTTATTGCAAAGACTTTAGCAGAGGCTTATACAGTATAATTGATCAAATATTTAGAAAAAAAATGACTTATTTAAAGCATTGAATATAGAATATGCTTAGATGTATGAAGAATTTAAGACTTTTTTAATAAAACATACATATAAATGGATTCTAGTTTACTATGAGAAATAATCATACGAGAAAAACATCTATAACATAGTAGCAATCATTTCTTATACTGATATCAATGACCTTAAACTTAATGAATAGGAATAACAAATATCAAATTATGATATTGTCCCCCAAATCAGCAAAGTCAGATAATATATTCGACTTAAGGCTTTGAAGTACTTTTTTGATAGGTATCATCCAAAGTATGGAGAATATTGCGTGACAGGAGCATTTGCATTTTCTACCAAATTTATGGGGGCAAGACATTCTCTCAGAATATATGCTGATTCAATAGAGTTTATCCAATCCAAAGGATATAAATATGGTTTTGGATGGACAGCGAATGATATTGCAAAAAACTTATATGATAAGCTTCACCTTCTACTAAGAGAGGAATAGTCGTTAGAAAAGTTGTATGTTGAAGAGACCAAAATTTATCCCTATAGCAAGATAAAAATGATTCAAGTGCTATATATAGGTGACGTTGATTAATCTATAATAAAATTAAGAAATATTTTGAGTAATAAATAAAATTGATTAAATATTGATTTATGAAATATAGTATATTTCCTAACAAATTATAATAATTCAAATAAAATCTATTTATTGTAAAATTAAATCATAGTAAGTGTTATCAATATCAGCTAAAGCCATAAGGCGTTAATCTTCAGAATTATTAATGATTTTGGGTGCTTCATGTTTTTTTATACTATTATCATAAATAGAATATACTTTATTTTCGGATCATTTTTTAATTCATAAAAACAAGAAAACATTACTCTGCATTGTGGGCACTAGTGACTTTTTTCAGACCATTTGTTAATACATGCAAAACAGAATAAATGGCTACATTAATCTAAGCGTACCTAAAATAATTAAAATTTATGAATCATACTTAGTTGGAAGCAAAGCTTAAGCAGATAACACACTTCATGTCAGACTATTTGCTGGATATATCCATTAGATTAGTATTATTATTATTATGCTTTTGATAATTTGAAAATTATTTTTATAGAGAATTTTATGTAGTGTAAAAAAAAGATTTGGAAATGCATTTGATATTCTATTTTATAAATTTTAACAAAATAATCAATCATTATCTGAATCCCACATTTTTGGATCTAATTCATTACCACCATACTCATCTTCAAATGCCATATCACCTCCATCTTGTAACCTATTTTTGGTTTAATAAAATACATGAGCTCTTATTCATTCAAATGCTGAATCCATAACTAATTATATTCACTAAATTTGATTTCTTTGATTTTTTCGCATAATTCTTAATCATACTCTCTTAGTATATCTAAGACTTCTTCTGTCATCTACTAAACTTTTTTGTTTTTATCATTTAATTATTAAATTATCTAAATTAAGATTTCATCCCTCAAAATATCAATATTCTTACTATTCCAAGATTTACGATATTCCTATTTTATGAAACAGAAATTAATGTAAGCAATACAAATACTGTACAATAAATTCATCATCATCTACCTTTTCAGCATAAACTTGAGATAATGCATTTAGTATTCTACTCTTAAATAGTTTTTCAGCTGCATTCTAAGAGGATGCTATTGATGATACTAACATCATTGTTTCTATTACAATATCATCATCAACCATTCCAACTGCTAAATTATTATGAAGAAACTCAATAAATGGTTCATTCAAGAGCTTTATCCAATTTTCTTATAAATCCAATGCACTCATTATCCCTATTATTTCAAACTTAATATCCTCTTCCTTTCCCTAAGTTACTAATAATTTCATAAAATGTCTCACAAATCCTTTTGCACATGTCTAAACTTCTGGATTTGTGGAATTTTCAATCACTCCTTTAACAAATCTAAACAATAATGTATCTTAATTTGTTATAGCTCTCTAAACTATTTATTAAAATTCTTGCTCTGTAATATGATCTACATTTCTTGAACTTGTTGACAAATTAACAGCCAAAGCAATTAATTCCTTTCCAATCACAGGTTCAGGGAAATGAAGCATTAATTTTACAACCAAAGTCATGCATTCAGTAAAACCAAAAGTTAGTCTGATTTTATCATCTAAAGTAAGTAAATACAACAGCACTATTGAAACAAACCTATAGTTTGGTATCTTAAGCATCTTAACAATATCCGGAATAAATCCATTCTATTCTACCTACAAACGAGCTTCAGTGTCAAAACTTAAATTTTTAAGAACACCTATGATATATTCCTATATATAAAATACCTAAACTTAGTTGTAACAATACATTATTATCAGCGCTGAAGAATCTCTTTAATTTCCTAATGCAATTCTCTTCAACCATTTACATTTTACATTCATTTACAATGCTCAATTTTTTTAAAAACAACAATGTAACTATTAATAAATAGAAATTATTTCTTTCTAACATTCTAATTAAAAATGATATGATTTTTCTTTTCCTCATCTTATTCTCTATAATTGGGTCTTCAGCCATGTTCATTAAGATAGTAAATCCAACATAAAATAATTTTTCTTATTTTGCTATCATCAGATTTAATTTTCTTAACTCCTATAATTGTTATGGTTAACCTTATTTTTCCATTAATTCTGCATATCTCAAATCAAATCTCTAGATTTATGACTCTATTATTTTCATAGTTATATCTCCTATCTGATGCTCAGATAGTATCTAATGAAATTCTAAATAATTTGACACTATGTAAAACACGCATAATAAATAAAGAGTGAGTTCTGTTGATTTTTTATGTTCATCTCTCAAAGTTCTAGATATTGTTGATAAGAATTATTCTAAATTTGATGATTATAAATAAATACCATGAGAGATCAATAATTCTAGATTTTCTTATCGAGCAGCCAAGCCAAGGATTTTCTTTGCAGCTTCCTTTTTAGGCTCTATTTTTTCATCATAAAATGCTTCCAATAATTTCTCAAGCAGATCTTCGGAATCCATTTATTTATTTAAATTATATCAATAATTGTTAAAATGAATACTCATATCATATGGTATTTACTAAATTGTAATTCTCCCATTTTGATTTCTGATAAACTTTGATTTCTTTCTTCTACAAATATTTTAATTTTTGAATCGAATGAGATTTTGAATTACACTAATTACAAATGAGACTTTAAATAATAAAGAAATTTAACTCTTTACTAACTATTCAGTCTAAATTTAATAATTACTAATTACATCTTATTTTATAAATGTATATCGAATTGCATTCATTTTTATATTTTAATTTTTGCCAAGAGACTAGTTCCATTTATTGTCAAACAAAAATTCGGCAATAAAATAATTGGAATTACTTCCTCTAATGCATTTTATATAATGATTTTACAACTGCTAGATAAACAATTAAAAAGAAATTCACTTCAGATGTTTTAATTATAAATCTTGATTATAATCATCCTATCCAGGCAAACCCCTAATCATAATGTAATAATTCTATAAGTGGAAATTCTCATTTTACACAACCAACTCAAAATTGATTTATTATTAATTCCAAATATCACAGGTAAGAGGTTTAATGGCTTTGAAACTTTATTTGATTCCTTTATCAACTCACTTCTGTATCTGATTGGCATAATTATCAAATAGACCCCAACAACTAACAATTTTATTTTTAAAATTCTTTTTTATAAAATAAATTTTATTAATTATTTACATATCTGTTTTCATTTTATATATTATAATATTACCTTAGTTTTTTTACTGTTAGGAAATTATTCATATAAAAATCGCAGTCACTCTCCAAGAAATAGCTCATACATTTATTAAAGTAAGTTTAAAAATTAATATTTATAATCATTTTATTACTTTTTTAGTTTTCACTTGATCATTATATTTCTAAGAATGTTCCAATTTGTGCAAAACTGAAGAATTGCCTTATTTTTTTGTCTGAAACTTTGTCTTCATACATTTAGGACTCTTTGTAATTGTTTGGGCTTCTTCCTAGTATTCCTCTTTAATGACCAATTAGTCATTTTAATTTGCACTTTGATTTGCAAATCGAAGTTATTAACTAGTATTGCTTTATATATTTAACTAAAACTGTAAAAGCTAGGGAATGTAGAACTGTTTAAGTAATTATCTAAATATAATTTAATTCTTACTGTAAAGTTGAGCTCAATTACAATTAATTGCTGATCTGCATGTTTCTTTTTAATCTAAATAACAAATAATTTTATAAATTAATATAATGAATTTTTTTCTCCAAAATTTATGAATTATGAATTTAATATATCTTTTATTGTAAAAATCAAATATATCATAATTTTGATAAATTAATACCTTTTTACAACAATCCATTATCAAAATAAAATAACCAAAGTCTAAAATTAACCAATGTATTTTTCTTCATGGAAAAATTTGTAATTAAAATTTATATTGATTATCAAAGGAATATGAACTCTTAAATTCCTATAACTTTAAATATCTGAAAAATAAGGGTAACGATTAGTAATAGCAAATTATTCATATTTTGTAATTACAAAGTAGTTAAAAGGGAGATTTTTTCATTAATTTGTTATTAAAATTATTATCAATTGTAAAAATAAATTCAAAAGTAAAATATAATTAGTACTTCTGCTAATTATATTGAAAGTTTAAACAATAAAATAAAATATGAATTTCAAGGGAACCTTTGGTGTTATATAATATTTTTAACTTCATATTAATATTAATTTTTAATTAATGCAGACTAGATCAAACTTTAGATGGAAAACCCCATCAAGATTACAGATAAAAACACCAACGCAGCAGCAAATTGTTGCATTGTCTTAAATGATGATTAGAGCAGAGTCTACTAAAAGAAGACCAGTCAAAGTCAAGCATTTCGAAAAAGAATAGATAAATAATAATGTTGAATCCTAATAGTAATTACATTCGATTCCTATAATATAAGAAAACTTAAATAAAGAGTATTAAAGAGTTATTTTTTAGAATGTTAGTATTAAAGAATAATTAAATATCATCAATGAAAGGTTTGTTAGAATACAAAAATTTAAATTATATTGATTTATCAGCTAACTAAATAAAGGAAATAACAGAGATTAACCAATTAAATATTAAGGTTCTAATGATATCCTATAATAAATTAAAAGAAATAAAGAATTTGCCACATTGCTTAAAAATTCTAGATGCTAAGATTAATATGATAGAAAGAGTAGATCTTTAGAATCTATACAATTTGAAAGTTCTCAATTTATAAAAGAATAACATTTCTTCGGTCAATTTATATGGCTTATACAATTTGTAAAAGGTTTATTTGGATGAAAATAAAGTATATATTTATCAGATTTAGTTTACCTACTTCACAGATATCCCTTACCTTGAGTAATTGCAAATACTGTCTTTATAGAATAATTAAATAATCAAAGTCTTTGAACCATCGCAATTAGCCAAAATACCAAAAATTAGATAAATTCATGTCTAAGGCAATCCTTTTTCAAGATTTATTCAATATGAAAATTATTTGGAATATCTAAATGATTTGAATGGTTAGATGCAACCAGCAAAACTTCGATGCAAGTCTGTGGAAACGCAGAAAAGCTTAAAGCTAGATACATCAGATGCATTAATAGCAAAAGAACAAAAATTAAACATTATTGATTTTAGTGAATAGACACCTTTTCCATCAACCTCATAAGCCAAATAGGGCTATACTTTTAATTAATAGTTAATATAAAAGATAATCAAGAAAAATTCAGGTGAATACAGCAATAACTACAGAACTGAAATAAGTTAATAAGGGAAAAGGGAGAAGTACATTAACTAATTTTCTGTAAAATAAGCATAGATTAATTTTGTTCCTGATTTTTCTTTTATAAAAAAGATCAATAAAAAGACAAAATCAGATTTATTTAATTACAATGAAATAGAAAAGATTCGCGAAATCAAAAAGTAATTTACTCATAAAGAACCTATTGAATTCTGTGTAAGCAAATATTTCATACTTTCAAAATGTTTAATTGTCTATGGAAATCCAAAAAATATTGATTAAATCGAAGTTGATAGTTTGGTTTTAAAATATTATGAATTGGAAAATTTGGAAAATTGTAATCTCTTTAATTTTAATAAAATTACTAAATTGACATTGTAACATAATCGAATCTGTCACCTACATGAAATAAATCAATTACTGAATTATTTCCAAAAGATTGAAATTCTATAGATTGAAAAAAATGAAATTAATAACTCGACACTATTGAAACCATATGTGAATTATCTTTTTTCTCTTGATGACAGAGATAGAAGATGTTTCCAAAAGCTCTCTGATATAAAATCTAACGTTTAAGAAAGTATAGAAATTGATGATAACGTGTTACCAAAAATTAATATAAATTAGTTTGATTATTTCTTTAACTCATATATTTTATCAGTTATTGATTAAATAAATACATAATGATCATTATTTTAATATATTTATTATATCTAATCATAGTTAAATATGAAAGTCCTAAATGTAAATTCGTTTTTCTTGTCATTTCTTAATGGAGAACAAAAAACAAGAGAAGATAATGTATTTTGGAGAGATATTCAAATAATTAGAGAATATTTATATAAAATTTATTAGGATATAACTTGCTTTAATTAAAACATAATCTCAAATTTTCAGAATCAATATTGTTGAACTCAGCATTTACATTTATCTTAAGAAATTGCTTCATTAGGGGTTTCAGTTTTGTTTGGAAGTAGAACACCACAATTTTTATTACTCAGATCAATCTGATTTTCTGAAATCAATTTTAATATGGATTGTGATAATTATTATAAAGTTTCTTCTATATTTTTACCATTTAAAGCAGAAGTTTCGATATATTGGCTTCCAATCTTTTTTGCTAATTATTGTCCCTCCTCAGTAGTTACTTCCCTTAATATTGAAATAGTTTACCTTTTGTTCATTAGATCTGACTTATTTGCAATTAATATTATTTTAATTTTCTCGTTTGCATATTAATTGATCTCTTATTGCCAACTCTTTATATTTTCAAAGGATTCTCTGTTCTTCATATCGAATACTAACATTATGCCAATAGCTCTATATTTTATTAAATTGCTTACCCTCTATAGTAAGATCTTGTAATAGATCTGAAATTTTCTTGTCCAGCAGTATCCCAAATCCGTGCCTTTATTATTTTCCCCTATACTTTCAATATTTTAGTAGCTATATCAACACCCAATGTAACTTCATGGTTATCTTTAAAAGTGTTTCCATTTATTCTACTGAGAATGCATGATTTCCCAACGGCTATTGCTAATTTACTTAATTACATGAGTCTCCTATTATGACAAACTTGAACATGTAGTCAAAGTCTAATGATTATTCTGTCATATTTATATTAAAATATTTGATGAAATCGATTATGAATAATTTTTCTTCTAAATATTTCAAATAATTACACAATAAAAATTAATAACAGCTTTATGAGATTATCATAACAACCTACCATAAGCTAATAAACCTTTAGTTTTGGTCCAGCCAACTCATTCATATAAAGGGCATAATAAACTTAGCCAATCATTCGAGTAAATTAACCATGTTTCCGAGTCTATACTTAACCTATGCAAAATAAGAGATAATCAAAGAGCCCCTTCAAAAGAGGATATGATACATAGGAGGAAAACAGAACTTTGAAAATGTACATATAATAAATGGAGCAAACATTGGCAAATCTCCAGCAGAAGTATTTCTTTATGAATAAATTTAGCAATAAAAGACTCTTGCTCTAATAATAATTAAAAGAAAATTCTCATTAAAGAGATGAAATTTAGAAACTTAAAACCGAAATATCCACTGAACTTGCAGAAAGAGCATATCTAGAAAAGGTTTGTCAGAAATTATGAGTGACATTTAATATGATTTGATGACGACTTAAATAATCTTATTTAGATTTATTTATCATTTTTAATTTATCATATTAATAATCATTCATACTATTTGATGTCTCATTAAAAGCGTTGTATCTAGGATGTCAAGAATTTTGGACTAATTTCATAATTATGGAAAAACACAAAGAAAAAAATCATCTAAATATATGCTCAAATTAATAATTCATAAACCTCACATTCTTCAACGTTAGGAGTATCTCCTCCAAATAAATGGGAACTTCTTTTATTTTCAAATTTATCCCATTCATACGACGAACCTAAATAAGATTATCCATTAATAAAGTCATTACAAATTCCAATATTTCCACTCATTCCAATCCAAACAGCATAGCTTATTGGTTAACAAAGAATAGCATGTTATCTTTCAGATTATTTTATCGGATAAATCTCATTGTGGGTGTAAGAAAAAATAAATGAACTCAAGGATTCATCAGATTACCAATTGTTTAAATCTTGTTTAACTCTGCAAGGAATATATGATCCAAAAACATAATTTCCAGGGTTTTTTGATTTAAAAATATATATTAAATGCTCTTTTCCGTCAATTTTATTCCATAAAGATTAACCATTAAGCCCATCTCTCGATCCCAAATATAAGTTTTTTATTTATTTGATGTCTTAATTTAATTTGCTTTTAATAAGTCCTATTAAATATTTTGAGTAACTGTTAGGGATTATTGAAGAATTCATTTGATTCACAAAATTTAATGACTTGCCCATCTATGAATATAAATCATCTGTTGATTTAATCGCATACTAAAAGGAATTTTACAACTCTTAAACATCAGGCAAATTAATACTATATAAATATTGCAGAAATACTTTTCTTGATGTTATATATACTCTTATTTTATTCTTTTTAAAGATTCATTTAATTCTTTTGCATTGTTTCTATCTAAAATTTCGAAATGCTGGGTAATTTTATATGATATCTATTCTAAAACATCATTTTGAAGTTTTTCATTAGCAGTTCCAAATTCCTTAATAAGGTTTTAGAATTCTTCAAATTTTATTTCCTAAGTTAATTTAACCTTACATGTGAAAGTTATTACATTGTATTTTTATAGTTGGCAATAAGCTCTTCCACAAACCCTTTTTGTTAAAGGATGATGTTGTCTATCTGTTTTTGGAAATTCCTCATATTGTTTTCCCAATTTTCGAAAGCTTACATTATTATAGACACTGTCTTCTTATGAAAACGACTATAAAACTATAGATTTTAATCATCAATATTAGAAATCTATGATAATAACTTTTAGGGTCTCTATTATATCTAAAACCTTAATGTTTGATCTTACATCATGCAATAACAAAATATTATTGAATATATTTACACTCTAATTTTCATCTTGCAATTCTGAAATACACTCGACACAACCAAATTTGATATTTTTCTGCTTAAGGAAAATGTATTAAACTAAAAATTCTTAGTGCCATTAACAACGAATTGATGTTTCCATTTTACTTTATTAATTAATTAAATGTAATGATAAAGATCTAACAATTAGATTTAAATAATAATTATCTTTAACCTAATTATTCAAAATAACTAGTATTAATTATTATATTATATATTAATATACAACATATATCTAATGAAGTGTTAAAGCAATAATAAAAAGGAAAATAAAAAAGGTAGTGAAATGAAAATTTTTATCAATATTGATGCGACTGGAATGATAATTTAATCTTGATATCCAAAGAAAATAAACTAAGTCTATAATTATTTACTCAAATGAGGATTAAGAGTGATTATCTAAGGTATATATCAGAATTAATTTATTATTTATCTAGATCAATTCAGTCTTAGTCAAACTTTAAACTTTTGTTTTGTTCTTCAATTATTTGATTATTTTCAGATTCATCTAATGTATCTTTTTGTATCAAAGTTAAATTTGATTCAATTTTAGGTTTCTCTATTCCATTATACTATATTAACAAAGATGTTGTATTTCCAAAGCTTACCCTATCACCATGATATAATTTTGTCAATTCTTTTACTTGATGATTATTTATAAAAATTTAGCCACAGGATTCCTAAGAAAGTGGCTACAATTCAATAATTCCATCCTTGGTTGATATAATAGCTTAGCACCTAATATTGGTATCACTTTATATTTTCTCTGATTTATCAAATTATTAAATATATTATGTATTTCTATTTAACTCTTACTCTTATTTATTTTCGAACTCTTATTTGATACTGCTTTAAATAATTTAAGATTATGTTTAAATTTAAGCTTCACTTAAATCTAAAATTTGTTGGTTCTCAGATGCCTTAATATTACTGATAATATCATTCTTAATCTTCATAATTTTATTTGCAAACTTAAGGGTAGACAATGATTGTTGAAAGTTATTAATGGCTGGACTAATCGATAAATATAGAAAGATATTAGATTTTTAATTTAATGTTTTTTGTAAAATTCTGGTTAATTTAGAGTCCCTGTAAGGGACTATAATCTTTTTATCTTATTATTGGGATAGTAATAATACTTTACAAATGACCTCTAACAGAGTTGATAACGGTCTAGCGATTTTTGCATCTAAGTAAAGAATAATTTAAATACCTAAGTATTAATACTTAGAATCTTTTAACTTCTCAATTCTATCTGAACAGACAAGATCTACAAAGTTTATGAGTTTGAGATTCTCTAATTTTTAATCATCCAAAGTAATGGTTTCTTTAATTTCTAATTGGATGATTATATTTGCGTATGAAACACTACAAATTAACATATAAGATGTTTACAGAACACTCATCAGAGTTTAACATTTCTATAATTTAAGAATTCCTTTTTTCATAAGTTCATCAAAACTTTCAGGTGAATCAACCAATTCTTTAGTTAAGTTCTCAACGAAAACACCTTAAAGTGCATTTTCTTTAATTTTTAGGTCCCTGCCATCCGTTGGAGAGAGTTAGTCATAAATTATTTCATTGAAGGTAAAGAGCATACTAGTGTAAACCTCATACTCTATTCAATAATAATAAGGTAGTCATTACTCGTGGTGATATTTTATTTTTCGGCTATTTGTTGAAAAATTTCTTTTACAAAATTTTAAACCAATCCTTAATTTTCAGCAGTTCCTAATAAAGTATAAGACCTTCCAGACTTTTTAAATTAATATGTATATATACTAGCTTTTATCCAAAAGATAAGATGCAACAATTCTAACCTTAAAAAAGTTGAGCTATTGTATCTTAATGAATAGTATTGAATATCATTTTTTAATCAGCATATCTTGAGTTTGGAAGAGGCCTGCGATAACCTTTCTCATCAACTTCAAATTCATCATGAGACCAAAAGGAATAATCAAATTCAAATTCTTTTTTGTGGGTGGAATCTCGAATGAAGAGTAATCATTACCAAAAAGGATAGTCTTGTCTCCTTTCATAGAAATACACAATGGCAGATTTTACTCAATTTCAAATTTGTTAAATGGTCTGACTCTAACAGCAACTTTGACAGACATATCGAATAAAATATAGAATTTATAAATATTATAGAAGTAGTCATGCTAAAGTCAATCATCTTAAATCTATAGTTTCTGCTCTAGTAATCCCATGATTATTTTTGGAATTCGATGATGGAAATACGCTCCAGAAGCGAAGGCTTTCATCTCCTGCTCCAGTAACAATATTTTATCCACAAGGCGAACCACTTAAATATAAGACTCTTTAAGTGTGACCAGTTAGAGTAGCAACCTTAGACATATTAGCATAGTTCCAAACAATTATTTAATTCAGAGAATAACCATGAGTTGAAACTAATTCATTTGAGTTTTTAGAAAACATTAAATTACAAACTTGAGACCCAGTATCAATGCATTCTACTTGTTCAATAGTTTAAGTATTAAAGAATCGAATGCATCTGTCAGCAGTACCACCCCCAGAAGCAACAATATTGTGTTAATGAGGTGACCAACCAATAGCTTTAACTGCAGCTTGATGTTGTGAGAAATGAGTTAATTCTCCTTGATTTTTCAAGGACCAAATAAATAACTTATTATCGTTTCCTCCTGATGCCAAGAGTTGTTCATCAAAGGACCACTTCAATCCACAAATTTCTTATTTGTGTCCAACATACTTTTGAATGGATTCATTAGGACATCTAACATCTCTAACTAATATGTTTCTATCCCTACTTCCAGTGGCTAATAAATAATTATTCCAAGCCAAAGATCCAATTCTACCTTAATGGCCATTCCATTTTCTAATGACTTTCTATTTTACTACATCCCAAACATCAACATCACCCATAGTGTTTCCTACAGAAAGATGTTGATTGCGTTGAGACCATGCTACACTACACACCATATCAGGGTCTTCAAGTGTGCAAAGACGAGACACCTTTGAGGTATGTCCGGACCAAATCAGAACTGAATTTTCAAGTCCTACTGCTAATGCATTAAATGGAGACCAATCTAATAGGTTCAGGTAAAAATCATCTTATAGATTTTCAGCCTCCAACACTTTATAAGGTCTTTTATTAATTTTACGAGGAGGCTTTTCAGGTTCAACCTTAGTTGGAGTATTAGAGAAATTTAATCCATTATTAATTATCTTATTCATTTCATTTTGTTTATTTTCTGTTTTGTAATTAAAGAGTTTTTAATTGATGGCTGGTGATTTTCCCAATATTGAGGATTGGAGAAGGTTGTTGTAGGTGTTGCCTTAGCAATTTTCCTCACTCATGAATAATTGGTAGAGGTTGGATTGCACATTACGTGGGATGAACTTTAAATATTGTTATCAATTTATACACGATCACTTTTGTCTTTGGGACTGGTCCAAGATTGTTTGTTGAGATCAATCTCTTTGATGGGTGTTTAATCATTCATTGGAAAACAAATGTATGTTTATTTTTTAATAAAATTTATCTGTTATTTGATTATATTAATAAAATATATTTTCCTTTGATTATTTTCACTACAAATACAAATTGTATTAATAAATTTATACACTTCAAGTATATTAAAGACATAAATGATGAACGAGATTAGCATTGTGTCACTCAGTCAACTCCTTAACAACATCCACCTATCGCAATCCCATATAGACGAAGCTGCCCGTTTCTACATTAGACACAGTCACGATTAGAAATCTCAGCAATCTCTATGTGAAGAGTGGTGCAATCATTTCCATTTTGCTAAAGGAAATGTTGATGGGGATAAGGTCATTATCTCATTACTTCATATGGCATAAAGAGTAATTGAATCAGTCATCAGATTTGAGGGAGCATGTACATCAATCATTTTTATTTTTTAGATGCTACTATGAGGGATGCTTTCAAGAAACAAATCATCAAAGCATTCGCTTTACTGAAAGACCACAACTCTTCACAAGACTTGAAATAATAAATCAAGGATCTTCTAAAATTGTGGGAAGAAAAACAAATATTCTCCAAATCAGACATTTCAATTATGATCGATACTATTGATCCTAATAAATTGAGCAAAGACAAAATCAGAACCTAATTTGCTCCTCCTCAATATTTGATAAATTACGCCAAAAATTATAAGGTACAATTTAAATCACAACTAATTTCTATAGGATTTACAAACTCGATTGTAGAAGATGAATGAGTATCAAGCCAATCTTGATGATTTAATTAATAGTGGAGCCTAAGACAAAGTCAATCTTTATGATCAATATTTGGATTAATATACTAAGTCTGTTGAAAGTGTTTAAAAATATAGATAGCTTGTCATTAAGGATATTATAGACGAATTGAAGGAACTTGACAAAATACATTCCAAATCCATTATTGATTTGAAGTACATCGCATAAAGAGTCTCCAATTTGAAAGCAAAGAAAGAAAAAAGAATCTAAAATGAATATTATAATGATTAATGATAACATATAAATTCCAAACAAATTAATTTAAATTTAAATATGAAGTAAAATAATAAATCCCCTGCCCCTTTTGCTATCACTGAAGAAAAACAAACCATTGAAACTATGCTAAACCTTGTTAAACTCCAAACTTAATAACTCAAAGATTAACAGCTTCAATAAAGCAATGAAATCAAGTTGTTGAGCAAAGCCTTCAGGGACTAAAATTAATCCATCTTATAAAGCTAAAATCAAGAATACTTCTCTTTAACATCCAAGCTCATCGAAGAAATAGAATCTGATAATTATTTTCAGATTAAGCTGAATTAAATTTAAGCCTACAATAAATAACTATATAACCTTATCAAAGATGTTCAAAAGGAAATACCTTCACAATATTAGCAACTTACGACTATCAATAGAGTTATCAATTTTTATAAATGCATTTTCAAAATCTCGATTAAACATTTGAATAAAGAGGAAGTGGCCATCATTTTTCATCAAACCTTGGGTAATACTGATTATGGGCATCCAATAATTATTTAATTGAAAGATACCAAATAACAATAAAGGTAATAATTTTGGAATTAATTTACATAATTAATATGACATTATTATTCTATTATCTCTTTAAAAATAATTAAAATTAGCTTTTTTCTTTTTATTATATCTCATCATGTTTTAAACAAAATAAGTAAGAAGTATAATTTCATCCTATTTTGCATTTCAAATTTTAGAGACTAAAATATTTCTTTTATAAGATTATTATATAAATATGAAACTAGAAATTCAAAGTAATTATGATCAGCAAAGGCAAAGCCAGTTCCAGCCTTTTGAATCTTTTTTCTTAGATATGATTTCTACTCTATCATGCAATAGTCTATAACTTTCAAATACTGTATTAAACATTTCTTTGACGGTTTAAGGACTACGTGCTGAAGTATAATACAGGGCATAATTTTGAATCAATTCTTCTATTTATCTATTTTTCTTTTGTAAAATTTTATCTGTTTTATTCCCAACTAGGACAGTTGGAGTTGCTTATGCAGAGTTTTAAATAATATTCAACCATTTTTCAACATCTCGAAAAGCATCTTTTGATGAGATGTCAAAGCAAAGAATAATCAAGTTAGCATTTTTCATGCTATTTATTGTGAGTTATTCAAATTGAGCCAAACCACTTGTATCATAAATCTCGTAGATCTAGCCATTTTTTTGATATCTGCAATAATTTATGCCTATTGTTTAAGCAATGTTAAAGGTAAATGGTTTATTTTATAAAACACTTAGAATTGATGATTTTCCACTGTTAGATTCTCCAACTATATATATTTTAAAGGATTTCATTTAAAAAATATTAATAATTTAATAGTCATATTTTATGATTTAAAGTTTTAATTAGAAGTTATAGAATAACAAATTATATCAAGTAATTTTCAAACCTCAACATTTTCATCTTTTCTTTCTTCTCTAAATCATTTAGGCAGATTGTAATTGATAAACTAATTTTTGCTGTCTTCGAAGTAGTTTAGTTTATTTATACTTTTTATGATTTTTTTTAGTAATTAAGGTGCTCAACGAAAATAGAATCTAATAATCATATGACATAGCTGCGTAAAGACAATAATAGTCATAATTGAATATAAGGCATTATAAATGAAAAAAATATTGTGTTAGAATGCTTTAATTTAGAACCAAAAATGATTAGGTATTGAATCTATGATTTAAGAAATTCAACTCTTAACAAGTGTAATTTCTAATTAGAATAATAGTAGTTGTAGGATTGGTTATAATTAATAAATATCATTATTTTTTAAGATTAAGTCAGTTGATTAATGATAGAAAGTACAAAACAACTGCAAAATTTATAAAATGAAATCCCTTAACAAATAGGGGCTCCTTCCATCATTATCAATTAAAAATAATTTTATATTATTTAAAATGATATCAAATTTTTTAGAATAATTTACTGCCAATCCAAAAGTTAGAATTGATACTCTTCTTCCAAATTATTTGATTTATAATAAAATGCATCCAGATGATGCTGAAGTTTCTAAAGAATTTAATGAAATATTGGCATTAATAAAAGAAAAGTTCTAATTGACAATAAAACTATACATTTTATCGGTTAGAAGAGATATGGTACCTAAAAAATTATTTATAACTCAATAAATAGAGGAAAACCTTAACAATACAGAATTAAATCCCATTTTAAAATCACAGCTACTTCTAGATCTTCAAGTTTTTTTATATGCCCTAACTTAAATATAGGATATTTATACCATGTTTTTTAAATAGGATTTCTTTACATATGTTGAGATGTAATTATATTTATAGATAATATAGGTAAGACATCCTAGATGATAATATCAATTTAAATTGGTTTAATACTCTAATAGAAAAAAAGGTTATTGCTTATTTAATAAATGTTCTTGGAACTGCCAAAGGATTATTATATCAAATGATTATTGAACAATTGAATTATCAAGATCTTATTCTCATGTTGAATAAAATTGTTGTTTAGATTTTTAACGATTGTTCTAACTCATTAAAAACGATAACAAATGAATTTGTAAATGCTACAAACAAATGTAATTTATGCAATAAATATTTGCTAATGGGTTTGTTTTAGGAGTTATCAGTTAGAGCATATGACTTAGTTGAAAATTACGAAGATTTCACGATTTTTCATTTATCAAGCCATGATGCCAAAGAAGAATTTGCTCGATTAGTAATCAATTATTTTGACTTAATGAACCTATATGTCAACAGACATGATGAAGATTGTAAAAAATAATTACATTTTAGTATTTACTCCATTTTAAAATACAGTGTTGAAATATGTCAAAGAAAATAATGATGAATTAGAAGCTATAGAATAAGCAATTACTAAAATAACTAGCAGAAATAAAAAAGTTGTAACACATAAGATTGTCTCCAAAAGAAATTAGAGATTCGGAATACTTTTGGACATTGATTGTGAGGATGGATCTAAATTAAGGTTTATTATTCATAAGCCTATTGATAAAATTGTAATTACAAATGCGAAACTTGTTTAAAATAGATGGATGTTTGTGGAGGCCCTAGAAGGATTAACTCCAGAATAATTACTCAGAAAAAAAGAAGAATCCAAAAATGAGTATAGTTCAATCTAATAAGCATTTGATTCGTTGAATTTTCAATAAAGTGTAAACACTATTCATGAAGATTTTGATGTGAGCGAAGAAAGAATGCAATTTATTACATTTAATGAATCTACGGCAGAAATACAGAGTGCATTTTCTGAAACAATAAAAATAAATGGTCTCTAAGGTGAAGCATTTAATGCTCATTTTTCAAGTGCAGCAGGTGATATTGGAGCATCATTAGGCAATTGTTTAGCAAATATAAATAAATATAACTCTCGAAAGGAATTTTTGGTTGATTTTGGTCAAACTGCCGTTGTCAGTGGTTCTCTTACATATATTGCTACTTAGATGCCAGTTATTGGTTAATTATTTGCTTTGGGAGCATTTGGATATTTTACAGCAAAAATTTACTCAAATGAATCGTCCTCTTAGAAAAGTAAGAACACTTAATTAAATAAATTATTAATTTCAACTACTGCAAACGTTGGTTCAGGAATAAGTGGAGCTTTAATAGGACAGGCATTAATTCCGGTTCCGATTTTTGGAGCTTTAATAGGTGGATTCATAGGAGGTCTATTAGGTGGAGCCTCATCATCAATGATATTAGAATATATGAGTGAACAAAGATTTTAAAATCTATTTGAATTAATTCAATTTAAAGAAGAAAATGGACATTGGGAATATTCTGATGAATATTTAAACTAACTTGGTTTAAGTAAATAGGTATTTTAAGAACAATTACCTAATAATTTAAGGTATGATGAAAATAAGGATAATAAATGGATTACCATAGTAATATATAATTCATATCTTTAGATTTCTTACACATATTGTACTGTGTATCAAGCTTAATTAGATTAGTTAAAGAATAAAAAAAATTAGTCAGAAAGTGAAAATAATAAAAACAATTCTTTTTAAGATCACTCTTCGCATTCCAGTACTACTAATCTAGATACAAATAAGCAACTAGAAGAAGATTAAGTTGAGTTCCCAGAATTTATAGAATAGGCGAGTAAGTGGATAATATAAAATAAGTGTTTAATGGGGTTATCATTGCAAAATACGGAAATCATAATAAAATGTATATTTCAAAATTTATGATAATATCTTAATTACTTTTATTATTGACGCAATAGCTGGATTTTTTCTTTTAATTATTTATATTTCATTATACAATTACGACTTTTATACTATTGATTTTAATATTAAAAAAAGTCAAGCTCCCTCCTCTATGAATTTTACTTGTATGTTCAATTATTAACCTGGGCCTCTAAAAGTGCTTGCAATTTGTTAATGAGCTAAAGACTTTTAAGCGGATAAGGGTTTATCATTAAATCCTTTAGTCACATGATATTCAAGCTTTTTTGCAAAAAAGTCTGTTTTTAAAATATTGGCAAATGTGAATTTCAAATCTTCTAAAGCAATTTTTGTATTTAATTCCTGTAATACATTTTAAAAAGAAATATACCATAACTATGTATTTGTCTAATCCACTGAAGGTAAATTTAACCTTTTCATAATCTCCAAAGGTTAGGAAAGGCGGATTTTAATTGTTATCTTGATTTTTCATCATTATAATAAATTTAATATTGTATTTTTTTTAAATATATTTTAATGATGAAATCAGAGTATTTTAAAGGATTTTTTTGGATAGTATACTTTGACTTTATAATAATGTTATTATTAAGCTTTACCAGTGCAGGAAAAAATATACTATATACAATGTACTCAGATTTCGATTTTAATACTTTAGCATCATTGCAATATGTTTGTAATTATTTATTTGGACCATTGATGTTGCTTGTGGTAGATAAAATAATAGAATCCTTTAGCTTCAAAAAAATATTTCTGATTAGTTCGTTTAACTTAAACATTTTTTTATTAGGAGGATTATTGGTGGCAAAGTGCTAAGAATCATGTTCAGTATCCTTAGTTGAGACCATTACTGTGATTTCATCGCTAATTGCTGGTGTTCTTCAAACAGTCTTTTATGTTTCTTTCGTTGCTTATATCAATTTTATGTGCAACAATTCAAATAGGGAATTATTTTTCGGAATAAGTTTCTCATTTACGAGTATGTCAAATATACTATCAAATATAATTGGTATATAAAGTAAATGTATATTTTTAGGTTATTATTTAAAACAATATTTTAATTTATTTACATTCTATGTAATAATAGTTATAATCTCAATAATATTGCAAGCACTCTTTTTTTGCATGAAAGACAATCAAATAGAAACAAAAAAAGAAAGTCGATCAATTGTGAAAGAGATTCAGTATTAATTCCTTTCCTTATACAAAGAAATTACTTATAGAAGTTATTGTTTATTTTTGGGAGTTCTTGTATTTGCAGGTTTGATGAACTCAGTAATTTACTTATTTTTGCCAGTTCTTGTAGAGAGATTAGGATTTTCAGGTTAAGATTTGTATAATAAAATCTTTTTAACCTTCTTGATAACTGGAATTGGTTAGGTTATTGGAGGTATTACAGCTGGCAAGTTAAGTGAGAAATTTAAGGAAAATAATGTTTTATATTTTAGCTTTGTTGTAAACTTTATTGGAATATTGTTAGCTTAAATTGGAATTTCAGAATAAAGCCTTTTACTAGTATTATTTGGATGTGCCTTAATTGGATATTCAGATAGTTCAATTTCCTCTTTGGCTCTGATAGTAATTACGAAATAAATCTCAACTAAAATACATGCCTTTGCTGGTTTCAATTTATGTTAGAGTATTGGATTTGGATTATCATCAATTTGGTGGGCCTTTTTTAATAAGAAATCATTGACTTACGACTTTTCTTACCTTTACATTACAACGTCTTTGGCTCTTGTTTCATTTGTAGTTTATAATTGCCATATCTTGAGAGAAGGAAAAACAAAAGAGAAGGACGATTTAATCTCCCCATCATGAGTATTATTTTAGTGTTATAATAAAAAATATTCTAAGAACGGATTTAAATCTTCTTCATCCACAGTAGATAGATAAGATCGAATTATGAAGGAAATGAGGATAATATTGGGGTAAAGAAAAGAAGCTTGTTAAAGTACGGATATTGGTTCAAATTATAGATGTTATTGCACAAACCTAATAGGTTAAAATGAGTATGATACATTATAAATTTTCTTTGGATTATTTCTAACTAACAGTTGATAATATATATATTAATGAAGATTAATTCTGCCAGTTAATAAAAGTTAGCAATGACTAGGCCATAGACTACCCCTCAAAAGGCAGGATAGTCACCTATAAAGAAAAACAAGTATGAAAAATAGTTGAAATAAAAGGTATTTGGTGTAATCAGGGGTGTCATCGCTAGCTAAAACTGATAATAAAGTCTCAAAATCAACTGCATTGTCACATGATTTAATTTCTTTGATAAAAAATGGAGGAAATGGTCATCATAATAGTCAGCAATTGGATAGGAAATAGAATTCTCACAGCAAATGCATTCTTGACATAAATGAAGCAAATTAAAAAAAAATTAGACCTAATTCAAGACAATAAATCCAACATTTGGTTAAAAGTAAGAAACTAGATAGCAATCTTAAATATCACGAGGAGCTAATTCAAAAGCAATTTCAAAAATTATTCGATCTACAAAAGCAACATCAACAAACTCACAAATCCCCGCCTCAAATACATAATAGAGCAATGAGCAATGGTGATTTGAAACCTACAAGCGATATTGCCAATAAATTGATAGAATATATAAAGAAATAATCAGCTAAGAAAATAAAGGGATATAGATCAATATCCAATCCGGATATAATCGTAACTGATAGAAGATTAATATCAAAATACGCAGTGAAGTATATTGTCATTAGAATAATTATAGAACTTAAGCTGGAATGTTGCATACAAAGTAGGAGAAAGTTAATTAGGATTCTTATGCAATTCATGAGGGAATAGGAAACATAGATAACTCGTATCTCTTATAAGTGTCAGATGGACATGGAGTGAATGGTCATGAAGTTGCTTAATTTGTTTAAGAACGATTGCCTATTATTATTGATTAGTTATTAAAATCTCATAAAATTGGGAAGAATGATTAAGACATGATGATACAAGTGATTTTGAGATAAGCATTTGAAAGAACAACAAAAGAATTATATACTTCAGGAATAGATATCACTTTTAGTGGAGCCACAACTGTTTGTTTGTTGATTATTGAACATGTGGGATGGTGTGCTAATATTGGAGATTCAAGGGCTATTTTGGGAAGATAGAAGGATGGATTACACGTTGTTGAATTGTCTCATGATCAAAAACCTGATTTACCTAAGGAGGAAAAAAGAATTATATAAAATGGAGGAAGAGTGCAAGCGTATTCCGATGAAGAAGGAAATCCAATCGGTCCAGCTAGAGTTTGGTTGTTAGATGAAAATATTCCAGGATTGGCAATGTCTCGAAGTTTTGGAGATTATGTGGCTGCTTAAGTGGGCGTAATATCTATTCCAGAAATAATTAAACACACATTTTAAAATGACAAATTCTTAATCATGGCATCAGATGGAATTTGGGAGTATCCTATCATTTATATTCAAGGTTTCTCGATAACAAATGGATTGTTGAAGTTGTCTATGGGTATTATTTGAAAAATGATGCTGAAGGAGCTGTTGAAAGATTGGTCAAGGAAGCCACCTAGGCATGGTAAAATGAGGATGAAGTTATAGATGATATCACTTGCATTGTTGCATTTTTGAATTGATAAACATAAATATCTTAAGAATATATATTTCCACTTTTCAATGCTTAACTTTATTAATTATATTATTTTAATGTCAGACAAACCAAATATCCCTGCACCTAATTCATTGGTCAAATATGCAAGTGCCACTTTGGTTTCTACTTCTGGCAAGCCCATTAAAGATAAAAAGAAAGGAAGAGATGCTGCTCCTTAGTCAATTACTAATGCATAAACAGAGGATATATTGAATTCAATTCTTCCTCCAAGAGTATCTATTTTATGTGCTAAATTAGGAATACACAATGGAGAAATAACAATTATGGATTCAATGTGTTTCTTCCACTCCTGCGAAAAGAGTAATTCGATTTTATATTCAAAATAGGAAGATGTTATTCTGCTTTAAGAAAATTTAGATAAAAAATTGCAATAAAGATAAGCCAGAGAAACTGGTATATGTCCTATTCGAGAGGAATTATATGCTTAATGTTTTGATGAACTTATCAGACAAGTATTATATGTAAGTTACAATTAGATTACAATTAATTGTGCTGAAAGAGGACTTCTCTTAGTTAGAGTCAGGGATGAAATTAGACAGACAATTCAAGCTTATTAAACTTTGTATGAGAGTTCTATTGCTTTTGGAATGAGAAAGGCCTTACAAGCAGAATAAAGAAAAGTAAATTATTAACAAAATGATTAGACTGATTATAACAATAAAATAAAGCAATTAGAAACTGAATGTCAAGATTTGTCGAAGCAGGTTGAAAAAATAGAGAGCACGATTGAAGACATGCAAAGATAAGATCAAGAACAATAAGAACATGAAGAAGCCAAACATAGAGATCAAGTCAATTTCTTAAAAAATGCAAATAAAGTATACAAAGAAGAATTAGAGAAATTCCTTACAGGTGCTAATGTTAAAAAATGATTAATATAATATTAAATAGTCAATTTTATATTTTTTTAATTTCAAGAGATTTTCTTTAGTTAGTAGTAATCTAAAATAATTAAATTATAGTAATGAATATTTATAATTATAAAAAAATAACATTATATTTAATTATGTTAAAATATATCACTAATTAAGCCCTTCAAAGTTAAAGGATACTTATTATCTCAACCAGCAAAGCAGGATCTATAGCTTCATAATAGAGAATCTATTAAAGTATAGAAGTGACGTTAATTTCGGTTTCTGATAAGTACTCCTAATATATAGCTATAGGGAGTCAGTTTACCCGTAATCATTTATTGAATACATATTATTTAGTTTGTGAATACATAAATTATTAATTTCATCAAAATCAACATTAATATTCAACAGTGGGAATGATATACCAATAATTTATCAAACCCAAAAAGGACTGAGTTGATTATAATTAAAGCCACAATTGAAATTATATTGTTTGCAACTTGAATTATATCAACAATTAATACAACAAATCCTACCTTATACTTATTCATTAACATATAGGCAGGTTTAGTGAATAATAGCAACCCTATTATCTTAAATTATATAAAAGTATATACCCCTAAGCCAATAAAAGTGAACAACTGTTCATTTGTTATTGTCTTTTGCAAAAATAACTATAGTAAACTATTAAGTGAGATCATAAAAGATCCAAAGGCAGCAGTAGCAGCAGCCTCTCTTGCAATTATTTTATTATTCAATAAAAATGCAACAGGAATGATACCACCTCCCATTCCTATAATTCCTGTACTAAACCCAGCCAACCAACCTGCAAAGTAATATTACCAAAATATTTTTCTGGGTGTAAAAAATCTATGCTTTGGTCTGTATTAGACTAAGTCTTTATAATATTCTTCATTTCTTTTATTCCAATAAACCAAGGATGTGTAAATAAAGTTAGCTCCAAGTAAGACCAAGATAATCAAATTGTTCTCCACAGAGCAAGGGTCTAATCCAATTATGGAATTATTATAATTATTTGATCTCATTAAGACAATGGTTTAATTAATTATGAAGGACCCAATCACAAAGCAAATGTTCTTAATTTAAATTTTATTATGGTCATTCACATAAAATTCCTCATACTTATTTAGCAACTTTTCATCCAAATCTGTTTCCTTCGCCATTTCTTCCCTTGTTTTGATTTTCTCTGAAACAAACACCTTATTATTTCTCTTATCTTGTTCTAGTTATCTTTATCTAAATGCTTTAATAAATACCATTTAATACTGAATTTCCATAGGAAAGGAGTTGCTCCAATCAAAAAGCATAATTAAATGAGATATAAGGCAAGTTAAGGCAAAAGTTACGAAAGGAGAGCTCCGAGACTCCAGGCTAAAGGGATGGCTTGATTGAATATTACACAGATGTCAAAGTTAACAAGTGGCAATTCTGGGATATCGGGATGTCTTTCTAATGAAATTTAAAGATACTTTTCAAAAAACAAAAAGAATAAATTCAGAGATGTGGTTGTGAATAGAAAGCTATCTCCGACCTGAGTTGCAATGTTATTCGGATAATTTAACAGGAGATTCAATATAGGCCTTTTAACCATTCCGCTTCCTAACCCACCCAATATTCCGATTCCAAGAAATATCGGAATCAAGGAATAAACAAAACCTGTGTATGGTGTCAATTCCAAAATAGGATCACGAACACATGTAAAGCTGAGTTCATTCCATTCACAATCACTCAATAGCCAGCATCCCTTATCAGGATCACATGCTTATCCACTCATTTTGTTATTTTATATACTTATGTTCTTTAAGTTAATATGTATCAAACTATATATTATATTTCGAATATTCTTAATTTATTTTTGTTGTTCTTCTTTGAATAAAATTATTATTTATTTTATGGACTCTTAATACGAGGAGGGAGAAATAATGACTCAGAAGAGCGAATAGTTGGAACGCATAAATAGTGAATCCTCTTTGCGTTCCCTTGTAAATTCTTATTTAAACATTTAGAGTGATACAAATTTCGATGAGAGAGTGCGTAAATCTTAATAAGAAGACCCAAGTTCTTTTTCTTACGTTTGTGCCATCTACAATTTCTTAGGTCAATGTAATCAAGTTGGTTGCAAGTATTACAATTCATATCCTTAAGGAAAAGACATATCCTGTTGTAAGATGGATTAGAGTAATTCACTACTGAGAATATCCAATTATTAAAGTAATTGATCAGTAATGGGGACAAGATTAGAGTTCCTTATGAAAATTATCTAGCCAAAGAAAATCGCAATAAAAAACACTAGGTAATCAAACCTAAAGTTATGACGAACTACAACCAAGAACTCTGTGAAAAATACAAAAGAGCCTTAACTCATAAATTAAGAAAAGATATCGATAAAATGAAAGACAAACTCAAAACCATTTGCTATCTCAAGAAATGGGTGAGACACAATTTCGTAGATGCAAGAGATTTTAGCGAACTGTTTTATTCTCTAAATTCTTCCTAATAAATGCATTTTATGAACTTTTTCAAAGTTCTTGAGTTATAGCCACCCTCATTTCAATGATCGATTATACATATAAATTTGTTTCTATGTATATTTGCAACACTTACCCAAATATTTTTATTGGAATATAAATATCCAAAAAGGAAGTTTCTTTAGAGTTTCCAAAGAAACTGAATCCTCTCAATTAAAATTAAGAGAGAAGGGAAGTTTGCATTGTAAGATTCAAGATTCGTTATCTCTGAGTACCCATAGATTTAGAGGAGTATAAACTTATGTGTATTTTTTAATTATTTCAATCTCTCTGTTTAGGGAGTAATAATATCACGATTAATAGATAAATGGTGTTACATTTTGATGTTGAACTCAACGATCGTCCTATATAATAATAATAATTAAAATATTAGGCACCAATGTGTTGATTAGTTAAAGAGTCTACATCTTTTATGGCCATCATCAAATAGTCATATTCATTTGAGTTATTTATGTAAAGCTTTGAGTTTTTCAACATTTTCTATTATAACCATCTCAATTTGGCATCTCTCAATGCAATTATTGAGTATGTGATCAAATCCTTGGGAAAGTGTAGATGCTACAGGAGATTTTTGTGATTGCTAATATGAAATGGTTTAGAACCCTTATTAATATGATTAAAAGAGATTATTTGTCATTTCATTAAGTGTTTGAATAAAGAGTATAGTTTAAAAGTCACCAAAGAAGAATTGCTTAAGTAAGGGGTTCAAGCTATAACGACTCTGATTATTCGAAGCTAATTGATCAAATCACAGGGTTTTAGCAACGGATGAGAAAGAGAAATCATCAAATCCAAGAGTAACAAATATAAGCAAAAAATGAATTACTATCTTAACGATTGAGATCGATACAGAAAACTGAGCCAAAATTACAATTAAATGACCTAAAAATATATAGTTCTAGGAAACAGTTTTAGCTGCAATTCGATCGCGAAGTATCTAAACAAAATTCTAGACTGAGAGAACGAATAAAGTCGATGTATATAATTAGCAATTATGTTAAGTGAACCCCAAATAAATAGAAAATCTCTGAATTAAGATTTTGTGAAACATTAAATTACTTTGGAGCGAATGCAGAAGTTCAAAATGAAAAATAATAGATGTGTGTTAAAGTCGTTAGAAAGAATAGAAAATTGTGAATCATAAAACCAAAACAAATACATGAAATATTACACACAAACAATAAAAACTGAGCCTGATAAAGAATATAGTGCTTGCAGATCTAATACTAATAAAGTACTGAGTTTTATAAATTTGATTGATTGATTTTAAGCCATAGAACAATCAAATATATGTATTGTATTATATAATAATAATTATATTATGTTTTGATTATATAGAATAAAATCATAATATTGATAGCAATGTCAATACTAAATTGTCATGTGAATCTTAAAATACAATCGCATTTTACCTTCATTACAAGATGCTTCAGAAAGATTTTCGAATACTTACCTCTTCGTAGGACAATTAGTCTGTTCTCTAAGTTTTAAATTCGTGATCATGAATTATCAGTAATCAAGTATGATATCAAAGTAGAAATGTTTTTGTGTTATTTACAAATCCACCTACAAATCTGAAAAGATTATCTATAAAGTGTTAATATTCAACCTAATATTTAGATAATATTAGATAGTCATTTTTCTTATCTTTACTTAGATCTGGTTTAATTGATTGATAATATGCATCAGCTTGATATTTCTAATCGAAATATTTTAGTTTGAATGCACAATTTCTAGCTTCTACACTTTTTAAATGGACAACAAATTAGTTATTAGTATGGCGAGAGATTTATATATATGTTCTGATTTATATTTCCAAACAAGATTTCAGAAAATGTAATTACTTATGAACAAATTAATTAGAATAAGTGGGAGTTTAAATTATTATTGGATTTCTTTAAATAATAATATAATAAATTCGAATTTATATAGAATATTCTATTTGAGAATAGTGAATTCTTGATTATTATTGATTATATTCATTTTTTTATTATAATTCACTCGAAAAGCCTTTCTAAGAATGTCTTATCCTTATCTTGTTTGGCCGGCTTTTATGGTTACTAAGGTTATGTTGGAACCTGATTGTTAAAGGATAATATACTTATATAGGTGGGGCTGTTTGTGCTAATTATCCAGGTTAGATGGGTGGTAAAGTTTTTCTGTAAAGTGAATTCCCTTAGGCTGGCAATCTTTGGAAGTCCTTATAAATAGATGAGGGCACAGCAGTTTAAGCTAATTAACCAGGTAAAGCTGTGGTAGTTGCCAAAGGAATTGATGCTTGAGGTATTGTTGTTTATGGTTGAATGATAGTTGTTGGTGGTTTGCTCAAAGTTCTTGTCTATGGAATAACACTGGTTGTTTAAATTGTTTATGGTACAACACTTGCAGTTTGAATGGTTTATGGAACTGACTGTAATTAACCTGTGACAATAGCAGGCTATTATTGAACATATGTGGAAGCCAACTGAGTTTATGGAATTACAGTGTTTTATACAACAGGTGGTCGTTATATTGTTGTAGTAATTGGAGGTTAAATCAAAGTGCTTGTTATTGGTTGTTAAACTGGAGGTGGTGGTAGAACTGCTGTCGTTTGAATTGGAGGAGCCTAATAGGTGGTAACTTGGGGCTGTTAAGCGACTGTCACATATTGTTGAGCTTATTGAGTCTAATAGGAAATTAAGATATTCTTACCACTATCTGTTGTTATACTCTCTGAGTTTGAATAGTTTAGGATTATGCTAGATTTGTCTGAGCCTTTAATTATAATTGATATTCTTACAGGCAAAATATTTTATTTTTATACTGTGTAATATTCTGTTCTCTCTTAGATCCTTTCTACTGGTACATATTCTTATTGTTAATAATAAATTATTACCAATTTATTTTTCTTATATTACTTATGGAATATATTCAATTTCATATTAAACCGCATAATAATCAGTTATTTATCGTGTTATTGGCACCTACACTTACCTTCTCACTTCCTCATATTCGGTGACTACTCTCTCATATGGCACATATTCAATTCTCGATTCTCCTTTTATGGCTTATTCAGTCAATATATGTGAACTTAATTACACTGGACCAGTCTGATAGGGAGCACCAGTTTATCCTATTATCTATGATTGAGGCAAGGGTTATAATCCTTATTGCTATTAATATGGAAGCTGTTATGCTGGAAATCCACTTATTGGAGCTCTTCCTAAATTTTAGGCAGGAACCACATATTATGGTTGAGCCTAAGGGAAAATTTGATTTGGAATTCCTTATTGAGGTATGAACTGATTCTGATTCTAGCCTTATGGAATATTTTATTAAGGCAAATTAGAATGAGGCTTCGATTCCTATCCTTATTAGGGAAGTTATGACATTTTTATTAATATCTTAATCTCTTATTATATTCCTTTAAATATACGCTAATAAACTACAATAAAATTATTTCATTTATTAATATATATTCATATCAATTAATTATTTTATTCACTATTCGATCAGTTCTATCAAAGGAGAACCTTCTTTTTAATATTGATGGTGTAATTTTCTTCTGCAACACTTACCAAAATATTACTCAATTTTTATTCAGGTAATACTAAAATATAAGACCACTGTGATTAATTTTACGATTGAAACATTATCAATTGAATACAATTTTAATACTAATTTAAAGAAATCACTTTATTAAATATATTGGTTCATTATTTTCTTTTATAATGTTTTAGCAATTATTTTAATAAGTATCTCAATTCTAAATAGAGGGTGAGCCTAATTTAGTTAAATTCTCAATTAGTGCCAATGAAAAATCAATTGTCTTATGGTTATAACTAAATGGGAATAGATTTCTAACACTCGACAGATTGGATGGCAATTGGAAATCTAGAGAATAATAATTTTCAATCGCTGGTATAGGTCAACCCTTTAAACTTAATTTGAATGAAAGCGGAAACATTTTGATTATGTACGATGTCTCCAAAAGATATATATACACTTGGCTTAGATTACACGTGAATTCAAATTGGTTATTAAGAAGTACTTTAGATCTATAAAGACAAATTGATATTACATCAGAAATCAACTGCTTTTTTTTTAAGAATCAAATCTTTATAGATCGTTAACATACCTTTTACATCATCAAAAGATTGGGTCAAAATTTTAAAATTATAAATAAAAAGATCTTTAATTTCAATGACTATATGGATTGTCTGACATATGGTTATGAAAAGGATGTGTTAGCTGAAGTAACAGACTCAACTGTTTATTTTTGGAGAGAGGATCCTAAAACATGGATAAAAGAAAAACCAGCTTTCTATGATTGTGAAATCAAGCCTCATTATTCATGCTTTTAAGGAAATGAAATAAAGGCATTTGTTAATGGAGCAGTGTGGATGATAACCTATCCAGAAAGAGAATTTATAGCTTATGAAGATGAGAGAATAACGAAACGTATTACCCAGTCATCTTTAAATTATTTCTTTCAATTAGATGAACCTACATAAAATTCAGAATAATATATTCAATTTTGGCATAGAGAAAATTAATAATAGAAGAATTTTAATTTTGAAAAATTAAATTTGTCTGCAATAAACATTTTATTGGGACAAAATGGAAATGTCTTTGTAGCATTGATAAAATTAGAGCAGTTCATCTAGATATAAATTTATGAAGGGTTGTAAATTAGGAAATAATTACAACAAATTATATGATTATTATATATATATATATTATATTAGCATTATAAATTCAGTTATTTTGATTCAATTAAATTAATCATATTTACTATTACCCTTTTATAACTTTGAATTCATAAATAATGCATATATTAAAATATATGAATTATGTTTTTGCTATAAAGTAAAATTGTAATTAAAAATGAAAATAGAAAGAAATAACTCAAAAAAAGGACGACTGCTTTAATATACCAAAGGATCTTAAATAATTTTATGTTGAAGAATTGATTTATTCTGTATAGAAAGTTTAATTTATTAAAATTTTATAAATAAAGATATATTAAATACTTATTTTTAAGAATAATACTTTATAACTGGGATTGTTTTAGATTGAGAGGATAGTGATTCTAGTTGTTACATTGAATTATGTAAATAAGATTAAACAAGGAGGTATCTAAATCCTCATAGCATTGATTGTATTTACATGAAGTGGGTGTTTTCGAGAATATTGAAAAGAGAAAGATAACGTATTGATTCTTTATATGAGGACTGAGCAATTATTTTTTATTTTAAAGTACTTTTTGCAAATTTTAAGAGGTATATAATAAATGGCTCATAATTATGATAGTTATATGTAGAATATAGACCCGGCTATGAAGAGGAGAAAATAAACCAGAGTGAGAAGATAACTAGTAAACAAGACTTTGCATGAGGAAAGCGAAGAAAATTAAATGATTGAGGTGCAATAGAAGGTAACGAAAAAATATCAAAATTACTTACATACTATTCAAAAAATGGGAGAGTTCGATTGGACAGATATTGAGAACACGAACAATGCAAAGGTTATTTATCCAAGTAAACTAAATCTAATTTCAAGTACAATTTTTGCAGCCTTCCACTTTACAATTTATGATTGCAGCTATGTATTTCAATTGTGATCATGACTATCTTGAACATAACCTTTAAGAAGTTCAAAAATTGCTCAAGAAAACTGAATAACCCAATGGTACTTCATGTTAAGAGTATAATTATCGATTAATTAAGTGATTGTAAAAAATAGAAAAATAAAAAAGGGTATGATGTGAATGATGATATATTCATTTTAGAGATGAGACAATTAAGAATTTAGGATTTAGATGATATTATTCTCAACTAAGAGTAGTATTATTTTATTATTTTTAGATTAGAATTGGAAAAAATTTAAAGGGAAAATGAAAAAGCACTCCAAAACTTTTTAGCAGTTGATATACCCTAATTAAAACCCCCGATTAAAACAGATTAATCTAATAACCTATTAAGGGATATTTCTGGTCTAACGGAATACGAAAAATAATATATTGAAAAAATTGAGCTCAAAATCTAGACAGAAGGATAGAATATTATTACTTAGGAAACAGGCAAAAAGACATAAGGAGGTGGAATTCACTTATCGCCAATTTTAGACGATGCCCTTTGTTAGGTTTGTAATGATGGAGACTATACAGACGATAATCTAATAGTGTTCTGTTCCAAATGCAATATATCAGTCCATTAGAAGTGTTATTTAATAGAAGTGATACCGAATGAAGATTGGATATGTGATGTATGTTAGACTTTTGGACCCAACGGATAATATTTACGTTGTGCTTTATGTCCAAAACTAGGGGGAGCGATGAAGGCAACCCAAATTGATGCTTCAAGTTTTGAGCATTTAAATTAAACCTATTTTGAATCTTAAGGGGAAACTATGATGAAAAACGATTTAGTTTCTAAATTATGTAAGTTTATTAATAACATAAATAGTTTAACAAATAGATGATGATTAAGAACTGTATTATGATTTTAGTAAATTACCAAACAGAGATATTAGAGATCTTGAGAACAATAAGGACATCAAAGAACCCTAACCACAAAAGGTGTGGATTCATTTATCATGTTTTTATTGGTCTCCTGAATGTTTTCTAGATGAAAAGTAAGACATATTAAGAGGAGTTGATAACATCAACCAAAAGAGATTTATTCTTAATTGTAGTTTGTGCAATATCAAAAAGGCTGGGATGTGCATTTAATGTGCTAGAGGCAATTGCTAAACAGGATTTCATGTTGAATGTGCCAGAAGATCAGGAATATTCTTAACCCAAACTATTGTTAATACTAAAACAGATTATTAGATATTTTGTTAAAAACATGTGCCACTCAAAGTCAAACGAATATTGGAATCAAAACAAAGATTATATGAAAGAGAAATCATTGATTTTTTTAGAGCTTACGAAAAATGCAAGTCTGTCCACAAAAAGTCTCAATAAAGAGTTAAAAAAACGAAAAATTCCAAGGAAGCACAATTAAAATTGGAAATGCAGGAATACTAAGAGAATGAATTTGATTTAGTAGATTTTGCAACTAAATTAAAAGAATTCATAGATTAGATTTTAGATTAAAAAATGGTTGTAAATTTGAGACTTGAATAGGGCAAATATGTTTTTGAGTCTGTATCAGAACCTTAATTGAAATAATAAAAATAGTATTACCTAACTAAACTACCAGAAGTATATTAAAGTAAGGTTGATTAGAATGGATAAATAATTACATAATTCTATAAAAGTACCATTACTGCAACTGATGAGTTATGGAAGTTCTTTAAATATAGAGATTACGAGAAGGATATCATTTATAAAATGTATGAAAAGTTGAGAAGAAGAGCAAGTAAATTCATGCAAGAATTAAATCCTCAAAAAAAGTAAGCAAAATTAATAGATATGCTAATGTTAAAGAAATTCAAAAAAAGCAAGAAAGTTGATTAGAAAAAGGAAATAATCATAGAATTAGTAGGGGATGAATATTATTAAAGAGATGACAATTTATATTGTGTTTGCAGAGGCAAATTTAAAGATGGAGATCCGATGATTTGTTGTGAATCCTGTGAGGAGTGGTTTCATTTTGATTGTCTAGATATCATGATTCCTAATGAAGAAATTGGTAAAATGAATTTCTACTGTTTTCTATGCATAGATGATTTACCCAAAGAAAAGTAAGTTGAAATATATAATGGGTATGCAAATGTGTTTAAGGATGCCTCATTTAAACTATAAAGGGAATTAGCAGACAAATGCTCATTAAATGAATCTCGAAAAATTAGAATGAATGAATTGAAGTAGTCTAGGTTGATTGAAGAAAACAATAAGCCAATATTAGAGAGTGCAGAATAAGAATAAAAATTAGAGTAACAAATATAATTTGAGGATCAAAATAATAATTCAAATTTTGATCATTTAGAATTTCCTAATCATTATAATGCTAAAAAATTAAAAAAAGAAATTACTTCCAAAGAAACTAATTGTATATAAATTGAAACTCAAAATGAAGGAACAGATAAAAATAAAAAAAACGATGAACATGTGAAAACTCCAAGTAAAACAGAATCAGTCGAAGATCCGGACAATAAATTAGAAGTCCCAGATACTCAAGAAAAACTAAATAGTACACAAAATATAAAAACTTCACAAGACTATCTACCAAAAGAGTGATTCTAATATATTTTCACATTATTATTATAGTAAATTGTCACTAATTTCTTAACTCAAGATAGGAAATCTAAAAATAAATATATTATACATATTCTTAATGATTAATGAATTGAGTAATGCAAGGTACATCTAATTATTGGATTGTATCAATATTAGAATAGCTCATAATCTTATTTCATTAAAATAAATGTCAAAAGATCTCTTATTTTTATAAATTACTCATGAAGGGATAGAGGAATGTAAAATTTTGGAAGTGATTATCGAACAATATGAGATCCTTTTCTGAGTTAATCTGTAATTGTAATATCAAAATAGTGATTTAAAAAATAAGATTTTTCTTTTTTATTTCTCCATGTTATAGTTACTTCTTTGGTGTCATAATCCTTCGTTAATAAGATTTTCATGCGAATATCTTGGGTTACAGGTGTAATTCTCCTCAAATTGTATGAAGATTGAGATGAATAAAGTTAGAATCGTATCAAATAATGTATTGATGTATAAATTTTTATATCCGTTTTTGAATTAGTTCTAATTTTTTTATGTATTTAAAGGCAAGGATAGAGTTTGAAATAAACATTAATATTTTTAATGAAAGTTGCTATCACATTGTTGGTTGTATTAGCTCTCGCTAACGCTGGTATGGTGCAAAAATTCCCACTCACATACGGTGGAAAGAGAAGCATCATGAACATCATGGTTGAAGTCGAAAACAAAATCAAAGCCCACTCACCACTTGACACAATCAAGGGAGTTCTTGATAACTTCAAATCTGCAGTCGCCTAAGAATAAGGAACACACGATGAAGTCTATGGAGCTTAAAAGGCTGAATGCGATAGCGAAATTGCTTACAGAAGAGCTGAAGTTGAAGATGCTACTGGTACACTCAAAATCGCCAACGGTATCTTGAAGACCTCAAACATCTTATTGAAGAAGACCTAAGCCACCCTCGGTGAAGTTGAAAACATCTTGAACACCGTTTCATTACACGTCGGACTCATCAACGACGCCAGAAAGGAAGACACCCAATCATACAACAGAGGTGCAGTCACATTCAACGATGCCATCAACGCCATCGATGACTCTCTTGATTTGGCCGCCGCTTTAGCTAAAGGAGGAGCCAGTTTGATCTAAGTTGCCGAAATGACCACCAAATTGATGAAATCATCAGTTGCCACCAAGATGAACAAGGCTTTCATGGCCCCATTGGCTGCTTTGGCTTAAATCACATAAGAAGAAGACTCAGTAGGTGCTGCTGAAAGACTCGCCCAATTATTGTAAACCTTGAGAAACAACGTTGAAGAAGCTTGGGCCTCATACACCGCTGAAAACACCAACGCCTTAGGTCTCTTCGCCTAATAAAAGGATTTATATCTTGCTTCATAAGCCAGACTTGATGACTCAAAGGGAAGATTAGCCAACAAGGCTGAAAACTTATAAGGAGTTATCTCCGTCTAAACCGCAGTTGCTTAAGCCGCCACCAACAAGAAATAAAGAAACTAAACTTTATGGGATGATGCTGCCGACTTGTGCCACAGCTTCGATGTTGAATATGAAGCCGTCACTGCAGGAAGAAGATAAGAATTAGTTTTGGTCTAAGAATTGGAAAGATTAGCCGAAAGAAGAGCTGCTGAATAATAATGAGATATAATCAAATCCATTATTTCATTCATTCTTTTTCAAAATATTATATTCTCCTACTTCGCATTTTCTTAACAAATGCATTCTTCATCAGCCTTCTTCTCAATCTGATTGAACACAGATTCTACAAAGTAGAACTGAATTAATTAAAACATTCTCTAATTTCTATTAATTAATTAATACATATATATATTAATTAATCAGTCGTTACTACCAAAGCATCGGTGCATAGCAAATCCTCCACATGCGATTACCATGATAAAGTAGATAGCCAATATTCCCACTAATATCATGATGATCATCATTTTTTTATTTCTCCACCACATTTTTCTTCTCAGGGTTGTTGCATTTTGTTTCATCGTTGTTGATATCCTAAACCTATTACTATGTGTTACATAACCATTTAATCGGTTTTTTGTACCAGAATGTCAATTTTCTCGCCTCTTTCCAATATTTTATCCAGATTTTCCATCATTACGTCTTTGGTTTACTGAATGTTATCAGAAACCATCCTTAATTTGTCTGCCTGGGGAGAATTATAATATTCAATTTTGTTTTTCTATTCCTTTCATAATGTTTAATGTATAATTTTACTGTAGAGAATTATGAATTTAATCCATACGATATAGCTTTATCCCTTTATTATGGCTAAAACATTTAAAAGAATTTTTATTTCATGTCCTCCAAACAAGCAAATGCAATTCTCATCTTCAATCCTCTTTCTGCCATAATCAAAAATGAAAACCCATCTTCTACTAAAATGTGAAACTCATATTGATCATAGTTGAATGACTTCTTAGCATTTTATTGGTTAACCTTTGATATTATTACAGTCTACTTTTGATAGAATTGTTTTCGAAAATTCGATATAATTCCCTTTAAGTGTTGAATACTCTGACAAAAAGACATTGGAGCCTCTTGCGACGACTGCATATATAATTTGGGGATTCGATGATTGCATTAATGATAAATGATTAATGAAAATACACATTATAGATGCAATTATATAATTTCAGGAAAAAGAGAATTTATAAGTATTTGTAATTTTAAATATTACATAAATTCTATAAAATTAAAATACTTTTCACATTATTTTATCTCTATCCAAAAAGGATTTCCCTTTGATGCAAATTCTTTAATAATCAGTTGATTTCCCTACGAATAATCTTACCAAGAGAGCAATATTCAATAACCTCACTAACATGCTTCCCAATATAATGACCTTGTATGATTTATAGGGATCAATGACTTTTGAGATCATCAAAAGAACTGGGAAGGATACAAAGAATAAAGTTCCAAATAGTTTAAGTTTGAAATAAAAACTGTTAGCGATTTCCCCTTTCTTTTTTTGCTGATTCGCTGAATAAAAGAAATACAGAGCAAGAAGTATGTAAATAATGCTGATTGAATAGCCAGCCCACCCTTCGTACATATGAAATTAAGTTTAAGTGCTAAGTAATCTGCCTATGATGGCGAATATTGTTTAGACTACTCCAAGGACAAATACTAAGGGAAGATAGAAAGCTGCCTATGTCTCTAGATTAATAAAGTCAATTGTCCAACCCCAAGCAATTAATATCAATAACAACATCAGCAAATAGTTATCCACTGATTATATTACTTCTGATATGATCGCAAATGCACTTATTCCTCTTCCATTACTGTTATATACCAAAAGGTTGAAGAAATTGAGAGTATTTTACATTGCCTCCAATCCTATGATTACTAAGACAAAAAGTAATGCGTAGTCTTTTTCTCCGTACTTCTCCTGTTCCTTCTTGTAAATCCGATAGTTGTAGTAAAATCCAATTATAGTTAGTAATGCCAAGACAGCCACAATGCTAAACAACCCATGTTCTTCCAAAGAGAATTCTTATCCTCCTTCATCGAAAAACCAGATAGTTATTTCCAATTTGACTTTGGATGCAGAAGCAGAGAACATTTTTTCAAGTTTGTGATCGCAATTATTAAAAATTGCCAACCAGACATTATGATGTCTTCCATAAGCTAGCTATCCATTCAATGTTGAGATCTCTTCGGGAGTATTAACTTCTATAGATTGGTAGATAATTCTATTTGCTTTATCCTGCTTCTGGCATTCGGGTAGTGACTAGGCTTATTGCCATTTATCCTATTAGAAGAATTCAAAAGGGATCATTAATCTGTCGCCCTCATAATCTTTGGGAAGATTAATCAAACGAGACCTATCTATAAGTTGGCGATTAAGTACGATATTTCGTAATTTACAATCCCGCGACTGCCGAATCTGCTTATTGGGATGTAGTCCATTTTAGAAAGTTGCTTGAGGGAGAATGATTAGGTAATGATTTTGGCTTAGGCTAAAGCTAGGAATATGAATAAAATTCGAAACATTTAATAATTAAATGATAATTTTATTGCTGATTTAAACATGCTACAGTTCCAGTTTACTTGACAACTCAACTCTTAATAACATCACCGACTTATTCACTAGATGTAAAATGAAAGGCGAGAATCAAGACAATCTATTATTTCAGTGTTCATAAATGAATGCCATTATTCCTAAATCACAATTATATCAAGATTCTGTCTACGCCTATTCCTTCAACACCACAGAAGATGTCTAACTAAGCAATATGCTTCTAAGTGAATTGCTTATAGATCCGGAAACACTATCCTATCAAATCAAATTACTAGTTTTATATTATTCATAATATGGAGATTTGCTGTAGATGATTTAGTCGCTTTCCATCAATAAATACTCATTCTATAATTACTAGGCAACTGTTATCGATGGAACTTTGAATATGATAGGTCTTTTAAGTAATTATATGATTTCTATATTTAGTGAGTCATGTGAATGAACATTACATTACATGTTATTTTATACCAATCCATCCAAGTAGAGTGAATTCCTTTCCGTTGAAGGCACATAACTTTACTTGCACTTCAATATGTGCAATCAGAGGGTTTTCACAATACTATAATAAACAGAGGAATAGTTTGATTATTGTAATTGCAGAAGAGGATATGCTAAACATATTGGAGTACTCTTTCTTGGATTGGCAATTGAGATTCGTTTCACAATATTAGATTGCAGAATTGATTTAAAAAAATGATATAATTTTGAAGACCCAATAATTCGAAGACTATCTACTGGTTGAATTAAAAACCTGTTAAGCATTGTTTCATATTTCCTCCATTATTTATGAAGTTCAACTCTTGTACTTATTCTCGAATTCTCCACTATTCGTTGATCCAAAGACAAATCTAGTATTTCAGAAATCCTATCATCAAACTCTAGTTTACTCCATAGACAATACACCAAATTGGTTCATTTAAAAATAAATCAACTTCCGTTAGATCATAGATGTCCCTTTCACTGGGTCGATTCTAGTTCAAGATTAATGGTAATTTGTTTTTATTTATGACAATTTCCGCTTATTAAAAGTGCAACTAGATAAAAACGAGAACATAAATCAATAAAGCAACTGTCCAAATAAATTTACTTCATTTCCATATCCAAATTCTTAATTGTTAGAATATTAATTCTAATTCTTGGAAGAGAATTGGGAGTAAATCTAAAATAAACTCGAACCCCTTGAAGAATTGTAGAATTATACTTCATGTATCAAACCATGTGCTCTTTTGTATTTTAACTATGACATCCCTTTGGTTCCATACGAACAATAGTGTATTAGCTCTGAATTATATCAATAATTTACTGATTACTGCAGTTTATAGAACAGTTGCATGAAATGTAATAACTAAATCGGATGCAATTGGGATGATGATGCTTGTCATAAGGAAACCAAAATGTATTAAATAGATTTATCTTCGAATGAGGAAAGTTCTAAATGGTATTATGGTAAGATTTGGAAATGCGAGGAATCACAATAATAAGCTACTGAAGTCTTTTGTGGATATAACTAAACTGAATTTTCAGAAAATAAGGAGTTCACATACCAAGGGTAAATAAGAAAAGGGCAAATGTGCTCTTGGTTTTATGATGCAAATGAATTTCAGTAATTTAACTTGTTCTTCAAGGCTGATCTTGTGAACATCCCTTCCTTCATTTAGATATCAATTTGTTTGGGATTGAATAAGAATGAAATTTGTTCATAGATGAATTTTGAACCATGGGATTTCAATTAGACTACAACATATCCATTCAAGGGTTACTACTTTAGATATACAATCATATTTATTGAGGATAATTTAGCCAATAACATTTCGTTTTCCTTTTCAAATTCGGCTCCAATATCAATGGGAGATAGACTGAAACAATCACTGTTTTAAATGTTGACTTGGTTGTTCTGTGGGATATTGCTATTTTGCATAATGGGATACATGGCCAAGCGAAGACTGCAATATTTGGTGGCTTAGACAATAGATAACGATCTGAATTAAGTAATTAATATGAGTTAATCTTAAAGATAGCACCTTATATGTAGAATCAGGTTCCTTTGTCTGATGATAGATTGAAAACTGTGATGCAGAATTTGATTGACCAAGAGATCATAACTAAATATCCTTCTGACCCCTCATTGTTGTTGTATGGAGAGGACTCATGTGCTTTTTGTTTTGAATAATTTGATGTTTCTCAATTCGTTGCTCAGCTATTTTGTGGACATGTTTACCATTACGATTGTTTTGAAGACTGGATAAGAATTAAGGGGATGCTAGATAAATGTCCAATTTGCAACTAGAAAGTGGATCATTACTTAGCCAACAAGGAGGAGTATGCAATTATTAAGTCCTAAATTTTGGATAGAATTAACGAAACGGAGAAGCATACCACTCATTTAATCGAATGACACTATTAATATTAATTAAATTATCATGTAACGAAGTAGCAATAACCCCATTTTTCTGTCTCCAGATCAATTTGCCACTCTATTTAACCAAGGAATACGTGAATCACTCTATTTAGATGAAATGCAAGACCAAAGGGAACTCAGTTTCTCAGCTCCCAAGACGGATGAGATGAATCAATCGAACTAGCCCATTTAATCTAGTAATTTTTTACCTGAATTTCCTAAGGACGATGTTGTCATAAGTATTTTTCATTAAAGTCTATACTTAGTATCTAGACAATTATATGAACAATCGCAAAACATTGAGTAACATAATAAACAGTTGAGCGAATCATACTAAAGAATACTAAAATAGAACAAAGAATTATTGAACAAGAGGAAGCAATTAGAAGAGGAGAACTAGGGTCTTCTAGAGGAGAACTTCGACCTTAAGAGACAGGCTCATGAACTTTAATAAAAGTTGACGCTAGCCCAAAATTCGATGTTAGCCAAAAGAGATCAAGAAATACAAAGCTTGAAATAGCAAATTAAAGAATTGTAGTGTTAATCGAATTCCAGGGATTCAGCGACCAAGACTGAAGGAAGTACTGCAACTTCTCATAAATATTGTTTCGGATCGAACACTCATAGAGTACAGTCTAATGAACAATCGAAAAACCCATCTAGATTCACTTCTCCAGTTCCGAAACAATAAACCTCGGAGTTCTCAGTCTTCAATCAATATAATTCAAATACTGTGTTTGGAAAACAACCCCAATTGTGAATTTACATTTAAATGTATATATTTTCTGTTTGAAAACATTATCAATTACTTATCCAAAACAAGCGCCTACACATAATTGCCATTCCGTAATCAGGACTAGAAATTATTATTATATTAGCTAAAATAATTAATTCTTATTTTTATAAAATGCAAAGCTCCAAGGTTCAAGTCACCTTCGGTTCTGAAACCTTATATCTCAAATTAACCGACGATCCTGATGATTTCATCAATGCTATTTGCTCTACATTTAAAATCAAACAGTTCGACGCAAAGTATCAATTATTTTCATAATAGAGTAGAGTGGAAATAAAAAACAATTAGCAATTAATTTTTGAATTTCGAAATTCCAATTCAATATAAAAGGATACGATGCTTAAGATAAAATAATTAGGATGCAAGTCCATAAATATTATTGAATATAAGGATCAATAAAATCAAGTCAATAATTACAAATTTTTTGAAGCTTTTGTATAAGGAAATGAAATTCAATGCTGCACCAGATCAGATTGCAACTTATGCAAGGGAAATGGATAAGCTATCATTGAAGAAAGTGATCATCCATTTATAAATGAAGTTGTTAAGAACAAAATAAGTGAAAGACTACCCGATATTCGTGAAATGTAAATTTCCTTATGCCACCATAGAATTCAAAGAAGAGAATAATAAAAAATCACTTCCCCCGAAGATTTTTTGAAATACCACATGACTATCAAACAAGATTTTAAACCGGAATATTTGACAATAACACCTCAAAATGCTTATATTCGATATAGCTAAGACAACAATGGTATTAATAATTGACTATCTAAGTTATTTAGCAGGATGATAAATAAAAAAGTAAATACAGAGTAAAAATAATTGAATAGTCTAATATTGAAGGGGAACGAGGAGGTGAGGCTGTAATGCAATTAAGGTATATGAATGATGGATTTCATAATTGGCCTTAGAAAGTGTAATTGGTTTGCAATGAGGGCCCATTTTAGATCAGATAAGATATCAAATCAGCAATAAAATAGTAAATAATAAATTAAGAAATTAAAATTCATATTCCTGATATCCCTCAGGAATTGTACGAATTCTCCTGCAGATTTGAATATCTAAGTGAAGATAATCAAAGGATTTAATTCGGACCAGTCATAAAATTAAAGTTGATTGTGAAAGATAAGAATGGGAAATAAATCAAACCATACAATTTTGATGAACAAAATAAAAAATTAATCCCGTTAATTCAGAATCAACTAATTTAAATGGGATATTAGAATGAAGTAATTGTCTAGAAGATGAATGCCATCTTCTAACATTCAACAAATAGAGAATTAACTTTGGAGCGGTTTATGAGTGAGTTTTTTTTGGAATGATTGATTCAAGAACAAATTTTAAACTTTTTATTAATAATAACCTATACTTTAAAAGGTTAATCCATTTCTTTTTATGTTTAATACACAATTAGTGACACAATACATCATAAGCATTTTTTCTAAATTAAATCTTTATATTTTTTTGTTCCAGGTAAGTTTTCATCCATTATTAATCTGAAAAGGTTGTCATCATTGATCTTTATGCCTTAATCCAATTTATCCTTATACGCTTCATTTATTTCTTATATATTTTTTTGTGTAATAATTTAATCGAGAAGTCCGAAATCTTTTTTCATCTTAGCTACTAATTTAAGAATAATCTTCTTAAATCTTAAGTACTTGCTCCTAAGATAGGCATTCTGAATATCAATCATGTCCTAAGTCATCTTGGTATGTTGCTTCTCTCTTGCAGGTGTAGTCTTTAATGTTTGAGGATTATAATTGATTTCCATGATATGAATTTTCAGATCATCAGTCATAATAAAATCAGCTGCAAAGAACTCTGCTAATCTACTGTCTCTTGTTATTTAGTCTTCCACTGACTTAATAGAGTGTATAATCATTCTATCAACTGTTGGATAGAGATAATTTTGAAGCCATTTCTTGTCTTTAATTTTTCCTTATTATAGTAATAAGTCTTGCAAATAATCTAATTTCCAATCGATAAACAATTCAGATTCATCGGCATTTTCATCATCCAAATCCAAATCTGCTCCTCTCTACTTAAGAGTGCTTTTCACTATGGCTGTATTGCATACGTGAGCCTCCTTGTTTAATGAGAATTTGTCAAATGGAGCTATGCATCTTCTAATTAAAGTCTTGTCGTATGCATAAGCTATTATTGGATTAGTCGAAGCCAGAATCCAATATATTCGAAATTCTATCTTATGATTATTGAACAACATTGGGTTTCCAATGTATTATTGTGCAACTAATAGAGATTGATCTGCACCACATCTTTTTCCATTTTTATAGGTTTCCTACAACTTTTTAGTTTCTTCAGGAAATAAAACTTTGATTCCTCTGCCTCTGTGAACTTCCAAACCTACTTTGGTTATAAATTGGGGTCCTTCTTCAGCTATTTTGTCCTTGTACTCCTGAGAATTCAAATAATTGAAGAATTCTATACAATCTTATTTCTAAAACAAACGATAGGTTTTTGGGATAAAGGTTGCATTTTTAATACATTCTTCATCAACTCCCTTCTCTCTGAGTGAATCAATATATTTATATTAATTATTCATGAGATTGTCCTTATGAGAGAGAACGTGTCTTGATGGCAAATGGTTATATTTTTAGAATAAACATAGAGATGCTAATGGCTCATTAATAGATCATACCTTGTCCCACTTTAAATTTATGAACTAATTGATCGTAGTAAGTGAACGGCAAAGTTAATTGCTCTGGCAATACGTGTTTCGACAAAGCTATCAATTGATTAGAATAAACAACATTACTTTGGGTGTTTCTCAATTTGAAGTACATTTAAGGGATGCAATCAAAATAAGAGGATCTCAAGGCCTCTCTGATCACACCTTTGGCTTCGCGAAAAGTATAAGTGTCTGTCATTACAACGTCAGGGTGGTAAAATTTGTATAAATCTGACCTTTTGCAATAATCGAATTCCGGTTTCACTAGAATCGAATTATACTAACAATTAGTTATATAATTGATACTGCTGAATGATTGGCTGGAGGTGCATAATAAGTGTTTGTTAAGTATTTGTTAAGGTATGTCAATATTTGATCGACTTCTTATCTATTTTTATAAACGAGGGATGTCCTAATGAATTTGAAAATGAGAAGATGACTCAATATTGACACGATTAAAACAATCGCCTTACCAAACATTTTATTTTTAATTATATTCGTTTTTAATCATTAATTTAATTCATCATAATGATATTCTATATTCCGTTTTTATTACACCTTTTATTTGACATAATTAAGAATAAGTGATTTTTACTAAATTATTAAAACAATAGATTAATCTCTTGTACTTTATGCCATTTTTTTACTTTCAATTTTATTAAATAATTTAATGACTTTATCTAGTATTACATATTTCATCTTCATATTACAATTTCAAATTTATCTAAAATTTCTTGAATAAGATTAATTCAATATTATAATCCATAGATTAGATTTATATTTTATTAATGTAAAAATAAAAAATATCATCAATAACAAAATTTTGAATTCTTCATTTTAAGTTATAAATTTACAAAATATGAATTAACCTAATTTATTTTGGAATACCATTAGATGTATACTATTTAAATCAATAGGTTCAACTTATATAGTATTAATAGTTTTTCAAAATAAGTTTTTCATTTCAATTGTTTGAACATATATTAAAGTTAATATTGAAAAATGGGTTTAATAATGAACTTAAGTCTTAACTATGTTAGCACAAGATTAGAACATAAATAATAAATTCAACCTTTACTAACTGTAATTTTTCATTCTTTGAAGTCAAAGAGTTTAAAAGACTAAAATTACTTAATTGCAGAATTCTATTTAAGGGACTTGAAAATTAAGATAATATTAATTTATTTTTGAGATTATGTAAATCAGTGATATAAAAATAAATAATTAGTTTTAGCAAATAATTCTCCTTATGTCTTATCTTAAGAGGCACACACTTGTAGTAATTTCTCTTCAATATCATGAATGTTGACTGAATCTATGAGTTATGTAATTTCTGATGAGAAATGTTACAGAGTTTAAGAATTTAACTTTTTTTGTTATTTAGAACTTAAAAATTTTGGTAAAGGATAAGGTTTTTCTTTTGGTAACTCACTCATCGATCGTCTATCCAAAACAGTTCTTTGCTGTGTTTTTTCAAGAAGATTGCTTTTCTTAGCATTTTAAGATCTTTCTCTGTTAAATAAAGCTTCTTCAATTTTTAATTACTCAAGTAATCCTCTTCTTTTAACTTCGACAACATTTTATGATTTCTTGGAACAAGCCTTCTCAAGACTTTCCTCCAATCTTTTTAATCTCTGTAAATCCTACTATTTCTTTTCTTCTAAGCATTTCTAATAACGAGCCAATGTTTCATCAACTCTAGTACTTTTAGGAATTAAATATTAGGCCTATTTTAGGAGTTCCCATTTTTACAACTTAGCATCATAGCTCATCCTCCTTTAAACTTGCTTATCTGTTATCAATTTCTAAATAATATCCCTGTTTCTATGAACTTATTCTAATCGAGAAGTGTCTAAGACTTCCTTTTAATATGCACGCAATTCCCTTTCACTGCTTATTTGTTTCCTTCGTGTTTCAATTAATTGCTCTTTTTGTGAGTATTGCATCAATTATTATTCTCGATAGTCTTGTTAAAACTTCTTCATCTTCAACAATTTTTCATTAATCCTAGATGTTGTTGAATCCTCTTATTTTTCTTCTGGAGGTAGCGATTTTTGATGATTTTAAGTTTCTTCAGATTTTCTATTGAGTAATTCCTAATATTCAATTAACAATCTTTATCTTCTTTTTTCATATTGTTTCAGGATTGTTTCTTAATAGAATTGAGAATCACTCTCAAACTCAGGAGGGACTTTAATCTTTTTGAGAGGTAATAGATCTTGTTCGGTGACACCCATTTTTCTTAATATTAGTTAATTCATTAATAATAATATAGCATAAGATTAGCAATTTCATTTTTTGTGTGATATTAATATGCTAATGTTCTTAACTCAAATTAATTGACTTGTAATCTCTTTCTTCAAATCTTGCTCCAATAAAGCTTAAGTAATTTTTATTAACTTATTTCTTTCCTTTATGTTTATCGATTGATAAATACAGAATATCAACTAGAATATCCTCTTTAGTAATTTAAACGTAAGTATATTCAAAGGGATTTCAAATAAAAATGCCCATCTCTATGATTCTATTAATTTCTTGATCGCAATTTCCATATCGTATTCTTCTGTGATGTTATGCTCCTTGAGCCTATTTTACAGAATACAAAAATTTAACCCACTACCATATGATTCAAGTTTCATCTCCCTCACCTTCAGATTTCTGATTTTTTCTCTTCTATTCTGTTTCATTTAGAACTTAAAAAGTACTAAGAAGAAGTGCGTTACTCTCTACCTTATAATGATATATCATTAAATTAATATTGAGTCATTGTTTAATTGTTGAAAGTAATTTAGTATAAAATATGACAACTTATTTTGATTGATACATTTATAATGCGTAAAACTACATCATTAATTAATATCACTTAATACATAAAGAATAGACTTATAAAAACAATTATTTTAATGGGAAAAAAGACTGTTTTGATTCTTACATTTATTAGCTATGCGTAAATGCATGCAGCCAGAACTCTATGGTCATACATGCAAAAATATTTAACCATAGAAAACTATGATAAAAATAAAATGGGATAGGCATATTTAACATTCCTATTAACATATGGCATTGGTATGAATACAATAGGTCCAATGTGTTGTAAAAACAGTTTGAAGCATTCTATTGGAATTAGTTGTATGGCAGTTGGTATGTTGTTTGCAATCCTTGGAATATTGCAGGAGTTTCAACTCTTAACTTTGTAAGATTTAAATTTTAATGAATAGTCCTTTGGTCATAATATTAATGGCTATAAATGGTTTAATACAATCTGCCTGCTATCCTGCATGCGTAAATGTATTGGGAAATTGGTTTAAAAATCATAAAGTAGGGTTAATGATGGGATTATGGTCAGGATGTGTTAACGCGGGTGATATTTATGGATTATTAATTGGTGATGTTGTCATTCAAAGACTCGAAATGCCAGTTTATTGGGGCTTTTACTTTATGTCATGCTGTCTGATCCTAGTCAGTGTAGCCACCTTGTCATTTTTATAAAGCGAACCTAGAAATTAAATTTAAGGTGTAAATGAATCGGAATCTGCTCCTTTAATTTTAAAATAGAAAAATAAAAGTTTAAATATTCTATCAGCCTGGTTGGTTCCTGGAGTTGCCATTTATGCTGTAGGATATGCTTGCCTTAAAGGAACTTTCTATGGATTTTTAGATTGGTTGCCCTTCTATTTTTAATAAAAAGGAGAGAAACTCGAGAATCATTCCTCATATATTTCATAAATGTTTGATGTTGGCTGTTATGTTGGTGGAATATTCTTAGGATACTTGGGTGATAAGTATAAACGACGTGCCTGTTATTTTGTACCAAGTTTGTTGTTGGCTATGGGTTCAATGTTGGTGATTAGATTTTGTTTGGATTTGGTAGTCTGGCCATACTATCTTTGCATTTTGGCAATAGGTATCTTCCAGGGAGGACCATACAATAACATTTCAGGAGTGATTTCAATTGAACTTACTAAATAATTTGAAAATGATAAAGCAGCAATATCAACTGTTTCATCCTTGATTGAAAGCACTGGAACTCTGACAGCCGCTATGTTCTAGATCATCATCCCAAGGATCGGAGACGAACACTTATTTACATTTTTGTGTCTTATAACATTATTAGCCGAATTAGTTTGCTGTGTCCTTTTATTCAGAGAAGTAAAAGCTAAAAGAAGATCCAAATGAAAAAATTGATGTATTATAATTTATATTTAAACAATATCATTGATCCTATTATGCTGCAAGGGCTGCTTCTTTAGCTCTTTCTTCTTCTTCTTGCAATCTCTTTTGCTCCACCTCTCTATCGTATTTATCTTTAGCAAATGAAAATGCTTTTTCCTTGAGTTGCTTTGTCACAAAAATATTATTTATTTTTTCTAATCTAACCATAATATTGATTGTATCTAATAAGTAATTAGGACTTTTAGACTCAAAAGGATTTCCTTTGTATAGCAACCTTTTTAAGTTCGGTAAGGTTTGCAACTTAGTAATTTCGTCAAATTTATCGATTTTGTTTTCCCTAATGTCAAAATGAACGATGTTCTCCAAAACTGGAAATGTTTCATCGAACCCTTCAATCTAGATTAATATTAAGTAAATACTAAGTTTTTTCTTAATTGCAATATTTAAATAGAGGTTAATAATTCTATTCCCTAAATTGCCTTGATTTTATTCTCGCTTAATTTAAGTTCTTTCAACTCAGGTAGATTTTAAAACTAAGTCAAAGCAGCAATTTTATTTCTCTTCAAGTATAATTGCCTCAATTTTGGATTACCGTCAAAAGTATCCATTTTTTCAATTTTATTATCATTCAGATTAAGTTATATTAAGGGGACTTTGATAGGACCTAATTCAACCAATTTATTAGATGCAGCATTGAGATACTTAAGAGATTTGAAAGCCTCCTCATTGGCAAGGGATTTCAAATCCTTGATATTATTGCCTTCGACATTTAATCTGATCAAGTACGGCAGTTATGAAACTAGATAGTAAGAATAATACGTTGCACAATTTCAGTAATGTTATTCCCACTTAAATCTATTGATTCAATGTATTTGTAATTTCCAAAGGTCTGAGTCAAAACATCTACATTCTTCTGATTTAAATTCAGGATTGTGAAATGAAAACCACTATTGTCTTAAACCATCTTAAATCCTGATAGGTTATTCATAATGAGTTCCTCAAAATTGATTTTGGATTTGGATTCTTCCTGCTATTTTGCTTGTTTCTTAGCCTCTTTCTTAGACATATAAATAAATATTAATATTATGCTTTATAAATCAAAACAATCTCTATTTAGCTTCATCACCATCTCCTACTAATCCCTTTTATTATGCGAATTTATAATGTAAATCGACAACATCGATTCCATCATGCACTTTAGTCCAACCATTCTAATGAATGTGATAAACTAGAATGATCTTCAATTGTTACCTCTAACTACACCACCTGAAGCAGTGTCTCTGTGTGTTGCATGATAAATAGCTCTGACTCCCAGTTCTACTGCTTCATCCAATGATAAATCGTATCTATAATGATTGTCCAATACACCATAAGCATATGTACTACCACTGCCAACTGAGAAGATGTCTCCCTTCAATCTCATTCCATCATTATCAATGTAATATAAGTGTTGTCCAGATAGATCAGTACCTGCTATCATACAACCCATTGAGAGACCAGAGTTTTTATAACCAATAAGAATTCCTTAAAGGAATTTGGAGGCAGCTGCCACACTCAATTTACTTCCATTTTTTAGTTCATATGTTCTACAATGATTGGCTAAATATGCCAACCAATATTAACAATCAGCTGCACCTCCAGCCATTGTACCTATAATAATTTGAATTATATGCATACCTAATAGATACTCATTAATTTCAATGACCTTTCGCACTTGCTCACTACTCAAAAAACTACCCATGCTAGCTCTTGAATCTACTGCCAAAAGAATGCCCTCTTTAAATACAAATCCCAATGTTGTTGTTCCATGTTTGAAATTATTTAATTTATTTCCTCCATTCGTTTATGTTGGACCATTTAAGCTTCTGTAAATCACTTAAGGTGCACTAGGCATACTTAAAGTATTGATTTCATCTTTGTCTTCCTTTTAATATGTGTGGGCTAATCCAAATGTTGAGGGATCGAAATCAATCATTTTAATATTTTAATTAAATAATCATCCTTATCTCAAGAAATATTATTAAATAGTAGTTAATGGTCTTAGTTACAAATTATGTTAAAATTGAGAATTAAATTACACATATATTTTAAATATATATACGATATATGAAAAAAACTCATCATCGAAGAACAAAGTCAAGTGGTAACTACATTCCAAATTAATCTGAATTTCTTGTTTAAGATGATGATGATGATACTAATGAAACGAGAGCTATTATTAAAAAAATATAACAATAACCTATTCTACATCATTAGATAGTTGAAAAACTTGATGATTAAAATTATGGATTGTTCAATACTATGTTTAATTTTGGTCAAATGAAGTATAAACCAAAACAATCTTTAGATTTGAGCACTATTACAGAATGCAGTTGTAATGAATTCAAAATATTCATAGCTACACCCTCAGCGAAAGATGCTCAACCTAAACATAGAAAATGCGGAAGTCAACAATAGTAAGTGAACAAATAGCCAATACGTCATAATCATAGCCAAAGTCTCCAAATCCATAGACTTGAATAAGAATTGGAACAAATGAAGGCATAACAGGCTGAAATCTAAAATGTGAACATGATGCTCTTTATTGAAATTCACAAATCCCGATCAGAGCTCTAGATTTCCTAATAGGTAACATTCTCATCTTCATATTAGAAAAATGAACTCATTCTTTAACGAATCACAAAATTAGAAAAGATGTTAAGAGATAATTAAAAATTATCCTGCATAACTAACGACAGTCTTGAATTTTTCTGAGAAAAATACTCATTTTTGTTAAACATTTATATAACAATCGTATTCTTGAATCATAATAACAAATTTTACTCAAACTCATTTTAATTACGTATTATACAAAAAAGAACTGTGAATTAAAAGATAATTAAATTATATTCTCTATAATAATGACATATTTACAAAATTTCATTAGGACTGATATTAATAGGCACATTCAAAATATGATTTATCTTTTTACTTTGAGTAATCATTTTAACCAGAAGGAATATTTGGAATCTTGGAACTCTCCGTTACTCCAAAAATGCTCAACGTTTCTGACTGAAGTATTCCTTGGAAATCGCTTATTTGTACTTTCTCAATCGAATTCTTAACCTCATTGATTTCCTAAATCTATTACTTAAATCATACATTAAATGCATAGTTTCTATTATAGATCTTATCCCACAAAAACTCATCATTATTTTAATAATGTAATATCAATCGATCTTTCAAATTACTCAAATCGAATCTCTGTTATTCAATTAATTGTTAAATTTATTCATTTAATTTTATGACACTATCAGTACCTTAATTGTAGAATAATAGTCCATCTACACAACCAATGCTTTTAAAACTAACTTAAATTGTTTATTATTATTCAAAATGCAATTACAACAATAGCAAAGCAGCTGTAGTTAGAAAATCTCTTTTTCCAACAGAAAAGTATTTTACCACAGCATTTTGTTTTTACTTGGCTGGCAATTTGATTATGTGAATCAAATTCTTATCTATTTGCAATGTCTTTGTGATGGTTTCAATATCATTAGGATGATACTCTTAAACCAATTGTTTTGCATTCTGAATATCAATATTCCCACTGACAAAGGCTGTGTACTTTATGTCTGAAAACATATCAGTTAAAAATTGTGAGAACTCACTAAATTTTAGATCCTAGAATTCTCTTATTATGTCTGCAGGATCATTAACAGGTCTCAACATTAATTTGGGCAGCCAATATTGAACTAAGTAAAATTGAGTCTTTTAAAAATAATATTCCTAAAACTAATTTCTTAAATCCTCCTTTATGCTTGAGAATTTCGATTCATCTTTTATCTCTTTGATATTTGATAGAACTTGGTTTTTTACTGCTTCAAATGTTAGACTCCATCCTGACAACATAAACGAGAGACCTTTGAAACTGCTTTCTACTTAAAAGTTGAAACCTGCCGAAATAGCATCTAAGTTTGATTGTTCAATATACATTTAGGCAACTTTTAAAATAGCCTTTGATTTTGCAATGCTAAATCCATTAATCGGCTTGTAGAATAAGATTCCGAGAAAGACTCTATTAGTTTGGTTATCGTATTGCCACCACAATTCTTAAGAAATCTATATTGGTGTTAAGATTGGAACTAAGTAATTTTTTTAAGACTGGTCTAAGTCTAATGGAACATAAGGAGTTAAAGGCTTATAAATAGGTTCTATATCATTTGGAGAGTCACTCATGAGTTAGGGTTCTGATAAGGTAATGTTAATTGGAACTACTTAATTGGTTGTATAAAAATTGTAATTTGGTAATTCAAGGGGAATGTATTAGGAGAGATTGGGCAACTTAAGCTATGATATTAATTATTCAACTATGTTTGAGACAATAGTATAATCTAACAAAATATTGGAGTATTCGATTGATTGCACTTTTTTATTAACAAAATTGGAGTTTAAGAAATCATCCTTGTTCAAAGTCTTTAATTCTTGGTAGATAAACTATCCCTATTATATAATAATGACTCCTGATTAAATATTATCAATAATTGCATTAAGATCTTTTTTAGAGAATTCCTTATCTTCAACATACTTTTAATAGAGGATTTGTAAGTTGTAAAAATCTTTATGACAATTTAATAATGTCTTTTCATTCTATCTTTTTAGAAATGATCCGAAATTGTAAATTGCATTAGCTAATGTGATACTATCTACATCGCATTCTTAAATGTTAATTGCCAAGAAATCAAAATCTAGAATTTCAAATTAGCATTTAAGAATTGTTTGTAAAGAGTTTTGTGTTTTCTGCAATAATAAATGCTTAAAAAATTCATCTTGTTTTGCTGGATATATTAAAATAGTGGATGTTTGATTGGAATTGATTCTAATTTGATTATACAAAATGGGTTCTAGATCCCAAGATTCAATTATGGAAGTTCCAAATTCTTTTTGCAATAATTAAGTATCTGAGACAAGCATATAAATTTCTTAATTTGAAAGTGCAGATTCTATTGTCAACCTAAGTGGATTGGAAACCAATATTAATTCGATGTAATTCTATAAATCTTGTATCTGTATGGGTTCAGTCATGATCTCATTATTTAATGATATTGCATCTAAGACTCTGTCTATTTTGGAAATGAGATCAATGTCGCTGGTTTAAATTGATTCACTATTAATATTATCCAAATCCTCTTGAGTGTATTCTCTCACAAGTGAATCAGCGAACTTTCTTATACAAGTTTCCATTTATTCGTTTTTAAAGTGAATGGTCACAGTACTCATGTATGCTCTTTCAATCAATTGTGCTTAGGAACACTACTACTTCAATAATAAATGCATGAATAATGTATTGTATTCATCATCATGATAACCATGGTAGATGACAAATTACAAAGTAGCTATGTCCACTTATTTTTCTTAGACAATCAAAGTTAAACCATTCTTGTATTGCCAACCCTATAATTGCCCTTCATTCCATGGTTCAGCTTCGAATATTAATTCTTCAAATTGTTCTTCTTCTGGTTCTGGCATGATGTTATCAAATTGAGTAACATCTTCAGGACTAGTCAAGAATTGCATGATGTCTTAATCTTCTTTATCCAACACCACAGTATTATCAATATCATCTATATTTTCTGTTTCATTCACGTTCAACTATTAAATCTAAGGGATCTAAGTCGATTATTTATGATTGGCCAGAGCATACTTGAAAACCAAGAAAACTAATAAGATGAGTATGACGAGTTGGATTATGTAACAAATGGTGGAGAGGATGCCACGTGTTTCAGGTTCCTTAGGTTTCTTCACATCTTGATGTACTAATCCTTAATTTTCTTCATCCATTTGCATTAATTAAATGTTTAATCCATTTCGATATATTGCTGATTTTCTACACTTGGTGTCATTTCTGATACTCATTTTAAAAATCCGCAAAACCAGAAATTGCTTAGGTAACTTATGAAATAAAGTATAANTTTGTAAGTTGTAAAAATCTTTATGACAATTTAATAATGTCTTTTCATTCTATCTTTTTAGAAATGATCCGAAATTGTAAATTGCATTAGCTAATGTGATACTATCTACATCGCATTCTTAAATGTTAATTGCCAAGAAATCAAAATCTAGAATTTCAAATTAGCATTTAAGAATTGTTTGTAAAGAGTTTTGTGTTTTCTGCAATAATAAATGCTTAAAAAATTCATCTTGTTTTGCTGGATATATTAAAATAGTGGATGTTTGATTGGAATTGATTCTAATTTGATTATACAAAATGGGTTCTAGATCCCAAGATTCAATTATGGAAGTTCCAAATTCTTTTTGCAATAATTAAGTATCTGAGACAAGCATATAAATTTCTTAATTTGAAAGTGCAGATTCTATTGTCAACCTAAGTGGATTGGAAACCAATATTAATTCGATGTAATTCTATAAATCTTGTATCTGTATGGGTTCAGTCATGATCTCATTATTTAATGATATTGCATCTAAGACTCTGTCTATTTTGGAAATGAGATCAATGTCGCTGGTTTAAATTGATTCACTATTAATATTATCCAAATCCTCTTGAGTGTATTCTCTCACAAGTGAATCAGCGAACTTTCTTATACAAGTTTCCATTTATTCGTTTTTAAAGTGAATGGTCACAGTACTCATGTATGCTCTTTCAATCAATTGTGCTTAGGAACACTACTACTTCAATAATAAATGCATGAATAATGTATTGTATTCATCATCATGATAACCATGGTAGATGACAAATTACAAAGTAGCTATGTCCACTTATTTTTCTTAGACAATCAAAGTTAAACCATTCTTGTATTGCCAACCCTATAATTGCCCTTCATTCCATGGTTCAGCTTCGAATATTAATTCTTCAAATTGTTCTTCTTCTGGTTCTGGCATGATGTTATCAAATTGAGTAACATCTTCAGGACTAGTCAAGAATTGCATGATGTCTTAATCTTCTTTATCCAACACCACAGTATTATCAATATCATCTATATTTTCTGTTTCATTCACGTTCAACTATTAAATCTAAGGGATCTAAGTCGATTATTTATGATTGGCCAGAGCATACTTGAAAACCAAGAAAACTAATAAGATGAGTATGACGAGTTGGATTATGTAACAAATGGTGGAGAGGATGCCACGTGTTTCAGGTTCCTTAGGTTTCTTCACATCTTGATGTACTAATCCTTAATTTTCTTCATCCATTTGCATTAATTAAATGTTTAATCCATTTCGATATATTGCTGATTTTCTACACTTGGTGTCATTTCTGATACTCATTTTAAAAATCCGCAAAACCAGAAATTGCTTAGGTAACTTATGAAATAAAGTATAAGGATTATCATTCAGAACTTAAGAAATCTATCTTGCAGTGTTCTGTGTCAGATATATTGATCTATTCATGTATTTTGTATCAGTCTACAATACCTCAATGAAATTACTTTACATCAGCAGCACTGTGTTCATAATTTACCTCATGAAGTTCAAGAAACCATATTGTCTAGTATTTAATATTGCTAATCCATAGTCCTATGATTCAGCTAGTGATGACTTTCCCCACTATAAATTCATATACACTGGAGCAGCTGTCTTGGCTCTACTCGTCCATACTGATTTGGCACCATTTGAATTAGGCTGGTCATATAGCATTTGGTTAGAAGCATTAGCAATAATACCACAATTACATATGTTACAGAAAATCAAAGATGTTAATATCATTTATTATTATTAGGTTGAAAACATTACATCCAATTATGTGGGAGCTTTGGGAGTGTATCGTTTCTTCTACATTGTTAGTTGGATTTACAAATATTCACTCACTGGAGATGTTTGTTGGACATCACTTTTGGGAGGAATTGTTTAAACTGTATTATATGCAGATTTCCTTTACTATTACATCATTAGTCTAAAATCAGGAAAAGGTTTGTCATTAGGAGTTTGAGATTTGTGATTATTACAATATTGAAAGCAGTTTAAATTAATACCCTTAATCTTTGCATTCCAAAGAGATTACTAATTACAAATTTTAACTATTCTGCTTACGTGGCAATCCAGAAATCATAATTAAAAATCTAGAATTATAAAATAAATCAAATTTATCTACAAACACTTTTCTTTTCAAATTTCAATTGTCTACCATTTTCCAACTTAATTAACATCATCCTCCGTCTCCTTCTTCTCTGCAAATTAACCTAGTTCTCTTTTAATTAAACACTTGAAGATGCAAGCTCTTCCTCCTTCTTTTGGAAGTGTAAATTTAACATCTTATTCTTTCAGATCCTCCATTAGTTCTCATGAGAACCAAGAAGGTTAAAGGTTTACGCTTTTTAAACATGAGTATATAGATTTATTTTATTATAGAATTTGTTACCCAAGTAATGTTTATTCTTAAACTAACTTAGAATTCCCTGTTTTTATCCATTTAACTATTTTCAGGTTTACATTTTGATCTACTTCTACTTTTCCCTTCTGTATATAATTTAGCATCACAATTTAGCCAGCAGCACTTTTTATTATTCTCCATTGCTCTTTAATTCAAATTAAAAAAAGAACTTCTTTATCCTTATATTTTAATAACATCTAATTTGACCCCTTTCATCTAATTATATTTTCAACTTATAAAGGCTACATCTTGAAATTTATCATTATCTCATTTTTCTTTCTTCCCAATATACTATTTTTTTCCTTAAATTCTCTCTTAACTCTCTTAGTTTCTCCTATTTTAAATTCTTTTAATTTTAATTATGCTGTGCTATTTAAAGGATTTCTGCAATCAGTTAACCTTCTTAAAATTTCATTTTTTTAAATTTTGTTTTAAGCAAATTAAGATTTCTTTCCGTATTCTCAGAATTGGTAGGTGAAGTGAATATTTCCTCTCATAAACTGGTACATCATTAATCATATTTATTAAATTATATTTATGCTTTATAAGAAAACTTTGTAATTTTTGAGCAATTAAGTTGCTCGATCTAAATTAGGCCAATTACAATACCAAGGGATTATGATGAAAGTACCTTCTTAAATGCAAAAAGAAGAAAATTCTGAAGAAGATAGATTAGTGAAGGCATTTTTCACAAAAAATCACGAATAAATAAAAGTGTATGGTCATTCACAGAAGGAACTTAATGAAAAGAGCAGTTCACCCAGAAATTCATGGTATAAGGTAATTTTGCCATTCAAAAGCAATCCCGAACTCAGTTTTAAATTTAGAAGATTTTACACAAATCAAGTAAGAATTGGTCGTTTACTGGAATTGATGGATTATATAGCTTCCACAGTTTCCTACAATTATATTCTACCTAGCAGTGGTGCAACCATGGTTACTGCAATGGTAGATAATATTAATTTTTTCGGAAAGATTTCTGCTGATTAAGATCTTGAAATTTAAGGATATGTAACCTATGTTGGTAATTCATCTATTGAAGTGTATATCGATGTGATGTAAGAAGGAGTAGTTAATGTTTCAGCCAATTTCTTAATGGTAGCCAGAGATGGCAAAGATCATTCAAAAGCATACAAAGTACCTGTCATGGATTTGAATGGAGAAAGTGATAAGGAAACAGCAGAATTGAGATGCTATTTGGGTAAACATATGCAAGACAAAAGAAAATTATAAAAGGACAGAAGTCTTGATAGAAAAGCTCCAAGTTAGGAAGAAATAAATGAACTACATAAGTTTTTCATGAATCCTCCTTCAGACATTACTATCGATGAAACTCAAATCGAAAAAACACTGTTGATGCACATCTAAGATAGAAATCTCCATGGGAAAGTATTTGGAGGTTTCGTCATGAGAGAAGCCTTCGAATTAGGTTGGCTCAATGCCTATCTACATGTCAAAGGGTAAGGATTCCCTTAAATCATTCACATTGACGATATTCAATTCCTTGCACCTGTTGATATTGGAAGTGCTTTATAGGTTTAGAGTAGAATCACAGCTGTGAAGGACACAATTATGCATGTCGAGGTTAATTGCTATAAGATAAGTCCCAACTAATAGAAGATTAGATCTAATGATCTTCATTTGACTCTAAATGTACCGGGTATAGTTATTCCTCAAGTTCAACCCAAAACTTACAACGAAGGTATGCAATGGCTGAATGCTTGTCGTCGTATGAATTATACTATTTGAAACAATGCATTTGCAAATTTATTAGTATAAAAATGATTTAATAATATTTCTATTATATAACCAGGAAAGTTTTCAAATAAAACTAATATAATAAAGGAACACAGATATATATTAAACTTCAATATTTTTCAACTTTGGGTTATTGTTTTTTACTTGGTTATTAGACTTGCATTGCCATCATTTCTTGCATCTCTTACATTTATTATTATTGTTGTTATTGCATTCTTTTCATTTCTTCTCTCATTTGTATTTTAAGCATTCCAATTTCAGCCAATTGTATGAAACCCAAGATTATGCCTCCGAATATAGCATTTCTAACTGCAATTCTTGTACCAGCTAAACTATAATTCAAAGGCTATACCTCTTATGGCTAAAAATCCTCCTGTAAATGCACCAGCAACTATGGGATTAATGAAATCTTATTGGTTTCTCAGATGCATAAGTGTACAATCTGTGATACTGAACAATCCTCCCCAAAGAGCAAATGATCCTCCTAAAATTGGGGCCCTTCTTTTTAACAATTAGATTCCACCGAAAAATCTCTCCCTCTTTGGAGCAAATGACATGCCTTTTAAGAAATAGAATATGCATCCAGCAAAGCATCCCATCGAGAAAGCTCCTCCAAAATCATCAATGATTCTGTAAGGACACGGTTATTCACGCATAGCCATCTTAATTCTGGTTAAAATTTATTAATTAAAAGTTAATCATTAATTAAAATAATTAAGTAATAGCAATAATGGAAGGGGATCATCTTCATCAGCTGAAGTTAACATAATCCAATCAGATCTAATTCTACTATAAGACATTCAAATACAAGGAAATGAATTACATATATTAGTTTTAAAATTAATTTTTATGTCCTTTGCTCATTCCAGTTTTGCATTAAAATCACAAATTAGTCTTTCTTTTTCAGATAATGTTTATCCTATATTATGTAAAAATTTTGGTAACCTTGTTTATAAAAGTGATGTTTTGAATTTAAAAAAGTATCCATTATAGTTTATAAGCAAGTTTTATGTTTTAAATGGATTCCTACTTAGAAATATAAATTCTCTTCTGTTATAACAAGTTTAAAGGGTATTTTAATAGATAATTGACTATTGGGTTTAAGTTTTTCAGAATAACTTAAATATATCTTATCTTATTTAAAACTTTTTTTTCTGAACTAAATGATTCGAATCTGCTATTTTATTGTGACTATTTATTCAATAGATTATTCATAAAGTCTGCACCAGCAAATTTATTAAGATTCGTTTAACCTAACCGTGAAAAGTATTTCCTTAGTTTGATATCAGTATAAGATAATTCATTGATTCATAAACTTATTTTATATATGAATTCTTTATCATTATTCAAAAAATCGTATTTAACAACAAATAATGTTATCGGAACCTATCACTTTTCTGAATGTGACATGTTGCAATTATTCAAATAGAGCAGAGTTTTTATATGTAATTAATTGTTAACATACTTCAGAAACGAATTAATTTTAAATGTTTTTATTAATTCCACTTTATTTTTTTTTAGGTTAAACTCTGCCAACAGTACTTTTTCATGGGCTAGGTGATAGTTGCTCTTGGTCTATGATTAAATCTTTTTTTTCAGACATCAACTCTGACTGTATAGAAATAGGTTCAGGACCATCATCTTCTATATTGTGGGGATTTTTAGATTAAGCCAAGGATGCTTGTATCAAAGTTTAGGAAAAATACGCAGGTTAAACAATAAATGTTGTTGGTCTATCACAGGGAGCATTGATTGGGAGATATATTATAACAGATTGTGATTTAAAAGGAGGAAGAGTGTCAAAGTATTTATCTATAGGGGGTCCTTAAATGGGAGTGTCAGTAATACCTCATTGCAACAGTTATTTATGCTGGCCGTTAAATAAAGTAGTTGATTCTCTAGTTTACACCGATTATGTGTAATAACATATTGGCCCAGCAGGTTATTTCAGAAATCACGAAGACTTAGATTCTTATTTAAAATACAATCATTTTCTTCCAGATTTGAATAATGAAAGAAATCCAGAATGTTCAAGGAAATAAAAAGTAATAATTTAATATATATGGTGAAGTTTTCAATGCTTGACCAAGTCATGCTTGTGAAATTTTTATAAGATGAAATGGTGCTACCAAAGGAATCTGCATTTTTTGAATCTGTGGATCCTGAAACTGATAAAGTGATTCCACTTGTAGAATCAGAATTTTATATCTAAGATTATATTGGTGTAAAGCAATTGGATTAACAAGGGAAAATAAAATTTATAGAGATTGATGATTCTCATTTAAAATGGACAGATGAAATAACAAAGAATATATTTATTCCTTTTTTAGTTTGATTGACTTAAATTATTTTGATAGTTTCGATTATAGATTTAGTGTTATCTTATATATATATTTCTAATATTTGTAAATATCTTCAGATATAATTCAACTTTTAATTTTTGATGATTTTCTAAATAATTTAAATTGATACATTTTAGAAGAAATTTCACTTTCCACTTGGAGGCCCCTGTCAATTAGATTCACATATTTCTTATCCTCTTTGTAGACCAATAGAGATGCCATAGTTGCCATAATAGCCAACAACAATAAAAATGATTCTGTCACAATCTTAGATTCAGTCAACCTAATTAAAACTGTTAATACATCTCAAAGAAACTGCAAATATGGGGTGTTACAGAAATCCCAAAATTCTATAAACACACAAAAAGAGCCAAACTTCTCCCATATTTGTGTGGATGTGTTAAATATAATACACTGCTCCATACAGTAGTATAGGATAATGCGAAGGAGAACCCTAACAATAGTAACCCTTCAAATGGGGATTGCAATAACACTAACAAGTGAGCCCAAATGGCCATCAATCCTGAGAAAATAGTCTTTCTATTTTACATGATATCTTACCAAATTAGATCTTTAACCATACATATCAATAACGAAACCTAATAAGGGAGTTATAAATCCTGAGAATAGCCACATCAACGTCACTAATTTTCTAGCCAGATCTTCTCCATTTTGAAGGTTGATTAACCATTTATTCAAAAGAAACTCTTGTGCATAGCCTACCAATACGAGAACTGAGGTTGAAGCAAAAGTGTAAAAGAATAACAATAACCAATATATTATGGGGAATTCATGTTTGTTCCCATAACCACAACAGTTTTCATAGAAATTTTACTCCAACACCTCTGACTCTATTTATTAGGCTTCAATGTAATCTTATTCGATTTTAATTTCCTCTCCGTCATCTTACAACGAGAATATTTCACTTGGACCTTGCTTTTAATAAAGTTGAGATGATTTTTTAATGCCTTCTTCAATTTAAAAATATTGTGCTCCTTTTTCAATGATTACTGATTAAACATTAGNTAAAAAGTAATAATTTAATATATATGGTGAAGTTTTCAATGCTTGACCAAGTCATGCTTGTGAAATTTTTATAAGATGAAATGGTGCTACCAAAGGAATCTGCATTTTTTGAATCTGTGGATCCTGAAACTGATAAAGTGATTCCACTTGTAGAATCAGAATTTTATATCTAAGATTATATTGGTGTAAAGCAATTGGATTAACAAGGGAAAATAAAATTTATAGAGATTGATGATTCTCATTTAAAATGGACAGATGAAATAACAAAGAATATATTTATTCCTTTTTTAGTTTGATTGACTTAAATTATTTTGATAGTTTCGATTATAGATTTAGTGTTATCTTATATATATATTTCTAATATTTGTAAATATCTTCAGATATAATTCAACTTTTAATTTTTGATGATTTTCTAAATAATTTAAATTGATACATTTTAGAAGAAATTTCACTTTCCACTTGGAGGCCCCTGTCAATTAGATTCACATATTTCTTATCCTCTTTGTAGACCAATAGAGATGCCATAGTTGCCATAATAGCCAACAACAATAAAAATGATTCTGTCACAATCTTAGATTCAGTCAACCTAATTAAAACTGTTAATACATCTCAAAGAAACTGCAAATATGGGGTGTTACAGAAATCCCAAAATTCTATAAACACACAAAAAGAGCCAAACTTCTCCCATATTTGTGTGGATGTGTTAAATATAATACACTGCTCCATACAGTAGTATAGGATAATGCGAAGGAGAACCCTAACAATAGTAACCCTTCAAATGGGGATTGCAATAACACTAACAAGTGAGCCCAAATGGCCATCAATCCTGAGAAAATAGTCTTTCTATTTTACATGATATCTTACCAAATTAGATCTTTAACCATACATATCAATAACGAAACCTAATAAGGGAGTTATAAATCCTGAGAATAGCCACATCAACGTCACTAATTTTCTAGCCAGATCTTCTCCATTTTGAAGGTTGATTAACCATTTATTCAAAAGAAACTCTTGTGCATAGCCTACCAATACGAGAACTGAGGTTGAAGCAAAAGTGTAAAAGAATAACAATAACCAATATATTATGGGGAATTCATGTTTGTTCCCATAACCACAACAGTTTTCATAGAAATTTTACTCCAACACCTCTGACTCTATTTATTAGGCTTCAATGTAATCTTATTCGATTTTAATTTCCTCTCCGTCATCTTACAACGAGAATATTTCACTTGGACCTTGCTTTTAATAAAGTTGAGATGATTTTTTAATGCCTTCTTCAATTTAAAAATATTGTGCTCCTTTTTCAATGATTACTGATTAAACATTAGTATCAATATCTTTGGTTACTAAGGCCATTATCAACCCTAAAATGGTGAATAATAATGCAATAACATTAGAAGCATAGACAGAATCAAAATTAGGGGCGAACAAAGTACAAACAACCATTCCACTCATATATACTAATTAATACATTCCTAACACAAAGGTCTAAATAATAAATTTCTTAAATACCAAATATGTAAATTTGTAATAGGAACAAATAAAAGAGGTTAAAACAATTAATAAAGATTCTATTCCCCAACCTAGAATCAACCTCCCCAGGATGAAAGTAGCCTTATTTCCTGAATGAATACCCATTGTGGAAATAAATTAGCCAATAACGCATAATGAATTTTGAAAAAGTATTGCAAAAGTATCTCCATAAGAATCTCTCAAGACTCCTGAGAAATAGGGGAGAAATGAATTTAATAAGTAATGGAGAGTAGTCAAAAGGCTCAAAAATTCTTTTTGATCATCCAAATTAAATATTACTCCAAGATTTCCCAACTATTGTGGCAATACTAAACAGTATGCTGACGCTATTAAACCAAAAGAAGTCGTTAATACTAGATGCCATTTTGATTTGTGATTCTATTTATCCAAATAAAATTAGTTAATATTCTTCATAATTTGGTTATTAAAAACAATAATTTTATATTTTTGAAAGTTAAAAGATCATTAATCAGAAACCTTAAATATATGAAGAACATTCAAATATATTAATGAGAGACTATGGAAGCTTAATAATAATAATCTTTATTAAAACTGAAATAAATTTATAAAATATAATAATATCTCTTCTATTTAAACTACTTTAAGTGGCAACCTAAAATGAGATCTAAGAAATGATAAAGAGTTGTCATTTGAGTATTTAATATTAATTAAATATTTCAAAATTAGTGTCCCTGAATTTATTGAGCATATTTAAAGAACTCATGATTAACAAATTCCGTAGCCGTAATTCTGTTGTATTCTTCTGCTAGTCCTCCCTCTATCAAGTCTTTTAAATTTTCGAGTAACTACTTTGGAGTATTTTCTCTTATCAATTACTAATCTATATTCTAGATAAAATCTAGTTTCCAAAATAGATCTGGCTAGTTGATTAATAATTAATAATATTAATCCTCTTTGGTAGGAACCTATCCCATAATTGGTGGTCGTTTGTAAATTGCTAAAAATAATGCTGTCGTTAAGGCATAAACATCTGCACTAAACAAGCAAAATTCTTGGAATTCGCCTTCATCTAGATTGAGTCTAAAATTAACAATCTCAGGACTTGAATAGGGAGTGAGAGTTCTGGGTAACCATTTTGAAAGGAGATCTTCAAATGAAGGTCTGTAGCTGAAACCAAAGTCTGCTAATTTGATACAATTTCGGTTAAAGACAAGCATGTTCTCAAGTTTGATATCGTTGTGCGCTATATATTGGGAATGCAAATATTCAAGGGCAATAGAAATTTAAGTGAAGTACTTGATTATAATTTTGAGTGATGTTTCATTTGTTTTACAAAGGGTATGGAGATCACAGGTGGCATTCTCAAGGAATAAACTGCAACACTATAGGTTCCCTCCCGCAGGATCCAATTGATGATGAGGGATGAATTATTAGGGTTTAATGATGTTTGGATGATTGAGTTAACTCAAGATTTTCCATTCATTCTAGAGATCTTGGCATTCTCGTTAATGAACAGAGTTGCAGGTGTTATCATCTTCAATGAAAAGTTGTCCATGAAACACCGATTTAATGACGACTGTCTAGTGAACTTAGAATAAAACATTACCTCTGATGGGCCTACTCGACGATGGATGTAGGAATTGTTGCCTTATTGGATCAATTAGAGATGATCTGTTATCTAGTTGATTTGCTACATATATATTTTTATATATTATAAATGTTTATTTTTCATTCTTCTTCTTTTTTCTCTTCTTTTGGGCCTTAAACAACAATCAACAAGAATTCCTTATCGGGAGCCACCATGATCTCGTTATTCTTGGACTTTATGCGTAGGAAGGTCAATTCATTCATGGGATCTAGGTCTCTGACAGTGGATCTGCGAATAAATTTAAGTAACTTACTTGGCTTTGGCTGCCAGAGTTGGGATTGTCCTGGCAATATTTTCACCTTCTTTACTTTCTGAGCCATAGGTGCTGCGGATGATTTGGCCATCATTGTTACAAATGACTATCCCTTAAACTGATTTATGGGTTTTGATTCTATTTATTGTTTCCTCTATATCAGACATTATTAATTATAAAAATGAGAGCAACTTTATTTTAGTAGTTAAGAAAAACCAGAGCTGAATCTGCTAAAGTTGGAGTAAATCGAAATAAATAAATTCTTGATACTTCTGAACTCGTGGGAAGATAAAGCTTTTATAGGAAAAGACGACTGGAAGACCCCAATAATTCGGTCCTTGATCAGACAAGTTCGTTTCGATTCCCTGACAAGGAGAAATATGAATAGGAAATAAAGTATCTGAAGAACAATTTACATTCTCTGGAAAGTGAAAATATTAAACTCAAAACCAAAATACATCAATTAGAAGGTAAGCATCTTCAATTTTAAAATTAGATAATCAATTAAAATAGGAGAAGATGTTACAAGAATTAGATCGTGTAGGTCCTGCTAAAACTCAACTATTAAGATCTTTAAATTATGCAACGGCTTTAAATGCATTAAAAAAGGAATTAAATAACATGAAAATGCAAATGTAAAAAAAAGATCAGGAACTCATAAACATGAAAAAAAACTAAAGATTTACCTAAATGAATGAATTACAAATTGAAAGAACTGCCTTTCAAGAAGAGACGGTTAGATTAAGATAATAAATTGAATAATTATTTTAAGCCAGTTTATACAATTTACAATAGAATAATGTGGAATAGGCAATACAAGAAAGGTTGTTCCAACTGATAACTTAATTGTAAGAGCATGTCATCTAAAAAAGTGAAATGCAAAAAGTAATAGAAAGACTCAAAAAGGAATGTTTGAAATATCGAGTAATCCATTGTTTATTTATGTTAGTCTTAATAAATTGAATAGGAATTCAGAAGCAAGAAGGAAATCAAGAAATTAATAGACCAATTGAAAGAAGAAGCGAATAATTCATAAAAAGATAGTAACAAAGAAACTTCATAATAAACGAAACCAGATGAACTACAATTACTAACAGATTTGATGTTTGCAAAGTAAGAAGCCTAAGCCAAATAAAATGAAATTAATAGCCTAAATCAGATTATAATTGAACTCGAAGCTCACATTAAAGATCTAAATATAATCCAGAAATCAGAAACCTAAGAAATCATGCCGCAATCTCAAAGAATCGACACATCAACCAAATCCAAAGTTACTAAAATCTAACTCCCAGTATTTGCAACTGAAATTATGTAAGAAGTTGCTTTGCCAATAAAACACTCAATTGTAATCTAGGAGTAAATCTAATAATAAGCTAAATAACCTCCGAGAAGAAGGATTGTACCAGTGAAATTTGAGGAAATCAAAAACATAGGGGAAACATTGAAATATAGGTTGATGGCTATGGATGTAAGTATTGTACAGTTAGATGAATATTTATTTGAAGGAGACTCTATGACTTATCGAGAACTAAAGGAGAAGTTAAGGCTTTACCCTTTCAATTTAACTAGCGAAGAGTCTTTACTAGTTTCTCGTTACATAATGGAAAGTGAAAATGATGTTTATGAATTGTTGGACACAGCCTCCAATTTTAATCCTTATATTCGTTCAGTTTTAAGAAGAATAGTATCAAATTACAAATTGGAAATCGTAAAAAATCAATTGCTGCATTCTGATAAACTAAAAGATGTTTTGACCAGATTCAAACCGTTCATTTTAAGCAATATCAAATAACTTTATGGTAAGGATTGTATAAGGGTGAATAAATAATAATTTAATGAATCATTGATGTCTTTAAATATTGAATTGAATTCGTTTGAGTTGGATTACTTGATAGTTTAAGGAATCTTGGAGAGTAAGGGAATTGAATCATTAAATTACGATGAGATGCTAAAATATGACATGAAGGAGACCCAAGATTAGTAACTCTCCTTTTTATTGACTGAAATAAACAATTAATAGAATTAAAAAGCAGAGATGTCAGTTATTGAGGAGTGCCCAGAGAAGCTATCTGAATAGGATTAATAGGAATAGGTAGATCGCAAATAAGAGCAGATTATAAAGGAGTAATAAAAGAATGGAGATGAACAATATGTTACTTTTGATAAATATGTGAGTGAATAATTTGACTCGGATAGTGAAGAATCAAAATAAGAAATATTGACATCTGCTTTTAACTTGGAATAGTGATAATTATTAATATTTAATTTTTATTTTATATATAATAAATAAAATTTATTTCAATAATAAAAATGAGTTTTAGAATAGAAGAGTCTCCGTAATTCAAAGGAGAAGATTTAAATCTCTCTAAAATATATCAGAATAGAGAATCCCACTTCTCTGGATTCTCTTTTCCAAGTAGTGTCAGACACTAGAAAAAGTTTAATTTTCAGGCCTCTGTCGAAACCAAGACTCCAACTCCGAATCAAACTAATATAGAGAATGCTCCTAGTGATTTGAGCTATGAAATAGAGAAAATGGTTAAGGAACGGGAGCAATTATTAGGAGATGTGCAGTATTTCGAACCGAAAGTCACCTTTAATGTTGATGAATCCCCATAGAGGATACGCATTCAAAGAAATAGTGCTCCAATGCCAAATACTAAACTGCATCAATTCAATCAGCAAATAATTGATGCTGAACACACTTACAATTAATTTTGCTATTAATTAATTTGAATATATAAAATTATATTATATTATATTTATGGATCCAATAAATATCCCTGCTGCAGGATCAAGGCCTCAGAAATAGACTCTTGATTAAGCACCCTCTGTTAGATAGAAGTACATTTTTAAATAATGAAATAGTCAACAATAGAGATCAGATATTTTTGGTGTGAATTCAGGTCCTGTGGTCTAAGCATCTAGTAGATAATAACAACGTGCTAAAACAGATATTTTCGGGGTTGAATAAAGTGCAACATAATCACTTGCTTAATCGAGAGTCGAAGTAACATGTTACGCTAATGATTTCTAGACAAGATAGACCAAAACTTATCAATCGAATATATTTTAGGTTGATCCCTCTGCTAATAACACACACACAGCTAAAGAGACCATTAAGACCTAAAATAAAGGAAAGAATACTGAAGCAAGACATCAAGATCATGGAAAAGATTTTTTGTTTGGAAAAAGCGGTATTTTAAAATACAATCAATATATTAGATTTTGATGAATATAAATCAATTAAGCGAACATAAACATTGAAGGAATTCAAACCAAAAGAGGAATATGATCCAGCCAACAGAAGAGTGAAGGAATTGTATGGGAATGAAATAGGAAAGGAACATCTACCAACACAAAAGGTATCACTGGAAGAAAAAAAGGAAACAGCTAAAAAGTAATAGAAACAGGATATTGATCCATCATAAAGAAAATAATTAGAGAACTCATCAAATGTTTTTGGATAAAATGAAAAGAAAACTTATTAATAACAGGGTAAATAAGAAAAGTTGACATCCCAAAATCAAAAATGGTCTACTTCTACTAAGGCAGTTGATAATAGTGGAAAGAATTATGATCCAGATACTTTTGCAAAGAATAAAAAAGAACAGGAATTATAATCCAGTGTATTTGGAGGAGAAGCAAAACAAACATAAAGCACAGCTACCAAATCAAAATTAATTCCTACTAATTAAACATGGCAATAAACAGATACGGTTAAAAATATGAAAGATTTTGATCCATCATAGTCATAAATAAATGAGATTGATCCTTCATAAAAGAAGATTGATACATTAAAATCAACATTAGATACTCACGATTATAAGGCTTAACCTGTTAAGCACAATGAAAAGCTGAGTGTCAAATAGTAGAAGTACAAAAAAGATGTCTTTACAAGGGGAGGTGATAAAGAATAGGCTCCTTCTCAATAAAAATAAAAATAACCAGTCTAATAACAGAAAGAAGTACATGAATAATCAGATATGATTTGAATTATTGTATGAATTATTGTGATTATCCTCTATTTTTAAATTTATTCATCCACGTTATTTTCCTAACCAACTCATTTCTCAAGCCTAAAATAATCTACTTTGAAATGAAAATCTGTAATACATAATATATTAATATATAAAATGATCAGAATTAAATTATTGAAATACTTTAGCTCAACAATAAATTAGGCTGACAGATAAAATTTCAATAAAATTTAGGATTGGTGGAGTGTAGGTGGATCAATGGCACCTCTCTATTCATATAATCATTTGAGAGTTTAATTTATTCATGAAATCCTCAATAGACCATAAAAGGGAAAGTCATTAGCTGGATTGCATTCTTTGGATGTAGGAGTTGGAGGAGGAATTCTTAGTGAAAGCTTGAGAAGATTGGGAAGTAAAGTTACAGGAATTGATGTATCTGAAAATTCTATAGAGACAGCAATAAAGCATAAGAATACAGATCCAGAATTAAGAAATGATTCAGATTTAGACTATCAATTAATAAGTATAGAGGAGTTATCAAAAAACCAAGAAAAACAATACGACATTATAACAGCTATGGAAGTGATAGAACATGTTGAAAATCTCCCATTATTCATAGAATCACTAGGGAAATTGCTAAAGCCTGATGGGAAACTATTTATCTCATCAATTAATAAAAGCTATGAATCTTATTTGAAATTAATTATTGGTGCAGAATATATTGCCAGAGTAGTTCCATAGGGCACTCATGATTGGAATAACTTTAAGACTCCAGAATAGGTGTGGCTTCAATTAAATAAATAGAAACTCAACATAGATGTGGTATGGTGTGATATTTTAACTTTAGTTGCGTGGAGTAGAATATAACTTATTGAATGGGGAAATGAAATATAGCAATAATGAAACCTAATATATGATGGCTTGTAGCAAGTAAAAGAAGGAATGATAATCATTTATTTTATAATATTCTAAATGTCACTCAAATTTATAAGTTAATTTACTAGAATAATTATTGTTTTTCCATTTTGATATCAATTTAATAATTTTTTTGGTATTTTCTCTTTAATTACCAAAGTACAATTCACACAGGATGTCTCTTCGGCTTCAAAAGTTCAGGTCTCATGATAATAAGGTTTGAGAGAATTAATAAATTTGATAATTTTTAAAAATGATCCTAATGTTGTATTTATATAAGTAGCTTGTTAGCAATTAAGCACCCTCAATGTCTAATTAAAAATCTCGTATGACTGTCATAACACCTTACTTCAAAATAATTATGTTGATTAGATTACAATTATAAACTCGAAAGCGAAGTAAGTTATGTTAGAATTGAAATTAAAAACACTGGAATGAAAAACCCAGAAAGGCAATTCAGAAAATGGATGAATTGGAATTACGAAATATGAAAAGATGTGCAAGTGATGGAGGTGGGGTGTTTAGAGGAGGAATTCTACTTGATTTATTGATTTAAGTTAAGAAATTGATGGAAAGAATAGTCGAATTCACTTGGGTAACAACTTTTCAATTTCCCTCTTCAAGTTTCCTTTTCTTAATTCTTGGAGTAAGGTTTTGGTATCAGGATAAGCCTCTAAAATAATGGTCATGTCTTTGTCATCAACTTTCAACATTTCTCTTATTTCTAGATCTATAACCATAATCTTTATGATTACATTATGATTATTCACTTCTCCTTCTGGTCTACATCAAGGGTGCTTCCTACTGATCTAGAAGTCGGCGTTTTCTTTTCAAATTTACGTATTTGTGATCTCCACTTTACTTTTTAATTTGATCATAATCCAGGACGCTGTCATCTTCTAAGGGTAGATCCTTAATCATCTTGAGATTTAGTTTCACTTTTGTGCCTTTGACAGACACAGGAATGTCCCGATCGACTTTTTATTAAACTGGATTCTGTTGCTGCATTTAAAATGGCATGGTTGGCTAGGGTATGGTTTGCAACTAGGGTGGTTAGGGTATCATTGGTATTCTCATGGGAGCCATCTGAGGTAATTGTTGTATTTACGGGATTTATTACAATTGCTGCATCATCATATAGTAGGATGGGTAGTTCATTAATGGAGGTCTAAAACATTATAAGAGTTTAGAGGAATAAGTATATGGAGTATATATAAGTGGAAATAAGAAGTTATTGCTTACATGAATTGAGGACTAGGATAGATCATAGGAGTTTGAGGACTTTGCTATACTGGAGGGTATCCTGGAAGTTTGGCTTTTAGCATTGCCAAGTAATCTTATTATGGGAAGCTCATTTTTGAGTTATTTAAATATATCTGTAAGAATTCACATTCAGATTCGATATTTAGATTTACAAAAGATATTGAGTAGAAAAATCAGATCAATTCTAGCTTTGTTTAAAGGTTTTCTCATTTAATCTAGTTACATCCAGAGGGCAAGAGACGAGGCAACTACAACCAGTTAACATTTTTGATTATAAGTTATACGAGAGATCTCTCATTAATATAAAAATGCAAAAATCTCATTCTCCATAGCCTCGTCGTACAAACAGCAAATATTCATCCTTCCCCTTCAAATTGCCAATGAATAACCTTGCCCTTCCTTTAACCAACAGCCACGTTCAATCGGATTAAGGTAAGAACTAGTAACTACCTGTAGGATAACAATCAGGCAAAAAGATTAAATAGCTTTTGCAAGTGAATACAAGACCACTTATCAATCCGGCTAAAGTTCAAATTGATATTGAAAAACTACAGATTATTATGAATGGGAAGTACGAGAAAAATATCTCTAACACTTCCTATTCGATATAGGTTGAAAATACTCTGAAAGAATTTCGATCCAAGATAGATGAATAAGATAGCATTATTAGATTACAGGAATTCAAAATAAATAGATTATAATAGGAACTCTTGTTCTCAAAATAATAATATTAGCGCATGATGCAAAAATTTACATCACTTGATGGTAAATATAACTATTATCCGCAATCAACTAAACTAACAAAGTCATAAATTAGTATGCCCTTAATCGAACAAATGCCTTCAATTAATAAACTACTACAAGTAGATAATAAGAAGAAAAAAAACATATAAGAAAAAATATAAGGGCTTGTCTTGGAAAACAAAAAGTTTAGAGACGAGGTTTAAAACAAATTTAAGGAAGTACTTTAGCTTGTAAATGAATTTGCCATGGCTGTAGTCTGTTAAGCATCATCTCTTTACATTTAATAGATACAATCCATCGAATCAGTCTATGAAATGCATAACAAGTAATTTGAAGTTTAATGATAGTTTTACGAAAAATGATTATCAAGGCATGAGGGCGCAGTATGATATTTTGAATAGGGAAATCCAAATACTAGAGTAGTAGAAGGAAATATTATATGATAAAGTAATTTCATTACTTTGAAAATTATTATAATTAATGAACGACATATAACCGGCTCCAAGTCTTGTTAAATATAGTAATCCCATTCTCATTTCAAACAGTCAAAAGAAATAAATTAAATAACAGCCTCCAAGCAATACTGAAGATATTTTGAATGCCATTCTGCTTCCCAGAGAATTTAATCATTAGAAGAATCAATTGTAAATGTAATGTGTTTCTCCCGCACCCTCAACCAAACAAGATGTGCTTGAATTATAAGATAAATTAGATAAGTGGTTGTAATAAAGGTAGGCGAGAGAGACTGGTCTATGTCCAATTAGAGAGGAGTTATACTCATAGTGTTTTGATGAATTAATAAGACAAATTACAATTAATTGTGCAGAGAGAGGTATGCTCTTAGTAACAGTCCGAAATGAAGTGAGAATGGTCATACAAACTTATTAAACTTTGTACGCATCAAGCATTGCATTTGGAATGAGAAAGTTTTTATCAGAAGAAGAAAAAAAAGTATTCAAAAATATTTAATTAGGCTGAATATCGATTAAGAATTAAATAATTGGATTAGGAGTGTTCAGAATTGCAAAGACAAGTTGAATCTTTAGAATAAAAGTTGTTGGATACAAAATAGCAAGATGAAATTAAAAGATAGCAAACTAAAGAAGCCCATGCGGATATTGTTTCTTAATTAAAGGCTGACATAAAAGCCAAAGTAAATGGGGATCTTGAAAAAATACTCACTGGATAAAAAAAATTACCTGATAAGAAATGATGATATTCAAATTATTTTCATTATTTTATATTCAATCATATATTTATGAAATTAAATAAACATCTTTGATAATAAAATAAATATATTTAGATATTGGATATTTTTATTTTGTTCATAATATCAATAATCCTAACATTGCAATTAAGACTTTGAATATCATTGCATTTGAAGTTTCGTCATCACATGAGACTCCTGCACAATTCTCTGAGTTGTATGTAAGCACTTAGTCTTATGTTGGACATGAACTAGAGGAAGTTTCTTTGATGCAAGTAACAGAAGTTGATCCAACCACTGAAGGATCATCTGCAGTTTCTTACAACATTCTTGCAGCTGTTGTTTCTCCTAATGTAGCATCAGAAGCAATGGTCACTTTATTACCCAGGAAGTTAAGTTTAAGTTGATACATTTATTCACCATTCTATCCTTTATCTAATTTTTTAGGGGTCACTGTTTTTGATACTCCATCTGCAACCACTGTAATTTCAGCATCCATGGGTTTCCATTTTCCACCTTTAAACCCATCTTAAGTGATTGTTTATTTAATATAAATGGTGTCTCCGACAACTAATTCATTAGTATTGAGAGGGGTTGAGCAGGTATCATCTGAGCACAATGTCAATGTGGATTGAGCAGTATTGACACATTATTCTCCTGTAGTATCAGCACAAACCTACTCAGCTTGTACTTTGGGTTTGATCACACTTGATTTTAGGGTTGCTAAGTCTTTGCTAAAAACTCCAGAAAATTTAAAAGCAAAGAAAGCCAAGGGTTTAACACCATTATCGTTGGGTAATAACAATGTCACAGAGACGGCATAAAATCCAGTATATTTAATCTCATCTGTGGATTCATCCTTCAAAAATACTGTATCGAATTAACTATTAATATAATATTTAAATACTCCTTATTGATCGTAAAGCTCCAAGTTCTTGATGTGTCTGATGAGGTTGAGGTAATAGTAGAAGCATCAGCTACTTCATTAGTAAACGCAGCTCCAAATCTTCTCAAATTAACCTGAATACATGTTGTGGTTGACCCAGTTTCTACAGAAGTCTAAAGATCTACGGCATTGGCAAATGTCAATGAGAATACAAGATTTCCATCCTTTAATTACACAGCAAATGTGGGTCTTTTGGCAATTTGCTTCTTTCCGTTAGCTTATGTCTGTTTAAAGAATCCAATTTATGTCCTGCAATTTTTAGCATCCTTACACTTTCCTTTTACTAGGACTTAGTCTTCTGTGCAAGTAGTTGTTGCATCTTGTGAGATGGCAACAGAAACCAAGAATAGTATGAGCAATAAATGAACAATTTTCATTATAAAGTAATATTGAATTACTGTATAAATTTCTAAGGGTATTTATAGCACTTTTTATAGAAGATATTCCATAAGATAATTGATAATGAATAATGAATAGTACGGATTTCGAGAGCTCAATCATTTTTCTCATTTTACTGCGTAATCATATTAATATTGAAAATTTTAAAAAAAATTATATTAGAATTCGATTATCCCCCCCCCCTATAAAATAATTCCTAAAATAACTATCTTTTATAAATATATAAATTCAATTGAGCATCATATTTTCAAATTTACTTGGCTTTAATTTGAGAACTCTTATTTAGTCAAGCTAGAAGCATTGTTATCAGTTAATAAAGTTGGTTGTTGTCTCAATGGTATTTAATATTTAGAAACAACCATCATTTTTTATTCCCTTTTTTTTTATGATCTTCTAAACATAAAAATTACTATCAAACCAATAAATGATATCATTATCATCAATAAAACTAAAAGCACATACTAATCAGAATTGAGTTTTTTTATGGCAGTCATGCTAAAGATTTATTTAATTCTAATTGTTTTATTTATTAAATCCAAAGGCTTTAAAATTTTATGTTATCAGAGCATGATAGAATCATCATTTATTTTAATGTATCCTCACACTGAGTAGAATTTTCAAACTACATAAAACAGATTATTTTTAATTTCAAAAGATTATATACATTATGGAAAAAGAATTTAACAAGCAATGGAATAACGTTTGCCCATATTTGACTTGAGATCAGGTGAAAACTACTTGTAAGAATGCAATTTATAGAATTGATTATATTAATACATTAATATCAGTTGTAAGTATCTTGATTTATTGCGATAAATATACATATATATATATATATATGTGTTAATATAAGTTTATATTTATATAATTCATTATGTTTCATGTTATTTATTCATTCTTTTTGGAATTTTAGTATAAATCTTTTGAGGAATAGTGAGGCATTCCTAATAGATTGATTAGCATTCTCCTAATTCTCCAGCGTCAAATCTGATCTTGGATTGATTCAAAGGAATGTCGTTTAAAAATTAATTCTAATTAGCTTAACTCTTTTAAATTGATTAAAAAAGGGCTTATATTTCTGGGTCTAAAGATTAAATTAATTTTAAATTAACTCCACCTGATTTTCCTCCCATAGAGATCACTTTTTCATATGCTTCAAAAGCCTCTTAAATGGCAATAGATTGCAATTACTAACTCTACTTTTGCTAATCTAAAACTTTGGCTTGTTCTAAATCTTAGGGAATGCTAGGTTTAGGCAAATATTTAAATAATTTCTTCTATTCTTCTGTTAAAATGACATCTTTTAGCTAATCAAACTCGAATAATTTCTAAACTATCAATTTAACATCTAATTTCTCCATATATTTTTCTTTAGATATGTTTAACATTTTTTTCTTTTTTCTATCACATCCAATACAGATCCAAAGTATCTATCTAATGCTTGGATCTATTCGATTTTTCTTCTTTAAAATGATATTCAAACTTTCATTCTAAAATGATTTAGCTAATATTCATTACAATCATAACTTCTTGATTAGGTTCGCTATTTAATCTCCCAGTATCTCTGGGAGATAAAAGTCTCCTCCTGCTTCTAACTATTCCCGCCAACGCATCAATCACCTTATTATCATCAGATACATTTGACTTATCTTTGTTATTATTGTAAGTAGTAAATTTAAACAGTTCATTCGCCATATCTATGTCCAACATAATTTGGACTAACGGCTTTAGAAAAGCAGCCAATAATAAAAATATCATTTAATATAGGCCCCCCACCCTGCTTAGAATGGCTTGGATTTTTACGTATGATCTTTGGTATTCGCTATATTTTGGGCTTAGATTTATGCTGTGTAACACTAAATATTCATTGTTGTATAAGTCGGTGGATTCCCTTAGGGAATCTTAAATCAGCACATGCTATTCAGATATGTCCTCAAATACCAATCCTGAATCCGTTTATGTTTCGATCTCTTTAAATTGCTAAAATATATTTTTAGAGGTAGTAATTGAAAATGTATAGTATTAAATGTTTATGATATCTAGAGACATATTCACTGCCCTGTTCATCTGCAATAAGGAATCACTTAGATGAACGGCGTAAAAGCCAGAATTAAGTTATTTTTTAATATCTTCAATTGGAGCGCAATCGGTCTTATTGGTTGAGTTCTTACATACTGAAACAGTCACAGTCAAAGAAGAATAAATCTGACTCGTCTTAATCCCTTGTAATACCTAATGTAAGAATAAAATAACATTACTTACAGGTGGATGGCTATCCCAATAATCCTTTTGTATGCATTAAACTGACCCCAATCTAATCCTGGAAAAATAGTCAATTTATGTTTGTGATAAAAAGTGTTCTCTTGTACATGCTTCCAAGGGCAGGATGGTGCAACTAGTTTATATTTTAGTTTACTTCCTCGTAACATTCGAAATCTGAGTGGTCTCATTATAAATCCTAGTGGTTTGGCAATTTTTCAGTTAAATCGTAAAGTACTTATTAATGGTTGTCAAGGGTTGACTATTGAGATCGGCCATGGTGATCGCGATGGTAAAGTTATCCCTATTAAGAATAAATGGCTAAATATATAGCAAAAATACCGATGTCTCGACCACTTGTCTTTCTGACGAAATCACATTAGGAGAATCTTTAGCTATTAATTCTTGGATCCCTACAGCCAAGTAAGCTAGAGCAAAGAATATAGTTCCCATTGTCAAAAGTGCCCCCAAAGTTGAATTATATTTATATTTCCCCAAAATTCTAAATGCAGGTGGCTATCCAAACATATCAAATTGTAAAAAGAATTGTTTGAGATGTACTAAAGCTGATGATTGCATCTAAATACAATATTTAATTATATTATAAGCTAAATCCTAATTGAAATAATTAACTAATCAATCTTAATTTTTTAAATTTTTCATAAAAATTAATTGATTTTAATAACAACGCTTCTATAATCAAGTGGAGTTTAAAGAAGAAAATTGAAAGGATATTCTATTGACCAGACGTGAAATTGAAGACTTAAATGATTATTATTTATATTAATTGACATTAAATTTTAGATGTCCAAATAATTATAACTCTCATTCAGTATAACAACATCATAATCAATAAGTAATTTTTATAAATATATATTGACAAGATTGATTACTATTGAAATTGAAAGAGGGATGAAGTTTGTATCGTTTCTCTTACCTTGGGTACTTATTAGCTTAAATATATATAAAAATGATCCGATATTAAAAATGTGATAATTGAAGTTTTATAAATAATTAATGTCAACTGTATTTGGAAAGGGATAATAAGGTTAAAATGAAATGACAACACAAAGGAGAAAAAATGAAGCCAATCTGAGATTGACTCTACAATACTACTCTAAATATGGAAAATTGACTGAAGATCATTCATTAGAATAGATTGCTCCAGGTTTGGCCAGTTTGGAATTCATGAAACGTAATTGTCCTGAAAGAACGAAGCTTGAAGAGTTTTGTATACAATCAGGACAATACTTTGAATTTGAACAGTACAAATAGGGAGACATCATATTTCACTATGGGGACATAGGCGATAAGGTTTATGTTATTCTCAAAGGGGAAGTTGCAGTACTGGTACCAAGAGCTGAGAGTGAAATAGAAGCAGAGAGAGAAGAGATAGGTTAAGCCAAATTACCTTTTGATTTTGAAATGTTTTGGAGAAATAAGAAACCTTCAAAATAAATTTAGATAGAAGCACAATTAGCATAGTAGAACTCAAATTTGTATTTCAAAGATAATGTATGTATGTTTAAGAAGGTGTTCCAGTTTTACTCTGGATAATCATTCGGAGATGTAGCTCTAATTTCAGATAAACCAAGGACTGCTAGTATCTTAGTCACATCTGATCAAATCTATCTGATTAGCATGTGTAAAAAGGATTTTAAGATCTCATGCGAGAAATCAGTTCTGGAGATGAATTAGACTCTAGATTACTTTGTTACAGTATTTCCTTGTATAGGGAAAATGTAAATATCTAAATTCATACAATTTTTTCACAAAACTGACTTCTCTCCCTAATAATGGTTATGGAAGGAAGGAGAACAAGTTAAATTTTTTATATTGATTCTAAAAGGAAGGGTTGAAATTAAATAATAATAATTGCCCTTATACTAAGTTTCTGACAATTCTTTTATTGGTCATGAGGAGATCCTAGAGGGCCTGACTACGAGACAATATGGGTGCAAAATATTGGACAATACAATAGCATATTTAATGGATTATGAAGATTTCAACATTGCCAGAAAAAATGCTCCAGAAATTGTTAAAGTATTAATAGAAAAGGCAAAGTTGATGACTTCTTATCTTGAAAGAAGAAAAGAGGAAGTGAAGAAAGGACAGGCTAATGTGTAACCACTGTACTAACCAGTTGAAAGAAGGCTGATTTAGGACATGTTTGTCATTAAGTCTCCTCGGAATAACGAGGTTAGATCGAATCAACCTAAATACTTAAGTTATTTTGACATAACGAAGTTTAATAAAAAGAAAGCCTAGCCGAATTCTATTAATTAATAGTAGTCTATCTCAGAGGACTTATATTTCTCAAAAGAAAAGAACGTAAAAACTACTCGATCTCCTTCGTATTACACTTAAAGAGTTTCACCCATGAATAAATAGATGAAAGAGATTCTGATGAAGAAGTTTAAGTTGAATGTTAGATTTAATGCTATGAAGTCTCTTAAAATTAGTTCTTGTAAGTCTGCTTATGATTTGAGGAACAAGGATCGATTTAAAACAGATGCAAGCATTGATAATTGATTAATTTATTATTGCTATATTATGTAAATATATTTAGCCTATCATGCTAATAAAACCACAGATTTTTTATTTCTACGGTTCCAGAAATATAAGAATAAACACAATGTAACCAAAAGTATGATAATGCCACCCAAGACTCCAACTAAAATCCAAATCCAAGAATGACTAAAATTATAATTAGATAGATTTACTCTGATTCATTATCATCATCATCATCATTATCATCTACATAAACTAAATTCACAACTCCTGAAGCTTTTCCGTAATAATTACTTACGGTAATTGTAATCGGCTATTCTTCGACTGATGTAAGAGTCTCAAAATTGATAATGGAGTTTTATTTATATTGATATTTTATTAAATTATGGATGCCTCTTGTCTCATCATATTTTAAATTTGCAAAGAAATATGTGCCATTATCTTCTACTTCAACCGTCAATACAATTTAGCTTGATAAAGTACCCTTATAATTCTCATATAAGGCATAATGACTAGTAATAGTCTTAGTAGCATTGCTATCAACTAATTCGTACATCACCAATATTGCATCCTGTCCTTGTCTATAAGGTACTAAGACATAATTCAAATAAGTTGCAACCTTATTTACAGCTGTCCATGATCCAAAAGGAGTCAACACAAATTTTAATATAATTTTATCCAATATTAAATCTGGAAGATTTCCGATCTCAAAAGGAATACTAAAGATATATTATGCAACATTGTTAGTTTGAACCAACAAATTAAATGTTTAAAGAGTTCCTTACATCTCAGATGAGATCAGCTTAATCGTTTAGAATTCTGTGTTTTCATGCACATAAAATTGATCATTCTAATAATTTCTTAATTCAAAATGCTCTATATTAGGTATATAACTAAACTCTACCAATTTGAAGTGATTGAATCTTAAACCAAAATTTAGATCTGTGAAAATTACGGTGTAAAACTAATTGTGTTTAATCACTTAGAAACTAGCAATTTTCAATGAATCTAAATTTAATAGCTGAGCATTGATGCTTCTTGATAGAGTAAGAGTTTTATCAGCATTTATGTAATAAGCCTGAATTGAGGATTCAAACTGTGTGAAATCTTGGGGATTGCTATCTAAAATAAATAAATGATTGTTATTGAATAATTAGACACCACTGATTCTTTTTGCATTAGGAACTGCAATTTTTGAAACAACATTACATTCCAAATCAGTACCACAATCTACAATTAAGATTTATGGATTAGCAGCAAGGACTGAAACAACAAGGTATTTTCTATCTTCAGAAATGTATAATCCATCTGCTTATTCCAAAATCGAAAGACCCAAGGTGAATACTCTCTCAAATTATCCATTTCTTTTGGCAAACACTAATTATTTGGATGTTAAAAAAACTCCATAATGAGCATCATAGATCAATCCATCAATGAAATTATAGAATAAATTCGAACCATCACTAACATTAGTTATCTATGGCTATAATTTTGCCTATGAACATGATTTGCAATCAATTGATATCTGAGTTATTTGACCTGTATATAGTTTGGTATCTATTGTCAAAGATGCAGATTCACTGCCTTTTTTCACTTTGAAGTTCTAATTTTGCGAGTTTTCGAATATAGGTTAACTGTGAGTGTCTAAAACAGATATTTATTTATAAATATTCTTGGTTGAATAACCATTGGATGCCTTTACACCAGTCACTAACTTATTCAAATAATTATCTGAATGTATCTTACTCTTTACTGAGAGTAAGGAATCTTATAAAACTGAATAGACTTTTTATTAAAAATGCAAAAACATTTATAGTCCTCCATCTACTTCTACAGATGTATCCACTTTACCTTCAAGTTTTATTACTTTTTTTAAAGATTGATGAGATAAGACTCCTGGTTCATAAATTAAAATCACTGTTTATTTATCATCTTAACATCTCACAAAAAGCCATCCCGATTCCTCACAAGAATCAGCTACAATGGAATCTTGTACTTTATAATTATATAATGGGAGAGTCTTGGTTTTGTAAATAACTTATAAATGCTTGTAATTGTATTCATCTATTTGAAATTATGTTGCAGAATTTTATATTAAGTAAAAATAGTGTTTACCAATAGCAATTTTAAGCTATGAGTCTGGAATTGTGGCTATTGTTGTAATTGTAGTAAATGCTCCACCATTTGATAATAGAGCTAGATTGCCAATAATAACTTAACTGGAAGTTTGGATAAAGATCAAATCAATTAATCGATTTCCAAATACATTAAGTGGTTGCACAATATCAGAAATAGTATAAGCTAAATTAAAAGGGATAAATTAATCATAAACTAAAATCTTATTTTGAATCACTACAAACATTTTATTATAAAGTACATTAAATGATTATATCTTCTCCTCCAATGTAAGTTTATCATACTCAGCAAACTATTTGGTTTCTTTATCCAAACCATATAAATGAATTTACTTTTCTGATTCTTAAATAACAAAGAAAATCTTCTTTGTCTCAAACCACCAATGAAAAGTGGTTTTGGTTAGAATGCTTTAGAATGACACTTATTTGAGTAAATTACATTCAGCTTCAACATTTTTTAATTGATCATGTTAGCATTCGTAGATATAAGCTTCCTTTGATTCCAATTATTATAATAGATAAAATTTGTCCACATCCACCACTTAAATATCAGTGAACACTACATGTTCCTATTGTATTTTAATATTTAATTGCCAGATCTCTTGAATGTCAATAACAATACTATCAGAGGCAGTTGCATCCACTGGCGTATATGATATATCTGGTCCTATCGCCAATAGATCAACATTAAAAGGATCAGAAGGAATAGTAAGTGCTTAAGGAAGAGCATTATATCCTGTTTCATAAAGTTGTGTGTCACTTGAATACACAATTTGAATTTTTAAATCAATACTGCATTGAGTGCCTGAATTTTTTGATTATGCTATTATTTTGGTTTGATACAATTAATCTGTTTTGGAATCTTATTGATACAGTCTAAGAATTCCATCATTAATTAAAAATCTATGAGTTGCTACAAAATTGACTCCAATAAGATCAGGTTCATAAGGATTAATAATAATAATATCGACAACATCTTCAAAGAAGGAGTAGAGCAACTCTTTGGAATCATAAATGAATATTTTTTCTTGATATTTCAAAACTATGTATTTTTAACTGATTTCAACTTGAATACTAACACCTTCTACTTTTCCTGGTAATTGTAATATTCCTTTTGGCTGGTTGTTTTAAAAATATTAAATTCTATCTTCATAGACCAACACCAACTAAGCGATTTAGCCATCTTAAGTGAATAAGTAATTAAAATCGAAGGCATAGACTTACTCTCCAAAATTCAATCTAGACCATTCTTTAACTAACCATTTCTGAGACTATAAGATCTTGAGGACGTATATTCCGTTGAAGGAGTCCAAAATAAATATGTCTCCGTTAGGTTCTACTTGCATATCGAGAAGTACAAATTTAAAGGTTTACTATTAATTTAATAATGTCGCCAAACTTTCAGAATCAAGTGTCAACCATGGCTCTACAGTAATATTACCATCTTTGACTTGAAAAACTTCCACAAGGGACCCTTTACTTTCCTAGTATTGGCCTCTTATGATAAATTATTAAGAGCCTGTGACGTATTCAAAAGTATGCACCAATAATTATCGAATTGATGGCGCATCAAATTTTTAAGTGTTTTCAATAAATGTTACCTTCTCTGTTGTATCCACTTCGACGAAGTAATTTTTATCTAAGCTTTTACAATCAACTATAAATTTAGTTTAAGAAAGAAAGTCAACGTCAGAACATCTAAAATTGGCATCTTTTTTTTGCACAGATATGTAATTGTCAAATTAAGGAACTTGGTTATTCTCAGTTGGTTGTCTATTGTAAAATAGTCATAATACCCTATCGAATAGAAGATATCAACAGATGTATTATCCTATTCTATAAATACGAAACTATTCAACCAGGCACCCGTCAATTGATTGACATATGGCTTTAAGGATATGATTGTGTCACCAACTAAATCTATTAAATTCTATAATAACATGTCTTATGCATTATTGAAGGCCCCAATTAGGACAATGGTTATCTGACTTCGAAGTATTTTGATGGTTTTTCTCCCAAAGAAAAAACTAAATCTTCTCCAGAAAAAAATGCTTCTCTGATGTTCCATTCATATAATTCTTCAACGCTTGCGTAAATTGAGTATTCACTCTTTAATTTTTCTAATTATAAGCGATTTCATACAGCATTCTTGGAGGGTCAAAAGAAATAATTGAAGAATGGTAATTATTCTGTATATCATCATATTTAATAAATAATATATAGTATTTTCAATTTTTCTTAGGAATAAGTTTTATCTTCTTCTGTTATTACGATTAAATTTATGAATTATGGGATATTTATGTAGATTATAATTATTATTTTTATTTTGCATGCAAATGTAAACCTTTGAGTCCTTTCCTCATTAACAACAATTTTTATCTTTGTTCCAATATCTACAAAATGAATTGGCATCTCTTTTTCTTTTGCCCATATTCATACCATTTTGAGAAGGAGAACCTTAAAATATAGAAGTTTTTTGATTTTTAATATTCTAAATAAAATATTTAACCGAATTACCTTGCAGTCTCAATTTTCTTAAATATAAGATGGCTTATAGCCTGTAAAAATACTTTCTAATGATGCAGAAATTTCTAAAATGCTTGGATTTGAATGCCAAGTGCTTTTGAAAATTAGCAAATAACTTAAATTTATTCCAATATTGTCTTAATCTAAAATTATCAGCTATTTTATTCGAATGCAAATCATCCTCTTTTGTGATAGTTGAAAGAACACTTTTTGAGGATTCTCTCCCTGGTGTTACAAACTTAACTTCATTTCTGGGAGTTTTGGATTGTGCTGATTTCTTGCTTACACTTTTATGATTCAAATCCTTTTTTGGTGGACTGTATGGTAATTGTAATTTATATGGTTGAGGCTATTGACTTT